CTTGAATATTTGCTACTACCACCAAGATCTGCACTAGTGGAAGCTCCAGCTGGGTGCACACCCAAAGCCTTCAACGCAACCACTACGACCCTCTTACACGTCATTGCAAGACTCAAAAATACAAGCATATGACGGCAGAGTATAGGTGGCCCGCTCCAGCGCCATCCATTTTCAGGGCTAGTTGATTCGGCAGGTGAGTTGTTACACACTCCTTAGCGGATTCCGACTTCCATGGCCACCGTCCTGCTGTCTGTATCAACCAACACCTTTTATGGGGTCTAATGAGCGGGCACTTTGGCACCGCAACTCCGCGTTTGGTTCATCCCACATCGCCAGTTCTGCTTACCAAAAATGGCCCACTTGGAGCTCGTATTCAACGCCAAAGTTCAAAATCAAGCAACTTTGACATCATACCCATTTAGAGTTTGAGAATAGGTTAAGAACATTTCGTTCCCAAGTCCTCTAATCATTCGCTTTACCGAGTATAACTACTCGTGAGCTCCAGCTATCCTGGGGGAAACTTCAGAGGGAACCAGCTACTAGATGGTTCGATTAGTCTTTCGCCCCTATACCCAAGTCAGACGATCGATTTGCACGTCAGAACCGCTTCGGACTTCCACCAGAGTTTCCTCTGGCTTCGTCCTGCTCAGGAATAGTTCACCATCTTTCGGGTCTCACCGCGTACGCTCTTCCGCCACCCTACTGTAAACAGTTAGAATGGGGCCATGCTGCACTTTTTTACAAGATCGCACATCAGACTCTAAAGAGTCATTTACTTTCATTTCGCTTTTGGGTTTTTAACACCCAAAAACTTGCGCACACGATAAACTCCTTGGTCCGTGTTTCAAGACGGGTCGGATAGATGACCGGCTTTTACATGGGGAGAGAGTACGAGAGCATTAACTGGACCGAACTAATTGAAAAGCACGTGTCGCATGCGACCGTAACTTACACTCAGATCGAACCAATAAATGCCCGTAAACCATACTCAAATGTCCAAGACAAAAAATGCTAACACCGTTTGGGTACCAGCAAGCTGGCCTCAAAACGGCGGTTACAAATCTGCCTCAAACATCCCCTTTAAAAAAGGGTCCAGGGTTAAAATCAATAAATTCTAAGCTCATATCCTGACTAATGTCAGCACACCCGATTGATTACCGAGAAACCTCGGACAAATCGAGAGCACTTTTTCTCATCCTTTCAAGGGACAACTAATCTTCACTCTACCCAAAACCCAAAAAAAAATAAAAGAAAAACCTTGTACCACTTGATTCCTCATTTCATCGATCGTCACAGAAGGACGTAAATCTGATGCAGTCACATCAAGCACCAATCCGCCTCATAACATCTCAAATCATAACAAGCATTTTTAGAAGAGCAGCGAGACAGCATAAATAATTTTTGAACATTTTTTAACTCTAAAAATATAAAATTAAAGATGAATGTAATTGTTATGGTTAATGTTTTCGGTTGCAAATACAGAACTAATGGAGTGTTTTGACACAACTTGTTATATGATTTGTTAAAACTTACAACCCTAGCAGAGCTGTTTCGAAATTCGGTTTTTGACTTGCAATTTAAAAGATTTTTTTGTTTCGAAACAGCCCTTAACCCACCTATGTATGATCCAAAAATGTTCGAAAAGTTAGCTAAAAACATAAAAAGGAAAACAATGAATAAACGAAAAAGTAGAAAAACAAGTTGGGAAACATTTTAAAAATAAACGCCGCTTAGAAAAACATCTCTAACTCTTTTCTATTAACTATCTAGAAATAAACGTTATGCCAAAAATGAAAATTAAATTAAAAAAATCTCTAACAAGTAGGATTTTCAAAATATCTACAGACAAAAGAACTACAATAAATCAACCAATTTAGTCGAAGATTAGATTTGCTTAGTGGAACTTAAACGAAAAAGAATTAAAAAGATACCTCGAATCCCCAAAATTGTCAAAATCTAAGTCTTGTCTGGCCTCGCTTTGAGAGATTAAGTCTTTTTCTTGAATAGTTGACGTTTTAACAAAAATGACATTTTATCCCATTTATTAAAACATTATGCCAAATTAATATTTTTAAATTATTTTTCGGGTTTTTCATTATTTTTCGACTTTTATTCTTCCTGTGATTTTTTCTCAATTTTATCACGTCAAACTTCACCAAAAAATAATGTCAAATGAGAGGGCAAAGCCAAGAAGAAGTGCAGAAACAGACAGCCGCGATAAACGTTTTCTTGGAAGTATTCAATCAATTTTGGATCCAGAAAGGTCTGTTTCACGTCCTCCTCGTCTTAATGGACTAAAGAAAAAATCGGAAACTTTCAAAGAATGCAATAATATTAACGATGCTTTGGAGTCTTTAAATTTGTCAAATTCTGAGGTTTGCGTTTCTTTGGCGGATGTTAGTGAGTATTTTGTTTTTTCCTTTTTTTAAATTTGGGCTATCTAATCTACCCTTGTTATAATGTTTTTTGGACCTCCCCTTTTTATTCTTTTATTTTAGCTTCCTTTGGTTAATCGATCCTCCTCCATGAATATAGTCGCTCTGTTACCACACTTTCTTTCCTTTCCCTTGACTTCGTCCACAAGTCCGAATGACACTTGCCCCCATCAAAAATTTTTTTGGGAGGGTTAGAATCAGGGAATTAGTCAGGTCTGAAAAAATCAGGTCGAGTTTTTCTTCTGACCTGGTTTCGGACCAATACTATGGGCTTATAGGATTAAAGGTTATATCAGATAATTTGGGTTTCTGATCGAAAAGTTAAGGTAACTAGAAACATCCCTGGTTAGAAATAATATAAGTCTATGTCTTTATTGATTACATTAACATTCATAGCCTTCCTAAGTTTTCCTTCAATTTCTAAAAGTCCGCAAATATTGTCCGCAAAAATAAAAACCTTCCTCATCAACTTATATCAAACTTATATTTAATTTAGAATCTTTTCTTCAAAAAAATTCTGGAAATTTGACTGAAAATGATTATTCTAAATTGGCTACCACTCTGTGTGATGCTGCTTTGGAGCAAAATGATATTTATTTTGTCCTTGATCTATGCACTGAATTAATTGGTTTTTTTAATTATTTAATTTTAATGATTTACGAAAATATCGAATGGAAATTTTTTTTCTAAATGTCCGCAAAAATTTGCGGACAAAATTTGCGGACAGATTTTTTTGGATTTTTGATTTATTTCAAATATTTTAATTGTGGTTTTACCTCGACAGCGTCTAGTCCCACCCCAAACTACTTTTTCGATCCGACCTGACCACCGACAATCTCAACCCGACGAACTCCGACTCCGGACTTATTGACCTTGATTTTTCATTTTTCAAGTTATCTGCTTGAATTTTTGTGGAACCAACAGTTTAGTACCTACATAAGTAGATGATTGTTTTTAATCCCCCTTTTTTCTAATTTATTTTTTAATTCCTGAAAAAACGTGAGAAAAAATTCCAAGGAATGACAGGGAATGACTCGAATATTAAATTATTTAGAAAATTTGTCCGCAAATATTTTTGCGGACATTTGCTAAAGAAGAGTAGCTTTCAAAAACAAAATTTTTTTTATTCTTTTTAGCCTCTCAACACTTCCAAAATTCATTTTCTGCTTGTCTAAAAGAAGCCATAAGAAAATTTCTGGACGAAGAAGAATCAAACTTGCCAACCCTCCCAACAGTTTTGGCACAACTTTTGGTTAACAAATGGCCCCGAAAATTTAATAGAGCTTTGGAAAGTTCAAATTTGGTTTTGTTTACAATATTTAATACAATAATTGGCTGGATTGGATTTTTGAATGAAATTTGCAAGGTTTTTTTTTTAAATTAAAAATTATTATTAGAAGGGGGCTGGGGGGATTTCTGGTAAAAAAATTTTTTGGTTTGTTGACATAAATTCCTTTCAAGGCCAATTCCTTGCTATTTAACTTACTATTAACTAGAGACCGGCGCGGGATTTTGCGGGGTCCCGCAATCCAGCACTTTTTTCGATTTGCGGGATGCGGGATTTTTCCCGCGGGATCCCGTCCCGCAAAGATTTTTTAAAAAAATCCCGCATGCGGGTTCCCGCAAACACGATTTTGCCGGTCTCTACTATTAACGTAAGGGGCTTGGGATTTTAATTATTGGAAACTGGGGGCGAGGAATTACTTTAAAAAAATTTTTTGGTCGATCGACAAAAATTCCTTTAGAACCCAATTCCTTGTCGTTTAACTTACTATTAGCGTAATTTCTTTTTTTCCTCCAAATTTTTTTCATTTTTCTGACTTGTTAATAATTTAAAATTTTTCACTCTTTTTTCAAAATGACGACAAAAACTTTATAAATTTGGCCAACACTAAATTGGGAGTAGGGTCGTCGATTTCACCAAATCCCTCGGTTAACCAACCCGAAAAAACCCCTAGTTAGGGGCTATCACAAGTAAAAAGTCTAATCGAGTCTTGTATCCAAGTCCAGATTTCGGGCCCTCTCTTCATATATTAATTTTGACACTGGTCTAGTTTATGCGTCCAGTGAACCTTTGTGCGTCCAATAAGGTGTCTGAAGGGATTAAGGGGGATAATGTGGGTATCAGGGTATTTGAAGGGATATCGGGATGTCAATAGAAAATCCTTTTGATCCCCTGATCTTCAGATATACTCAACTTTTCATTGGACGCATAAACTAGACCAGAGCCATAATTTTTTTATAATAATTTTTCAATTTTTTCAGAAAAATAATGAATTAGAAGAGAATAATGAAATTGATAAAAATTTATTTTTAAAATGTGTAGAAGGTTTTTTAATTAAAAAAAAATTTTTTTACTAAATTTTTTTAAAGGATTAGCCACTTTTTGCGATTCCGGTCAAAAATCTTTATGGTTAAACAGTCCAGAATTATTTGATGATATTTACAATGTTTGTTTTGAATTGTTGGTTAATGATTTAAATAATATTGTTATTCCGAGGTTTTTTCTAAATTTTTTTCCTAAAGAGGAGGGGGTTGGTTAAACTTTTTTCATGATTCTTAAGATGTGTTAAAGAATTTTATTAGCCCCACTAGTTAGAAGAGAATGCCTAAACGTTAGCCCTTCATCATAAGATATCGGTCCCTCCCCCTACTCCCCTTCCTCTGGCTACGGCCTGGTCCGAGGGTTTATTTTATGGGTTAGTGTTAGTGGATCCAGCTTTCCGAGTCCCAAAAAAGTTCGGATTTCCTTGGTTCGGATATTTTTTGCTTAAAGGGGGGGGGGTGCAGAGGGAGGCACAAGCAAATACACCAATTCGAATGTTCGGGGATTTCCTAGTATCCACCAGATTAGTAATGAGATCCGACTTTATTTTAAGTCCATTAATTTTTTTATTTTCAAAAGATCACTAAAATGTTCACTTTTAAACCTTTGTTTTCAACAAAGAAAATGGTCACAAGCAAATACCCCAAAATATTTAAATGTTTCAACACAAACAGTAGCGAATGGAAGGTAGTTTAGAGAAAAACAAAAGATTTTATTTTTAATTCTTTTATTTTTTAACCATTTTCTAGCAATTTTGATTCTTAAGATTTTTTATTTTAAAAATTTTTTCGCTTTAATTCCTCCTTGTTTTTGTAATTTTAATAGAGAGAGTTTTTTTAATTTTTAAAATTTTATACTGCTCTTATTAAAAATCTCAAAAAAAAACCTAGGAAAAGATTCAAAAAAAATTGCGGATGTCCGCAAATTTTTTTGCGGACACTTTTTGTGATTTTTGTCGTTATCTGCATTCTCTCTTAGTTATCCTTCTGTATTTATTAAATATTTTTTGAGTTTAGTGCAGTTTTTAACCCTTAAGCTTTGATTTATATGTACAAAGTCGGACTTCACTGTAAGATACCTTCTTCCCGTTTGAGCAACAAAAAATGCCCCTTATCATATTTATATTAAATATAGGGCATTGCTCAAGCATTTTCCTTGACACAGAGCTCAACCAAATAAAAAGGTTCATTATATAGAGTTATAAATTTTTTTGCGGACAATCTGCAAAAGTTTTGCGGACTTGAAAATAGTGAAAAAAATTTTGTCTAAAAATGCAAATTGAGGGCGTCTTATAGTGGAGTCCGAATAAATTTAAGAAGAATTTTTATCGGGTTATACCTATTTTATTTTCCTAAAATCATTTTTACACCTATTTAATTCATCTAATCTTTACCTATGTATTTTTATTTTTTTTAAGAAATTTTTAAAAAATTCTTTTTTAAGCTCTTTAACTATTTATTTTTTGAAAATAATATTTTTGTGTGTTTTTAATAAAAAAAAATTATTTTTTGGTGAAAAATAAAATTTTAAAGAAAAGGAAAAAAATATGCAACATTATTTTAAGTGATTTATAAAAGAAAATTGGACAAATAAAAATAAAGAGAAGAACAAACACATTTTTAAACAAAAAACTAGAAAATATAAAGATTAGTTAAAAATAGAGAGCGGTACTGAAAAAAATTTTAAAAAATTTGCGGACGTCCGCAAAAGTTTTGCGGACATTTTTTGCGGACATCCGCAAAAAACTTTTGCGGATTTTTTTTTGCGGATGTCCGCAAAAGTTTTGCGGATATTTCAAATGTTTTGCGGATTCGAAAATATGTCCGCAGATGTTTCTCAGTCTGAAATTTAACTACATTTTAGTACCGCTCTTGGCATTAACCTGCATCTACAATATAGGCATAAATTAGAGATCGTTTACTATAAAAAGGGTAAAATACAAACAAATAAAAATTTCTATCATTTTTAGGTGTTAAAACAAAGTAAAGAGATCGGGTAAAAATTAGAAAAAAAATCCGTCAATGGACAATTCGTCGGTGGTCTCTTAATCCTTCCGATACTCTTAATCACACGATATTTCTCCAAATCCGCCGATTTCCCCCTTAATCTCCCAAATACGACGATAGCCCTTTTAATCCCTCATACAAAAAAAATAAGAATTTTGGTCGGCGCAGGTTAGGGTAGCGGTAGGTTTGACGGATTTTCCACTGACGAAATCCGGGAGCCTTTGAACACTAATCGGCGGATTATCCGTTTTTAACGTTGCCATTCTAAGGACTTTCACACCAGTGGTTGGCTGCAGATATTGTGCCTTCCCTCACAGACCAACCAATTTTTAAAAAACTTGGGGTACCCGATCTTTAATCGTTGTATAATCTCTTTCTGTTGTATGAACACCTCCAATGTGTAGCCTCGTTGTGTGTTTGATTAACTGTTGGGGGATTAACCCTTTTAAAATCTTGATGTCGCAATGCAATGATGTTAACCCGGCAAATAATACAACGCATTTCTTCACTTCCGCTTTTGTAGAGTGTCTGAAAATTTTTTTTCAATATTGTCTTTTAAAAAAAAATAATTTGCGGATGTCCGCAAAAAAAGTTGCGGACGTCCGCTACTTTTTTGTGGATTTTTAAAATTTTTGCGAATTCGATTTCCCAGGCCGATCCAGTAATTCAAAAATAAAATTTCTTAATATCCACCTGTATCAAAGTAATGGCACAAAGACGACAAAAGACTTGGTGTCCACAAGGGTAAGTTCGAACAGTGGCCCTCTGCGTTAAACAAATACAGCAACGATCTGAAGATTCATCGGGGATGTTGCTGTCCACCTCGTCTTCTGTAGATTCTTGTTGGAAACGTTCTTTTAGTTTTTCCTGAAAAAATTTTTGAGGGTTAGAAATTTTTGAAAAATTTTTTATTTTTGCGGACGTCTGCAAAAAAGTTGCGGACGTCCGCAAAAAATGTCCGCAATTTTTTTGCGGACGTCCGCAAATTTTTTAAATTTTTTTCTTCGCACTTTTAAAGATTTTGTTTATTTTTTTCCCAATCTCTACATAGCAACCAGAGAAAATTTAATTTTTATACTTTAATTAAAAATTATTTACAATTCTCTCCATTGTCGTCACTTTTGGTGGCTTTTCCCCTCCACCACCACCACTATTTGAACGTTTCCACCTGCCAACATTATTGTTGTTGTAATTATTCTCCATAGCTACAATATTATTATTTTCTTTATTTGATTGTCGTCGAGACATTAATTTTCTTTTTGACGGTGTTTCAACAGATTTTTGTGTTGACAATTTTGTTTTTTTGGAGTCATAATCTTGTTGGTGTAAGTGTTGAGATGTTCCCTGTTGGCCTAGTAACTGGAAAAGAAAATTAAATATTTGTGTGTAGTTTGTTTTGGTTTTAGACGTGTAAATGCTAATCCAGAAAATGTGTTAAGGATAGGCAAAGTCTTTTAAAAGCTTAAAAATAGGACGGACTTTACTAACTATAAGATTCGTTTTTTTCAACTGGACATTGGTTGGAGGTTTGAACGGCATACCAAAATTCGTGCTCGTATTCTCTTGGTACAAAGTACAAACATTAAAGGAAAACTTTAGGGTGTACGAGATACACGACCAAAAATGAGGGACTTCCTAGCATTTTCCAACTTAACCAGAAACTGACATTTTTGGAAAATTGACAACTTTTGGGATTGACTACAAGATACAGTGCTGAAAAGATACAGTGCTTATAAAAAAAAATTTTCCAAGGATGTAAGAATTTTTCCAAGGTTTGAATGTGACACTGAAAATGCGCAGAAATAACTTTCAAAGGTTGTATTTTTTGGTTAAGTTGGAAAATGCTAGAAAATAGGGCATGGGTTCGAACCCGGTCAGTGGCAAACTTTTTATTTCTGGTTAAAAAATGCTTGGGGAAAGAAAGGGGGTCTGAATATTTGAAAACACATTTCAAATTAATTTTTAAATATTTTTTGAAAATTTTTTAAAGTCAAAATTTCCCCCTACCATAAATCTGCATTTATTATTATGTTGTTTATCACAATCAAAAGACAAAGAATCATTTTCCTTTTCCTCATTCAAATTATGAATTTTTCTTCTAACAGCATTAATCAAGCCCGTCAACATTTTTAAAAAAATATTTTAAAAATTGTCTAAAAAAATTTTTTTTAGAAAAAAAAAATTTTTTCGAAGGAAAAAATAAAAAAAGAAACAATAAAACAGGCGAATTTATAAGGGCAGAAAAGTTTAAAGTTAAAAAGGGAAAGGAGAATGAAGCTGGAACACACACACAAACAAATATATAAATAAAATGTGAGTAGACAACGGCTGCTTTTTTGTTGTTTAAAATATTTTTATATATTGCAAAGCAGATGACTTACCGCCACCACAAGACTGTCTAGTCTCTGTCTAGAGAGTATTTTAATGGAAGAAAATTTTAAAAAAAGAAGAAAAAAGAAGAGAAAGAGGCTACGCCCCGTTTGTTTCTTGTCCTTTTACCCTTTTCTTCTTTTTTTTTGTCTAGTCTCGCAATTGTGTCTGAGCTTTTTTTAATTCTGCTGTCTGGCGGCAACCACACATTTTGTGCAGACAGTGGTTGAAGAAACTCTTTATAATTATAAGGAGGGTTAAGAAAAAATTAAAAAAGAGAGAATGGGGGCAGAACAACTAAACTGTCTGGCTGACGAAAAAAGAAAAAGAAATGTCTATACAAAATGCCAGAAGGACAAAATGTCAAGAAGGACAAAATGCCAAGACAACAAAAATCGACAAAATGCCAATAAGGAAGTTTCAAAATGAAGAGAAAAATTGAAGGGGAATGGAGAAGAACGAAAATGAAGGAAGAAGAAGAGCAAAGAAGAGGAAGTGGAAGATGAGAAAAAGATAAAAAGTAAAGGCGAAGAAGAATAAAAGTGAAAAAACCTATTATTGGCATTAGCGCAATGCGTTATTTTTGGCAAAATTAACGCAAAAAACGCGAAAAGTATACCAGTCTGAGGACAAGGAGGAAGCCTTGATCTGAATACTGATATTCTGCAATCATGGAGCGGCTCAGAAAAACTTCGGTTCCGGAACTGGAATACAAATTCCCCCTACAAATCTCCTTATATACCCCCCCCCCTCTTAGTCCACGTGATCCACTGATATCCTCCGTAATCCCCGGTGTATCCCCGATATCACTCCAAATCATTATCCATCTAAACCCTTTATGTATCATAAAATCGAGTAGGACTCACTGATATTTATCCATAATTCAATTTTTATTGGAATATGGCTAATACTTGATAAAAAATTTCCTATTTTTGCGTTGATTTTGGCCTTGCGTAGCGTTTTTTTTTTGAATTTTCTCTTGCGCACGCCCCTGCTTGGCATGTTGTCCAAATTTTTTATTTTGACATTTTGTCACATTGACAATGTGTTATTTTGTCCAGGTATAAAAACGAAAGAAGAGAGAGAGCAGATTGAAAGAGAGAGAAAAAGAGAACGACAAGAAGGCAACCGGCTGTTAACTGTCTGTAATGGGGGGAAATAATGAGTCATACATAAAATTAAAAAAGCGAGAAAATGTGTCTGCACATAAAAATAGAGACACAACAACAAACACAGAGAACCCCCCAATTTTTAATGAAAAAAGGCGGGGCAAAAACAAAACAACAAAAATACATTTTTGTTGTTTGTGTGCGGATGCCATCCTGTCTAGACATTGTCTGCGAGTTTTTTTTTTATTTGAAGAGGGGAAAAGGGGGGTTAAGTCTGGAACGGGCATTTTTTTTTTGAAAAAAAATCCCGTCAAGAGAGGAAAGAAAGAAAACATTTTATTTTCGTGACGAACATTTTTTTAAGTGCAAAAGAGGATAATAAATAAATAAAAAAAAAGAAAAAAGAAGAAAAAGGACTTTTGAAATTAAATATTATTGCCACGAGGTATAAAAGGACTTCTTTTTTAATATTTTTTTTTCAATTAAGAATTGGCCGACAAAAAAATTTTTAAAGGGGGGAATGGAATTAGAGAGACATGACGAAATGTGTTCCCTTTAGACATAACACTATTTTAAAAACAGAATTAAAAACAGAAAATAACCAGAATTAGGCAATTGATGGGATCAGAATATTAATAAAAAAAATTCAGAATTAAATTAGAATAAATCAGAATATTATGAAAATAAAGTCAGAATTGTATCAGAAAATCAGAATTGGTCAGAATTAAAAAATAAAAATATCAGAATAAGTATTAGAACAAAATCAGAATATGTCAGAATTAAATCAGAATATTATCAGAATAAAATCAGAACATTACCAGAATAAGTATTAGAACAAAATCAGAATATGTCAGAATTAAATCAGAATATTATCAGAATAAAATCAGAACATTACCAGAATTTGATCAGAACAAAATCAGAATATGTCAGAATTAAATCAGAATATTACCAGAATCTGATCAGAATAAAATCAGAATTTGATCAGAATAAAATCAGAATTTGATCAGAACAAAATCAGAATATGTCAGAATTAAATCAGAATATTATCAGAACAAAATCAGAATATTTTCAATTAAATCAGAATTAAAACAGAACTGCGTAATACAGTCTATTGTCTAGGTGGTGAATTGTCTCTTAACAACTCAAACAATAAAAATAATGAGGATTTACCACAAAATAATTTTTACCTGATTTTAAAAATAAATATATAAAATTAAAATATATAAATTTTATTAATTTTTTTCCTCCTCTTTTTCCTCTTTTTCATTATCTGTATTTTCTGTCCAATCATATTTTGAAAATTTTTGACGTAATTGTTCTCGTTTAATTTTAATTTCATTAAATGACTGCTTTTTTGGATTTTTCCAATGTTTGTAGTGTAAATCAAGCATTCCTCCAATTATTTCCTTTAAATTGAAAAATATAGCTTTGGATATTGGCATAAAAATAAATCAGAATAGGTATGTACATTTACAGAATATTATCCAAAAAATCAGAATTCTGTCAGAGTTAAGTTGGCATGTGTCAAAATATATATCAGAATTCTATTAGAATGAAATCAGAATATGTCGGAATCAGATCAGAATATATCAGAATCGCCAGAATAAAATCAGAACATGTCAGAATCATATCATAACATGTCTGAATAAAATCAGAATATCAGAACAAAATCAGAATATATCAGAACAAGATCAGAAATTGTCAGAATAAAATCAGAATATCAGAACAAAATCAGAATATATCAGAACAAGATCAGAAATTGTCAGAATAAAGTCAGAATATATCAGAATTTAATCCGAATATATCAGAACAAAATCAGAATTTGATCAGAATACGTCAGAATTAAATCAGAATTTGATCAGAATAGAATCAGAACATATCGGAATTAAATTAGAATTTTTCCAGAATTTTCCCTCAAAATTAGCACAATAATATCAGAATTTTCCCCATTTAAATCAGAATATGATCAGAATTTCCTCACAATATTATCAGAATTTTTTTTTCAGAATTATGCCAAATTAAATCAGAATATGGTCAATTTTATAAATAAAAATTTCCCCCCACCTGAGCAAAATTAGCAGGAAAATTTTTCTCCTTCTCAATAACGTGGGCATATCCAGGTTGCAATCCAAAATAGACAGCAAAGTAGGGGAAACCTTTAGGCACTAATCCACGAACACCTTGACTTTGTCTTGGATTTTTGGAAAGATCAATTAATTTTTTGTTTACACTCCATTCCTTTTCTGATTCCATTATTGCTTTCTTTAAAGAAAAAAATTTTTTAATATTTAGCCAAATTTTTAAAACAGAATAATAAGAAATCTTCAAAGTTGAAGAAGCCTGAGCTTAAATTTGGGTCGGAGCCACACAGAAATATAAATTTTTGGACCTTATTCCAATTAAAATTTTCGAATTTTTTAAAATTTTCGATGTTGTTTAAAGAATTTTTTACCTTAAAATATATAGGAGACAAATCACCAATTTCTCTAGGTAATGGAACACCTGAAAAATAAAAATCTTCTAAAGTCGTTCAACCTCAATTTCGATAAGTTATAACTTTGACTCAGTTCGAAAAGCTCAGTATTTTTAGGAAATCGTGAAACCTCTACCAACCCCTCCCTAACAACCCAATCTACCACAGAGCTTATAAACTTATAACTAGTCTCTCAAAAAAGTCGAATCTAAACATTCTTTATATGATCAACGTCTCTCGTCAAGTCTGATTTTTTGATAATATTCGATATGCCGTTTCGATTTTCAAAAATAGAGGTTCCCAAAAACTCCCTCCCCTCCTCTCACTTTCAAAAAAATACACATTCAATAATCGACTTTCTATAACATTTTTAATTTTAATTAAGAGTGGTAATAAGTCCAGGGATCTTATCGATATAAATAAATCCCTCTATTTTTAGGAATCAAAACGGCATATCAGAATATTAGCTAAAAAATCAGAACTTTGCCAGAATTAAATCAGAATCTCGGAATATATAAGAATTGTAGGATCATGGCCTGTCCTGTCAAATAACAACCTCCCTCCCCTCTCCCTTCCAAAAAAAGACTCACATTCAATAGACATATGTTTTTGTTCGTGTATATCCCTAGCATTTTCAAAGAACACACAATCTTGGTCTTCTTCATCTTCCCTCCACATATTCACCAAACTTTTCATCCAAAATTGTATTTCCTCCCAAACATCTTCATCTAACACCAAAGAACTTGAATAATGCTCCATTGTTGTTATATAACAATGTTCTGGAGAAAGTCCATCCCAATTGACAACAGACAAATAAGTCTACAAAATTTATAAAAAATGAGTGAAGAAAACAATTATAATATGGAGTAATAAACTGCAAAATATGTATAGCATTCGGACAAATCAAGAAAAGTATGTGGGATTCTGTGCGGCCTTACAGGTCTGAGCGGTTTCTCTCACTTAATCGCGTAATATCCTAGTTGCATATAAACGATTAGGAAATCGTAGCTAGAGGTAAGATCTCGAATAAAAATCTTCGTTAACGAGAATCAAGATTTTTAGAAATCTCGCTGTATGACCCTCTCCCAGTTCGATCTCTAATAGTATACCACTTATTCCTTTAAAATATCTGATTGAAAGAAATAAATGAGAAATTTAGTCCCATGCGAGGTTGTGTCAGTAGAAATTCTTCAGAAAGCCGTTGTACGAGTTACCAACAAACCAGCAATTCGAAACTAAAAAATCCTCGGTACCTATTCAACAAATATTATCAACTTTCTATCCCAAAGTTCAATTTTTTTCCTTTTTAAAAATAATTAAAAACACCCCAACACAAAAACACCACCTTTCATTCTCTCTCGTTCTCACCTTTTTTCCAGTAGCAACAACTGCATGTTTTTCAAAAAGCCGACTTTCAATGCATTTTGAACAAGAATCGAGTGTTCGTTCCACAAATTTGTGCTCTAAAAATTTAATTAAAAAATAATATATTTCTTTAAAGATTTATTAAATTTAATATTTTATTGCCTATTTTTTTAAAATTTAGAAATATTCGCAACTTAAAAATCAATTTTTTAATTTTTTAAATAATTAGTCATCCCTTAACTTAAAGATATAACCTCAAAAATATATTCCAATTCAAAATAAATTATAGCAAAATTTTAAAGACCACTGGTTTTCGATTCGGTTGAAACCGACAACCTCTTATTTACATATAATCAAAGTCTGACTTGTAAGAAAACAACAATTTAATCAGAATTAAAAAAAAATTTAAATTAAATTTTGCACACAAAACACACACAAAATATTTAATCATTATTTGATCAAAAAAGAATGACGCAAAAGATTAAAAAAATTAACCTAAAAATCAATGACCAGTTCAAGTCAAGGTCATTTACGTGTAATTAAATGAACACAGTTTGCGTCATTTTACGAGAAAAATAAAAATTCTTTTGGATTGTATTAAAAAAAACAGCGATAAAATAAAGGGTTGTCGGTTCGGAACAGAACCAAAGATGTTTCGGTTCTTTGGTTCCGAAATACTAAATTTTTTCAGTCTCAAGATGGAGTATCTAAATTGTTCACAAAAATTCCTCAATAAATTCTCCCTTACTAAGTTTTATTTTTTACCAACTACTAATTAATAATTTGACTATCTCGTACTAAAAATAGAAAATTTTCCAATTACAAACAACATTCCTTCCTTCATTATACACAACATTTTTGTAAACTAACACCCCCTTAAAATTCTTTTTTTTCATTCCTTCAAATATACTAATTTTGTTTTCTTCTTCCCAAATTTTTTATTATATTTTGTCACGTGAATTGAAGGACAAACGTTCTTTTTCTAATAAAAATTTTTTTTCGAAAATAGAAATGATAAATTTAAAGGATAAAAATATTAAAAATAAAAAGAAAATTTCCAAAAACGGCGACAAACAACAAGAAAAACAAGAAACAAAAATTTTTTGAAGAACACAAACAACCAAATAAATTTACAACCAAAAAATAAGTCCATTTTCTTTACTCTCTCTTTTTCAATCTTCTTTTCAGAAAAATATAAAAGTGGTTATATGATAGGTAATCCTTTGAGGGTTTAAGATATTTGGGCGCGATAGGGTTTGGGCGCGGAATTGAAAATTTCAAGCGAGGAGAACCCTAGAGAAGTGAAATTTTGTGTGAATATTCTTCAAAGTATAAACTAGATGTTCTATAAATTTGAAAATTTTTGATGAAGCATCATGGGAGTTATGAACAAAAAATTGGCCATAATTTACAAAATTCGACATTTTTGGTTATACGAAGATTTTCGCCCAAACTCTTCCAAATGCTTAAAAATTCTAACAAAATCTAGACTCCATTAAAAAACACTAAAAATGCATCCAGCAAAAATTTCTAATATCCTAAGTCCTTTATAAGCTTATTTTAAAAGCTTACGTCTATACACTACGGCGCCCAAACATACCCCCTATCCCTTCTATTGAGTGGAGCGAAGATTGTTTGTATTTTTGTTTCTGCTAGTGTTGTGAATAAAAAAAAGAATTAAAGGCGTTTCTGTGATGGTCATGAATGCGTTTTGATCGCCTTTGACGAATACGTTGCGAAATTTGGTAATAAGAGGGTAAAAGAAGAGCTCAACAAACACAACATCTTTGCCTGTGGTTAAGAAGAAAGAAGAAAAGTGATCACCCGCAGCCACAAAAATAAAAATATAATTAAAATATACAGCCCCTCAAACATTCTCTCTCTCAACTAAAACAACCTTTCTAAGGCCGTATATAGCAAATAAAATTGACAAAATAAAAATTTGTTGTTTACATTGAGGTGCAAATTTAAATAGGCAGTTGATATTTAAATTTGGAGAAAAATACTTCCAACCCTTCATTTTAAAAAAATTTCTTTTTTTTCAATTCTCTAAAATTTAATCTCTTTAAAATTTAAAACCTCCTTATAATTTACATATTTAGACAGAAAAACAGCAACACCCGACTTAACAAGAGACTCAAGATTCGATACCTATAGGGACAGTTGGTGAAGTTCCCAACACTTAAACAGAAGCACTCCTCGATGGGGAAGGCAAAAACGGTTGCTTGTAAAAACCCTGAGAGAACCTCTCTCCTTAAACCACCCCGAATTTAGTGGAAGCCTCAATTACAGACCAAGTCATAAACGCTTGAAAATCAAAATATAGGAAGGACACCAATCGCAATTCTGAATTTAAAATATTCAAAAATGGCAGAAAAAAGCCTTAAAATCCTTAAGAAAAATTTTTTACTATCCAAAAAATCCTCCAAACGCAAATCCCCCAAGCATACAGAAAATACTAAAAAATAATTTTTTTAGAAATTTATCACTCCTCAATCAAAAAATGCACTATAATTATTATTATTCCTCATTAACTCTACTAATAACCCTACTTATACAAAAAACAAAAGCAACAACAGAATGGTTTGGAGATGCCCGTGCACACATGAATCCTCCACAACAACCCCCATTTTATGACATTGTATATGATGAATCAGGTATATAAATGATTAAATTGATTAGATAGATAATATGGAATAGGAATGAAGAGAATTAAATTTTTGACTTCCTTTAGTTTTGGGTAGGGTTGGTCCCCGTCCCCGAAAGTGGGGAATATGAGAGACCCCCCGTCGGGGACCAACCCTAGTTTTGGGTCGATTCCTTCGCATTGACTTAATAAAACTAAGGCTTTGAGGTAGACTAAGGGTCTACTCTTCCTCTGTTCATTCAAAATTTGTTATCGAGATCGATGTTTTCGCAATCGATCTCAAATCCTAAGTCTAGTCTCTAATTCGAACACTCAATGAAAAGTATTTTTAAAGATTGCCCCTTCGGATTGGAAAGTCATGCAATTCCTGAATACGTCTATTTTGGTGAAATGATTGGAGCTAAACAAGTGCGTGAACATTCTTTATGCTTACAATTTTGTTTGGAAACAACTAGATGTAAAGCTGTAAATTACTTTGAATCGATTGGGGGAAAAAAGGTAATAAATAAATTGAATGTTGAAAATAAACTAGGGATCGGATAGACAAGTCAGTTGAGCTTTAATTGAGAAAAAATTTCGAGTATCGGACGACTTTTTGAGGTTTAATTCCTCGGAAGATCTAACACAATAAGATAAGACAGCACAAATATAAAATCAAAAGAAAATATGCCCCTGTTATCACAGAATCCATTCAAAAATTCTCTTTTCCACTCCCCTCTACCTGAAAAATCGCCCAAATATACCCCTTCCCTGTTCATCTACTAACTCTCTTTGTTATATCCTAGGACTAGTCTTACCTAGTGGCTAACAGAAAAACATAAGAATAGAGTAACAGATTTATCAGAATAGTAAATACAAGAATGACGAAGCTGGCAAAAGGCAGGAATGACTAAGGACGTCGGCAGCTCAGGTGCCGACCAAGACTGATCGCTAATGACACCTTTATTCTAGACCCATAACTTTTGTAGAGGGTAGCACGGGGGACTTGGGGATGAAACTAAGAAAACATCAAATTCCAATTAAAATGTTTATTTCCGAAAATAAAATATAAATATGAAGAAAAAAGGGGGCAGAGGGGTTCACGTCAGCATAGCGAGAAAATACAAAGGAAAGTGAAAGGGGAAGGAACGGGAATGGCACGCTAACAACAAAAGCCCTAAAATATTTATATCTCGGGAAAAATGGGTGGAGTTCATATTTAAAATCTTTCTTTCTCTACATCCATCCCTTCTTAATCGAAGTTGCCCCGCAACTTCATTTAAAATGGTCCATTTTGTTGTTTTTTACCAAATTTTGTTGTGGGCGTTTTTATTGTGGCATTTTGTCGTTTTGGTATTTTTTTCCAATTTTCAAAATTATACTATTTAAGCGGGGAAAAAATAGGATCTTGTTCATTTTTCTAATTTATTAATTTTCGAGTTTTTTTCTTCTTCCTCCCTTTTTTAAACGTATTTTCTTTTTTAATTTTTATTTCGAAAAAAAATTTCCCTTTTTTTTTTATTTTTTATTTCTAAAAATTTTCTTTCTTTTTAAATTCCCTTTATATTTTGTATATGTTCTATTGTAGGGTTGCCGTTTTCGGTTCGAGCCGACGTTCGGTGCATATTTTTCGAGCCTGGTTTTTTCGATTCGGTTCGTTTTCAAGCTGAAGAGCTCGATCTTCTCTTTCGAGTTTCGGGTCGAGCAAGCTGGCAACCCTAATCTTTCGGTTCCTTTTTCTATTCTCGTTTATGTTTTGGCTTCTGAGGGTTCTGAAAGGAAAAAAAGGGGGGGGTTTATATTTTCGTGTGGATTCTTCATTATTTTTATTGTTGTTTTTGTTGGGGTGACTTGATGGTTGTTGTATAGAACTTTTGATGGGTTGACTAGGTGTTTGAATTTTTAATTTATTGTTGGGTTGACTAGGTTTTTTGATGAGTGACTAGATGTTTTGATTAATTTGGTTGTATTGTTGTGTGGTTAAATGTTTTGACTTTCTTCTTTTTTTGTTATGTTTTATTTACATTTAAAATACAATTTAATTACGAACTAAATAAGTATTACAGTCGAACTTCGACTTACGATTCAATGTGTATATATTTTCGGAATGTCTTATAGTGAGGTCCGACTGTAATATTTTCTAAAATTTATTCAAACAAGAATTTATTCAAAGCTCCTAGTAAAACATTACCTTTCTTGGCAAAGAAAAATGAATAATAGAAATGAGGGCAAAAGCAAAAATAAAACAAATGGTATGGGCAAAAGCAGGCTGAATTTGTACTTTCAGTTATTTGATTATGAGATAAAGATATTTAAATTCATCCTGTTTTCGTATAAAGATAGGGGGAGTAACCAAGAAAGGTTGTGTTTTGTTTCTATATCTTTTGGTTATTTCTAATTCTATTCTTGTGTGTAGAGTGACCAATATTGTTCATGCTAGTTTCTTATTTGGGTTTACCGGTTTAATGCGCCGCGTTTGCTGTTTGTAAAGCCTGACAAGACGCAATTTCTTTAAAAGTTTTGGGAAGTTTGGTCACTCTGCACCTTCATGTCTAAGTTTATCTAAAGCGGGCGAGCGTGCAATATGTAAACGCTAGTGTCAGTCTAGTTGGATCATACGCGACTTGGCTAGTCCCTGATCTCCTTAATCTGATTCTAAGTTTTTCCTAATTATTTTTGTTTTGAAAAAATTCTCCAGCTCGCCGACCTTTGTAAATTTTGTATTTTTTGAAATTTTGTATTTTTTATATTTTTGAAAAAAATTCTATTTAAGTTTATTTTAGTGGTTATAAAGCAATGCGTCGCTGTTGTTTAAGCTATATTTAAAAATTATTTATTTTTTTTTCTAATCCTAAATGTTAAAGCGATATTTTCTTTTATTTTATTTATTTGTGGATTTTTTTGTATTTTGATTTTTTGTATTTTTTGTATATTTTTTTTGGTTTTGTGTGTTTAATGTGTTTTGGGTTGGGTTATTGTGTTAGATCTGCCAGTAGACATTCCTAAAAAAATTAGGTGGTTCTTTAAAGGGGACCTCGTTGAGTGATGGAATTTTTGGTCTAAATTTTCCATAGGTGTGTGTGTTTGGTTTGTTTTGGGTGGATATTTTAAGGTTCTTTCTTACCTCCTCTAATAATTTTCCCATTAAATTCTCACCTTTAAATGGTTTCCCAGCTTTTAGCTGGTCTATCGAAAGTGCACACCCCCACCTTGAGTCATACGGATTCACTTCTATAATTTGTAGGCGTTTTGTATTTATTAGGTCTTGGGCGAGGATTCTGTTTTGGGTGAATTTGGCTGTTAGAATTTGGAACATGTATTCTTCACTTACCGAATTCCACTCTCTTCGGTTAAAATTTTTAATTGTCCTACCTAATCTTTTAATCTTATGGGGGTAAGTTTCTTCCATTATTTGGGTTATTGAGTACTCATCTTTAAAATACCAGGCTTTTATGTATGTGTATGCCTGTTCTGAACAGGAGAATCTAAAACCCCAAAGGTCAAATGTTGCTGGGAAAAAATTGCTGAAGGGGTGGGTTCTTCCAAAGAAAGGTATAACTTGTTTTCCATTGTACTCTGTTGAGGGTGTAACGAAGTTCATGTAGTCCGACATTACCTGAAAAGATTTTTAATAATTTTTCCAATTTAAATTAAGGGTAAGGGATTATTTTTCCATTTTATTTCTAAAAAAAAATTTTTTTTTTTTAATTAGTGTCCGCAATTGTTACATTTAAAGGAGTCTTTGAGGGGTCTAAAGCCATTTTGTTGCCATTTATGGATCGCTTCTCTCCCTAGTACTATTTCCGAGGACCATGTATTTGCCTGGAGGGTTTCTTGGGTAATATAAAATGGGATTTCTGCTTGATTTTGTCCGTCGAATATGTAGGCTTGTGCGGTTCCAACGATTTTGATATTCTGGTTTCCGTCAACTTTTTCAAAGGGGTCAAGGTATTCGCATATTAGATTCATGTTTTCAACGTGATGGGGCATGATATAATTATTGTTAAAATTTTCCGAAAGAAAAGATTTAGTAAAATAATAATCTATAAGGATTGGTATAATGGTTTCTGAATTTTCCATTTTGGTTTAAGTTGAAGTTGTGAAGGTGGATGACTTAAAATTAATTTATTAGATATGGGGATTTTATTTAAATTGTGTGTTTATTTTTTCCGTTATTAGTTTCTGTTAATTATTTTCTGAATTATGTTCCTGTTCCCCCTCGCTTGAATTTTTTGTTAGCTTTCTTAGGGGTATGGTGCAATTTTGAACAAATTTTTTCACTTTATCCATATGTATTTTAATTGTTTTTTCAGTGTCTATATTTTTAACAGTTAAAACGGGAGGTTTTATTGACAAAATTCTCCAAGGTCCGCTCCACTTGGGACGAAATTTGTGAGCGTTTTCAACTTCGTAATGATCAATTTTCACAAAGACTAAATCGAATATTTTAAAATCGTGTTCTTTTCTGGATTTATCTGCGTTTTCTTTTTGACTTATTTGGGATTTTTCTAGTGTAATTTTTACTAACTTCCAAATTTCTTCAATTCCCTTAACATTCTCTTCTAAATAATTTGAAATATTTTCTTCCCTATCATTTTCTTCCCAGTTCGACAATCTTAAATCTATTGGTAATAGTGGGTCTCGAAAGAATAAAACAAAATATGGGGATTGCTTTATACTTGCTTGAATACTCGTATTGTATGCGAAAACAACACTTTGTAGGAAATAAGCCCAATTATTTCCTTTTTGATTTACATAACTCGCTAACATATCTCCTATGACTCTATTTAACCTCTCCGCCATGCCATTACTTTGGGGGTGATAAATAGTAGTTTTGTTGTGTTTGAACCCATATAATTTTGTAATATCTTTGAAAATGTTACTTATGAATTGCTTGCCGTTATCTGATACGACAACTCTCGGACAACCAAATTTTGTAATAAAATTGTTTGTAAATGCTTGTGATACTGTTAATGCCGTTTGGTTTTCCATGGGGACTGCGACTAACCATTTCGAAAAGGAATCTACTACTGTAAATATATATTTATAACCTTCGACTGTGATCGGGACCGGGCCCATAATGTCAATGTGTACTCTGTAAAATGGGACTTTTGCTGTTGTGATTGGGTGGATTGGTTCCTTAAATACATTTTTCGAAGTTGTTTTCCTTTCTTGACATTTTGAACAAGAATTTACATAATTGTAAACGTCTGATGCTAATCTTTTCCAGAAAAATCTCTTCTTTACTTTTTCTAAAGTTTTTGTAATTCCTAAATGGGCTCCTATTAATTCATCTTCATGGCATTCCCTGATTATTCTTTCCCTTAAGGGTTGTGGTATAGCTATTACTGGGTATGTATCATTTCCTTTTTCAATCCATTTATATAAGGTTTTATCAATTATTGAAAAATTTTCTTGTGGGTTTTCATTTTCCGTTTCTAGTTCTGTTAAAGGATTTTCTTTTCGTTCGTTTAACTTTTTTATAATTTCTTTATAATTTCTGTCTTTATTTTGCTCTTCCCTTATTTCTTCTAGAGAAACTTTTTCCCAAATTGTTGGTGGATTGTACAGCTTTTTTGGTAGTTCAAAATCGATGGGATTGTCTCGGGTTTTTTCTTTAAATTTATTTACAAAGTCTTGCCATTCGTTTACTTCCAAGGCAAAAATGTCTTTATTTGCATTGGGTTCATTGTTTGGGTATCTTGAGAGATGGTCACAAAATTTATTGGATTTTCCACTTCGGTGTTCGATTTTAACGTCGTAGGCTTGTACAGCTAGTTGGTATTTAGCCATTCTTCCAACTAAATTTTTATTTTTCATTAATGAACAAGCGACTGAATTATCTGTCCTAACAATTGTCGTTCCAATACCTTCAATATAGGGGCGATATTGCTCTAAGCAATAAACGATCGCAAGCGCTTCTAATTCGGCTGTAGTGTATTTTTGTTCATTTGGAGTGGTTTTTCTAGAGGAAAATGAAATAGGGTGTTCTCCGTCGTCTTTTTTCTGGAGTAAGCAACCTGCGATTGCGATTTTTGAAGCATCTGTTTCAATAATAAAGGGTCTTGAAAAATTGGGTGACGCTAGTACTGGGGCTGTTATAAGTTTTTCTTTTATTGTATTGAATGCTTTTTGGTGTTCTTCGGTCCAATTTTTGTCAACCGATTCACCTGATTTTGTTAATTCATGTAATTTAGCCATTATTTGAGCGAAATTTCTTATGAAACGCCTAAAATAGGATACAGCTCCGATAAAGCTGCGAAGTTCTGTGAGAGTTTTGGGGGGTTCAAATTTCTGGACTGCGGCAATATTTTTAGGGTCTGGTCTAATCCCTTCTTCACTGATTAGGAATCCTAAGTATTTAATTTCAGATTTCCCAAACGAACATTTTTCCAATTTTAATTTTAAATTATATTTAATAAGTATTTTTAAAAAATTCTCTATGTCTTTTAAATGCTCTTGTTCGTCTATCGATCCTAGTATAACATCGTCCAGATAAACAAGAAAAGATGCTGACAGATCTTTTCTAAGGTATTCCATGACTTTCATAAAAGTACAAGGAGCGCCGCAGAGGCCGAAGGGCATGCGAAGAAATTCATAAACTCCGCAAAAAGTTGCGAAGGCTGTTTTTTCTATGTGTTCGGGTAAAATTCCTATCTGGTGAAATCCTGCCTGGAAATCAAAAGTCGTAAAAATAGACTTTCCTCCTATTTTGTCTAGGATATCTGAGATCATTGGCAAAAAATAAACTTGTTTTTTTGTGTTTTGATTTAATTTTCTATAGTCAATAGCGAAGCGATATTTCCCGTCTCTTTTCTTTACTAGTACAATTGGGGATGCAAATATTGATTCGGAGGGTCTAATAATATTCTGTTCCAGCATATCGTGTATTTGTTTATGTACTTCCTCTTGTAATCCTGGCGGGACTCTGTAGGGTCTTTGTTGGACATACTGTTTTTCGTCAATTAGTTCGATTTTATGTTGAATGGGGCCATTGAAAAAACCTATTTTACCGTCTTCTCCCACAAAGGCTTTACTATTTTTATAAATAATATTTTTTAAATCATTTTTAGCTTTTTCAGACAAACAGGAATTTTTAAAATCAATATTTTTTTCCAAATATTCCCAATTTATTTCTTTTATTTTGGCCTTGTCTTTAACTACTTTATTATTTTCTTCGGTTATTAGTGTATTTGAAAATATTTCTTCAACATTATTATTTTCTAATACTTCATAAAAGCCTATTGATTTTGCGGGGAACAAAATTATTTTTGAATTTCCGCCATTTCGGATTCGAGCATAAACATTATTGCCTTTACAGATTGTTTTTCCTACTAGTATTGAATCTTCGTCGAAATAATTACCTTTGCTTACTAAAATATCATTTTCTAGGTTTTGACTATTTTCGATAAAACAGGGGACTAATGTATCTGTGTGAGGGTCTAGAGTTATCTTTTCTAAGTTTTTAACTTTTTGTTTTATGGGTGTTATATTAATTGCTGCAATCATTGGCAAGTGTGTTAATTCATTATTTCTAAAATTCACAAATTTTACTTTTTTTCTTAGCCAATCAAAAATAAGTTCGAAGCCTGTTTTTGTCTGTAATTGTTTCATAAAATCCGATCCTAGTAAAATTTCGTATGGACAAAATTCATCTTTTGCGACAAAAATTTGGGTATTTATTTTTAATTGGGATATTTCAATTGTTATATCTATTTTTCCTATCATGAAAAATTCTTCACCGTTTGCTACACGGGCTCGAGTATTGGGTAAAAGGTCGAATTTTATTTTTCCTATTTTTAAAGCGATTGAGTATTTACAGTAACTTATTGACGCGCCGGAGTCTATTAATGCCTTCATTGTAAAATTATTTGTTTTAATTTCTATTAAAGGATGGTTTATTTCGGATTCTATGTCTAGTTCTAAATTTGATATCTGATATATTTTTGGGATATTTGAGTGAATAAAAGCTTCCATTTCAATTTCTTCTAAAGGGGCGCTTGGTTTAATATTTGTTATATTATTTATTTCAACTTCTTTTAATTGTTTTCTTTTTGGCCTTAAACTTAGAAATGGTTGGATCCAAGGGTAAAAATATATTACTAAACCTATTACAGCAACTACTGGAATAATATATATAAGCCATTCTAGGTATTCTTTCCATTTAGTGAGGCCTGTCAAAATGCTTAAAGGGTTTGCAGAAATGTTTTTCATTGATTCAATTCCTGATGCTACTAGGGAACCTGTTTCTTCTCCAAGTTTTATAAGTATATTCGAAACATTTTCTCTTGTTATATTTCTAATATTTAAAATTTTTTCTTGTTTATTTATTCGGTTCGCGTAGCTGTGGAGTACTGAGATTGAAGCCATTAAACTATTTAAATCTGATTGGAATATAGTCTCTGCCCTAAAGATTTTTCTGGCTTCTTCTGGTTTATATGGGAGAAAATTGGGTACCATTTCCACTGGAGTTAATCCTTCTGTTGTGCGCCATTGGCCTTTCTCATCCTTAAAAACTGACTTGGGACGGTCCTCGCAATTAATTACTTCACTTTCAGATACCAAGTCTTGAGCGTATGAGCCGCTGATTAAAAATAGGGTTCTCGTTACATTATCTTCTTTAACTTCGACTGGGACTCTTTTGTAACAAGTCCCATTGACTTCGTGATTCCAAAAAATTTTTGTGGGGTTTAATTGAAAACATCGAGAAATTTCTATAACTTCGCCTAAAAATCGCGCGGTTATGTCTTGTCTACGTAGCCATAGTCTTGCTCCAAGAGTTGTATCTATACCCATCATAGTTTTGGCTGTCTCAATTTGTTTATTATGAATGTTACAAATTTCACCCCATAATTTATCGAAATTTTTCTTAACCATTTCTGCTGTGTGTATTTCCAGGAATTGTAACCTTGTGTTTAATTGACTATTTATTTGTGAGTCTTTTATTGTTTTGGGGCGTGTTTGGTTATTCCCTATTTGCCAGGGTGTGTCTCTTCTAAATATTTTTGGTTTAATTCCAAAAAATTTGGCCATGTCTTTTACAACTATTTTTTGTTTATTATCTATATTTTTTATTTTTATAATCTTTTTGGGTTCTATTATATTTTCTTTATTTATTATATTTATTATTTTTGTTAATTCTTTTGGTTCAGGTTCAGGGTTATTTTGTGTATTTGGGATTAATGTTCTTGCTCTTTTTAGTATGTTAATTGGGGTACTGGTGATTATTTCAGATCGTTGTGTTTGGAAATGTTTATTTGTTTGTATTTTGCTTGCCAGATAATGTGGAGTAGATATTTTGATTGGACTAGTTGGTAAAATTTTTTGCTCTATTTTAATGGTTGGCCGTGTTAAAATTTCAATATCATTTTCATGTATATTCGGCCTTTTGGTACTGGTTACGGTCTTAAACGGTATTCCTGTTTTTACTCCTTCCGTTGGTTTTTGAGTGGTTCTTTTGTAAATTGGGTTTATTGTTTTTAAAATTTTAGTTTGTATCGTGGGGGTTGTGAAAGTATGTGTTATAATTTTTTCTGTTGTTATTTTAATATTTTCTTTATTTGTATTTGGGACTTTATTAATATTTGTTTCTTTTAAAATTTTTATATTTTGGTTGATATTTTGAGGTTGCGGTGTGGTATATTTTTGTATTTGTCTATTGGTTATTTTTTCTGTTTTAAATATACTTTTTGTAGTCATTTCAGTTTCTTTTTGCATTGTGGCCCGAACTGTGGGACTTGTATTTATTGTAGGATGTGTGGGTAAAATCGTGGTCAATTTTCTTGCCCTTTTTAATTCTCTTTTTTTCCTTAATATCTCATCCTCTTCCTCATTTCCCCATCCTATTTCTGCAAACAAGGGTATTCTCAAACCAAAATCTTTGTCAATAAAGTCTCTTAGCTTTGGAATTGAAATGAATACGTCATTTTCCATATAGAATGTGTTATTTTTGAAACATAATTGTTTATCATCTGTTACATTGCCTGTGGCGAATTCTGAGAAGATGAAGGCTGCTTGTAGATTTTCAACAAGAATATAATCATTGGAGACAATTCCTCGAAAAAATCCGGCGGACTCGTATTTACAATGTAATTCCTTAGGGTCTTCCCAAACAATAGTACTATTTCCATTTTCACAACTATTTTCGGTTATTGAACAATTCTGGTAAATTCCTAAGTCCGTTTTTACCATTTTAGTTTCAAAATTTACATAAACATTTCCAATTGAAATTATAAAGTCAAAGTCATAAAAATAACTAGTGCCAAAAATTCCCCAATCAATCTTCAAATTAGTTATAGACCTTAGTGTGTTTTCGTCAATTCTCTCTAATATTTTATTCCCTAGTCGGCCTTTTTTTATAAGTTTCCAGCACTCGTCTACTGGTACTGACTCAATCATGTCTTTTATCTCAATTTCTGTGTTATAAATTCGCATAAATGTGTAAGTACTTCTTCCAAAAATTAATTTTTCGCATTTAAATCCAGTAAAAATATAAGGTCTTTTACGAGGAACAAATATTTCAACATCATATTCCTCATATAAATTACCTTTTGGAACAGTACAATTCATTTTTTCGGGTGGGGCTAACAAAGTTGGATTTTCCTCTTTTAGGCAAACTTGGTAGCCTGCGGCGTTTTGAAGGAAAATTAAACTAATTAATGTCAATAGGGGAAAAATAGGTGATGGGGATTTTCTATTTTCAACAACATTTATTTTGTAGCCTCCTCTCCCACGCGATCTACGGATTTGAGGGTTTAATCGAGTTCTATTCGCATTATTACTTTGGGTCTGTTGGAAATTTTGTTGGTATGGTCTAAATTTATTCTGTTGGTTTCTCCAATTACCTCTGTACGGTGTTCGGTTGAAATTGTTCCAACGCGAATTTTGTGGGTAATTATTTTGAAAATTGGGTCTAGGGAAATTTGGTCTTCTTGGAAATCGGGGCAAAAATCTTTGGAATCTATTATTAGTATAGTTTTGATTCTGTTGGGTTTGTACTCTTCCAATCTGGTTAATACTTTCAACTTGGGCATTGGTTAATTTTTCGCGGGAAAATTCTAATTGGGATTCTTCTTCTTCAATAGCCTGTTGGATGGCTTCGGGCATACTATTTGGTTTTGGCATCCTTCTAAGTTGTTCGCGCAAGTCCATTTTAAGTCCTCCCCGAAAAAGGTCAATCGCCATCTCACGGCGTATATCGGCGTTAAAGCCGCCAGAATCCGGGTAGGCCTTATCGACCAATTGGGATATAATTTCGGCGAATTCGGGGATTGATTCATTGGCTCTTTGCCTTCGGGTCTGACACATTCGTCGAAAGTGGGGGACACTACTGCCAATGGAAAACTTTTGGGCTAACTGGTCGATTAAAATATCCCAGTTTCCTTTCTGTGGGGTTGTTAAGTTGTCATAATATACCTGGGCTTCTTTTCCTAGAAAAAGAGGGAGCATTCGAGCCATATCCGCTTTATTCCATGAGTAAGCTGTCCCAACTTTGTTGAATTCGGTTATAAATGCAGAAAATGTGCGTGGATCGCGCCTTCCCATGAACGGGTTAATGCTTATGTTCGGCTTGTTCCCTAAGCCTCCTATCTTTACATCCAACTTTTCAAGCTTTTCCGCTAGCTCTTCCATTTTCTTTTTAAATATTCTCTTTTCCCTATTTTTATACCTTTTAGATCTTTCGCTTTTGGGGGGAGTAGTTTCAGTAGAAACGTTACCAACCTGACTGTCTTCCAGAGAACAAGTCGATTCTTGATTTTGTTGAATGCTTTTGTGTTGGTTGCGCGATTGAGTGTTAGTATGTATTAGTTTGGCTTAATAAATGAGTTTGTTGAAAAATTTTTTTTTAAAAAAAAAAGGTAATCTACCTTAATTTTCGTCTAAAATTTATATTATTTTATTCTATTTATTTTTATTTAAATTTTACTAATTATTTTAATTTTAGATCGAAATGTAAATAAATTTAATTATTTTATTTGTCTCCACAAGGTAAGGTAAAAGAAAATATGTAAGTTCTCCAAAAATTTCAGGATTTTAAACTTTAAATTTAGAATAAAATTTTAAGATTTTTTTTTTCAGTAGAGTACGTCGAGCACCGAGTATTTAGGAAAAATCGGTTTCGGGTATGCCGAGTTTGAAAAACTGAGTTCGAGTTCAACTTTTTAGGTTGAATTCGAGTAGTTGACTAATTTTAAACTATAAGTCATCAGTGCTGAGTATTGGGCATTCATTGACAGTAATTGACAGTAATTATTTTGGGAATTTGTTCCGGGGACTCGCTCGACTCGGACGTACTTTATTTTGAAGATAAAACATATTAAAAGTTTAAATTAAGTAAATTATATTTAAGACAGTTCCTGTGTTAAAATTGCCGTTTTGATTTTAAACTAACTTTTAGGTAACTTACAAGAATGTTTTTGGATATTTATCTACGTTCCCCAAAAATTTCAGGATTCTAAACTTAAAATTTTGAAATAAATTTTTTGGGTTTTGAAATTATGTACATTCTCCGGAAAAATTAAATTTGGAATATTTGACAGTCAGAAAATAAGACCTTTCTAAGTAATTTTATTCAGGATTTGACCAAAACCTTGATTTTACTTATATCATCTTTCCTCATCTTTCACTTAGATGTTTCGAAACAAAAAAAAAATCTTTAGTTTAAAAATTAGTTAAAAATATGGCCTTAAAAATCGAAGGTAAATATATTTTATATTTGAGATAGAAATTCAAAATGTGATTTTAAAATGAAAATTTGAACAGCTCTAACCTAAATAATTATTAGAATTTATATAATTTTTTGAAAAATAAAACAATATATTTGTGAGCAATATATTTGTGATTGGAGGGCCCTTTCCTTTGACAGAGGGAGAAAAAACGCGTGCCGGCACTTTTTTTAAAAAAAGGATTGTATATTTCCGAAAAATCCTTTGTGTTGCCCCTATTTTTTGAAGTCTTGTGAGACTTACTGCACCGAGGTCTCTTTTTGAGCCTCACGCCAAAATTTTGGCTTTATTTATTATTCGGCGGGGCGAAAACAAAAATGGGGATAAAAATGGTGCACTTTTGTTTGGCCAACTAATTCCCCTTTCTCCCGAGCATGGCATTTCAGCCATTTTTTCTGTTTCTGGGTGGTAACATTTTTTGGGACGTTAAAAGTATTTTTTGTTTTTTTTTTTTTTTTTTTGTGAGAATTTGTGTGGCATTGTGGTTGGGGACAAAAAATTGTTTTTATGTTTAAAAAATTTAAAAAAAATGTGTGTGTGTGTGTGTGTGTGTGTGTGTGTGCGTCTGGCAATTTATTTGGCCTTAAAATGTGGACTAGAAAAAATTTTTGGCTAATGCGTGTGGCCTGTTGTGTATGTGGCACTAACAAATTTTGGCATTAACGTAAAAACGTAAAGACTAGGAAAAAAAATTTTTGACTAATATATAGAAGGGGGGAAAATGCACTTTTATTTACTCTTACAGTATTCTCTACAACGTTTTTTTTTGGATCTTAATGTGGGTTGTTTTTAAAATAGAGGATTTGCGGATTTTTGATTTTTTGAAGATTATGAGGATTTTTTATATTTTTAATTAGTTTTTGTTTAAATTTTTATAAATTGATTTTTCTAACCCCTTTATTTTTTTTAAAGCTATTTTTACTTATTTTTTGAAATCAATCAACAACCTATTTATGGCCATTATATAAAATTCATTAAAGCGCAATAGGCAAAACAAAAGAAAAGGAAAGTTGAAATTAGGTGTATACATGGTGGTAGCAGTAATCACATATCCTTCTATTCATTTTTAAAATGAAATTACCTTTTAAATTCTCTTTTTTAAAGATTTTATTTTTAAATGAAAATATTTATTTTAATTACCTTTTTTGTCTTTATTTGGGCGGAAAGCCCACCTGAGACCTTTAAAGGTTGGCTTCTTTCCCAACCCGGTCATTGCCTTGGATGTGATGGTTACTGTTATCACCCTGTCGAGTAGGTTTTTGAAGAATTTAAAATTGGAGATGGGAATATCCGTATATTGCCGAGCATTGTTTATAAATTTCAGTTTTTGTTCGTACTCGTACTTCGTACCAGCCTATTTTTCGAATTTTGGTACGAGTTTATAAACACTGTTGATGAGAATATAATTTTTGGAACATAATTATGGAGGGTTTTGGAAGGAAATAGGGATTTTTGTTTGAGTTTGAAACGTGGGATTTTTGGATAAACTATATTAAAGTGCATTTACAGTATGTACGAGCCTGTTTTGTGTCTTCCAACTCTACTCGACCAAGCGCCTACTCTGGCCTGTCCCTATCCCTGGTCTATAATGGTTATTGTGATTGTTTTTGGCGGGTTGAATTTTGTGGTTTTTGGAGTGTTTTTTGTTGTTGGGCTGCGCCTTCTGCGCTTGATTACTGGTCTGAATCGGCGGAGTGCGCCTCGTGGCATTCGTGCGCCTTTAGAGTCAGCCCGCCGCCTTCGGGACCATGGCGTCCGAATGCATGAGATCGACCTGCATTGGGCAGACAATTAAGAAAAAATATATATATTTAATAATTTATTTTAAATAAACAAGAAATATTTATTTTTAATTTTATTTATATAAATATATTTTTCTAAATAAACTCATAAAATTTAATACAGGCGAAAATTTTGAGAATTTTGGAAAAATCTTTAGTCCGGGGTCGGAAATCGGAATTATCGGAAATCGGAAGGAAAAACGTTGGAAATCGGAAGGAAAAAACGTCGGAAATCAGAATTCCGACCCTCAGCTCGTGACGAAGCCTAGGACCTCCAATTGTAGAGGGTAGCACGGGGGACTTGGGGATGAAACTAAGAAAACATCAAATTCCAATTAAAATGTTTATTTCCGAAAATAAAATATAAATATGAAGAAAAAAGGGGGCAGAGGGGTTCACGTCAGCATAGCGAGAAAATACAAAGGAAAGTGAAAGGGGAAGGAACGGGAATGGCACGCTAACAACAAAAGCCCTAAAATATTTATATCTCGGGAAAAATGGGTGGAGTTCATATTTAAAATCTTTCTTTCTCTACACTTTATTCTAGACCCACATACATAACTTTCTCTCTATCAAATACTCCCCCCCCCGTGCCCCTCTAATTACAGAATTTTCACAAATATCCCTCTCCCTATCTTCTTCCCAACATTTACCCCAAATATTAAAACACAAATTTCCCCAAACATTTTTTAGGACCAAAAAACAGGCTTTTGTGAATTGCTAGTTGAAACCCAATATGACAACCCCCGTTTAATGAGACCATTTCGAAAAGCAACATATTACGAAAAAATAAAATGCCGGACTTCCGTTGAAGGAGAAGAAGCAACAGACGAAGGACAACAACCTTTTGAATTTAATACTAGCAAAGGAAAAGATTTATTATTACAACAAACACCTTCTTCTCCTTCCTCTGTTGAGAGAAGGTTGTTAATGACTGGGGGAGGAGGAATAAAAAATGAAAATATTGGAAAATTAACGACAATTAATAATAATGAAGAAAATAATAACAAAAAAAGTGGTGAAAGAAATAATAAAATAAAAAATAATTTAAAAGAATCATCAGAGAAAATGATAGGCAAGTTTTCTTAAATTAATTGAAAATTAATTTATTTCTGCAAAAATATACATATAATTTTTGATTTTTGGTAAAAATAAGGAGAAAAAGAAAATTAATTTTTAAATGAAAGGCTAGAGGGGGACATTTGCGGAAATAAACTAAAAAAAAAGTAGGAATTTGGGAACAAACAGAAAAAAGCTTAACTAGCAAATAAACGGAATAATGACTCTGTAACATGATGTGGGTTAGGGGCCAGGTCCAAAAGAAAGATCGAGCCGGGCATCGAATTTTGGTCCGAAAAAGACTCGGCCGGGCCGGCCCGATAAAAATGACTCGAACGTCGGCCCGATTCGAAAACCCCAACCCTAATTAGATGCAAAGAGCCTCCCAAAAATGGGAGAGAGCGAAAAAATTTTTGGGAGGGAAATGATCAAACAAATGAATTTTTGCGTCTAAAATTCCCAAAATTTTCGCCTGCGGCACTGAAAAAGGGAAATTTATGTCTTGTTGGCCTTCCAAAATTCTCACAATTTTCGCCCAAATTTAAAAATTCCTCGTAGGCCCTAAACAAATTTTTTTTTAAATTCAAAAAAAAATTCCAAACAGGTTCAACAACTTCCCCTACCCCTTCAAATAAAGAATTAGAACGACAAAATCAAGAAAATGAAAGAAAAGCAGCCCTAAGGAAATTATCAAAGAAAATACATGAATTTAGCTTATTATTGAGAAGTAAATAAATTTTTTTATTAAATTTATATTTATTTAATTTTTAAAAAATAATAAATTTTTTTGGTCTCTAAAATTGTCTTTTGAGGGTTAAAAATGATTTTTAAAAAATCCAGAAAATAAGAAAAAGGGAAAAAATTTTTCTAAAAATTTGAAAAATGATGACAATTGATCCCAGTCTTAATTTATTGTCCAAAAAAATTTTAAAACCAAATTTAAAGCTATTTTTGGGTTCAAAGATGTTAAAAAACTCCTCATGATAAAAAATATTTTTCTTACTTTAAATGAAGGACTCCTTTATATAAATGGACTAAATGTCCACCTTATATCGGGTTTTCAAAATATCCTTCGGATAGGTCCGTTTATAGTCTGGGATGTCATGAGTTACCCGAAATCCGAAACTCGGACTTTTCTAGACCCAAAACCCGATCCTAAGAAAATTTTGAAAACTCGAACCAACTTTTTCCCAACCAGTACCATTTCTGCTTTATATGCCCCTTTATGTTCTTTTGCATAGTCCCCGACATAAACCCACACAAAAATTTTTTTTAGAATTTTTAAAAATATATAAAAAATTTTCCCAACCTTTTATCATTGTTTGGCGTTGTTGAGAATCAGCTTTATCAGTTTTTCGTTTCTTCCGACTATCCAAAGTGTCATCAAAAAATCCTTCCTCGTCTTGACGGTTTTGTGAAAATATCTAGAAAAATTTTTTCTAAAAAATTGCAAAACCTACTAGGGAAAAAATTTCAGGAAATTTAAAAAATGAAAAAAAAATGCTAACTAAAATCTAAAAAATTTATAAGCAGAAAAAAAACGCAATCAGAATAAAAAGAAACCTTCCCAACAAAAAACCCCCTACTAAAACCTTCCTTCCTAACAATTTTTTGGCATAGTTAGAAACTGTATAGTCAAAAATATATTGACAATTTTTGATTTTTTAACCCCAGAGTAACTCTTTTGGAGTTATAGGGCTTCAAATTGCCAATAAAACCAGGTCCAATTGCAAAACAAAATCCCCAGTCCAAAAATATTAAAAACCTCAGCAGCCTGGTTAAACATTGAAAGCTGATCCTCAGCAGTCGTTCGCTTCTCTTCAGCAAGCATATCGTCCAAACTTGATTGTTTTGAATATTCTTCTTCAAGTACACCCATTATTTGTTGTTTATTGTTGTTAGAATTGTCTGCCGTTTTATTTGACTAAAAAATAAAAAAATTAGAGTATTCTATACTTCTGTAAGTCGGCCTCAAGGGCGTAGCCACTTCTGGGGCTAAAGCCCCCCCCCCCTCCCCAAAATGGGGAAGGGGGAAATTTGAGGAGAGGATCGGGAAAAAAGTGAATTTTTGCCTATAACGTCTAACTTCAAAAAATTTACGTTCGAAACGCAAAAGCAAACGCCAAACCCAATTTTAGCGCCACCTGTTTGTCCTCAAAAAAGCTTCACTCAAATTAAAAAAACCTTATTTGAAGCAACTGCAGGTTTAGTCAATCCACTCTTTCTGTCCATTTCCATTAATATCACAGGTTTCTTCTCACCATTCTTTTCTTGTCCAGCTTCACCTTTTTTTGATTTAATTTCAATAATTCCTTCTTCAAGTCTTCTTTTTAATTTTACTACTTTTTCCTAAAAATTTAAAAATAATTTGGATTAGGGTTAAGCAACAAATTTAAAAGTGACCTCGAAATTATACGAAGAAAAACACGAGCTTTTTCATGGGGGTACAGCCCAAAACTACGCGACCGAAACTACGCAGGCCAAAACTACGCAAGGCCAAAACTACGCAAAACTATTTAGTACATTCAAATTGAAAATCTGCTGTTAATCAATAGATCACTTTCTGATGATCACCCTTGATCAGTTGATCACTCTCTGATGATTCTTTCTTCGGAATACGGAAAATTGTTTCCTGAAAATCCGGAAAATTCAGGAAAATCTGTACTATTCCGGAATCATTTTCCTGAAAATAATTTCCGTAATTCGGAAAATATTTTTCCGGAAAATAATTATTTTCGGAACTCGGAAAAATTCAAACGGAGCCGGTCCGGCACGAGCATGGAATTCAAAGTCCGGTTTTCGGATCAAGAAACTGATTTTGCCGGACATTACTAAATAGTTAGTTTTGCGTAGTTATGGGCGTGCGTAGTTTCGGTCGCGTAGTTTTGGTCGCGTAGTTTTGGCCCGCGTTGTTTTGGGCGTGTCCCTTTTCATGGAAATAATGAAAAGATATAAAAGCTCTTGGCCCCTCTTAAATTAAATTTTTTTATTGAAAAAGGGGATGGTAAGGGGTCCAGCGTTGATTTACGGTCTCCTAATACAACACTTTTTCGATTTTCGGGATAAAATCCGCGGATTAGAACCATAAAACTTTATTACAAATTAGTGAAATACACAGATTTTGTAAATTCACAATTTTGCTTGGTACTAGATCAAAATTTTGCTTCTTAAAGGATGTCAACCCAGAGGTGTTTCGAACAAAAAAATTCAAAATCTGTAAAATTGGTCGAGAAACAGCTCCCGTCACAACTGAATAGAGATCGGCCCGGGTCTGGACCAAGGCCTGGGTTTTTCCTGTAACCAGAGTCCAGGCCTAGGCATTTTTTGATCTTCCTGGGTTTTCCTAGGCCTGGATTTTTCCTGGACTACAGGCCCGGAACCTGGCCCAATCTCGATCTATAAGATAGAGGTCGGTAAAATCGCCTTCCCGGGATCCCGGAACGGGATTGAGTTTAAAAATTTTGAACGGGAAGGGATCCCGCGGGACCCATAAAATCCCGTACCGTGCCGAATTCTACTATAAGACACTAACATTTTCAAAATAAAAAGAAACCTTGTCTCCCTTCAATTCAGCTTTAATAATACTTTTTTTTTTTTTTTCTTTATCGAACACAAATAAATAAATGTGAAACAATAAAATAAAACTCCTGGATCCACAAGGATCACTTATGGAGAGGTAACATATAAAAAAAATCAAATACAATACAATTATACAGTTAAAAGAAAATTTTAGTTAAAAAAAAATTAAATAAATGGACTCCACAGAAACAAAACTAAATGTAAATTAAATAAATAAAAGTGGATATCATAAAAATATATATGTAATTACGGTAAAAAAATATTTGTATCAAAATTAATTTACTATTTAAAGATAAGTATGTTTAATAAAGAAAGTGAACCTTTAGACAAGGATTTTATTATTTTTTTTTGTTTTTTTATTATTACACTCCATTAATTCGTTACTCATAAATTAGGGTCTTCTGTGATTAATATATTGTCTAAAAATTTTTTAAATTGAGGAATGGTATTGATTTTTTCGATTTCATTTTTTGGAAGTTTATTCCACCTATCTATCACTCTATGTGAAAAGAAATGGTTATTCTGAGCTTGTTTCTTAAATATTTGATATCTATGCAAGCGCGGATTATTTCTATTAGGTTTAGAGAACATTTGTTCTGGTTTTATTTTATAGAAACCCTTTATTATTTTGAAGGTTGTCATAAGATCTGTTCTTATACGACGGATATTAGTTGGGGGAAGACTGCATCTTTTTAGTCTATCGGTGTATTCTATTTTTTGGTATTTGAATTTATATCTTAGAACTTTTCTTGTAAAGCTTCTTTGTGGTTTCTCTAATTGTTTGTTGAGATATTCTAGTTTAGGGCTAAAACTTTCAGTGGAATACTCCATAATTGGTCTTACGTATGTTTTGAATGCTTTTACATATGTTTCTATTGGTAATGTTTTGGGTAATATTCTTAGAATATTATTTAGCCTTATAAATGAGGACTTAGTAATTTTTGCTACATGTTGATCAAATTTAAGTTTGTTATCAATATATATACCTAGGTCTCTTATATTATTAACTTCCTCGATTTTTTCCCCATTTATGGCATAATTAAACTTAATTTTGTTGTATATTTTTAGAACCTTTACTTTTGTGATAGAGAATTTAAGTTTATTCTTTTCAGCCCATAGACATGCATTGTCTATAGCCTCCTGTAATTGTATACAGTCATTTTCTGTCTTGATTTCTGAGTATAGCTTAAAATCATCTGCATATAGTTTTACTTTTATATTTGTCGGAATGTTTTTGGGTAGGTCATTTATAAATATTAAGAACAATAATGGTCCCAACACCGTCCCTTGTGGGACACCTGTTTTTGGCAGAAATGGTTCAGAAAAATGTTCACCTATTTTTACAGTATGAGATCGATTTGTGAGAAAATTTGCTATCCATCTAATTGTTAACCTATCTATTTTTATTTCACATAATTTTCTTATAAGTATTTCGTGATCTACACTATCAAAGGCTTTTTCAAAATCAAAATAAATGACGTCTGTGCCTAACTTCCTATCAAGTGAGTTGTACCAATCTTGCATTGATGATAAAAGTTGGAGTGTACAAGAGCTTTTAGGTAAAAACCCAAATTGCTCTTCAGCTATTATTTTATGCTTGTTAAGGTGTTCTAATATGTTATTCGCTATCAGACGCTCAAAAATTCTACAGATTGGGGATGTTAATGCGATTGGTCTATAATTTTTAGGATCGTTTAAGGAACCCTTCTTTTTATATATAGGCAGAATGTGTGCTTTTTTCCATAATTCAGGAACAGTTCCGGTTTTAAACGTATTGTTATATAAGATTGAGAGTGGGAGAGCCAAGGGGGTAGCACATTTTTTTATAAAATATTGATTGATATTCTCAGGGCTATGGGATAATTTATTTGGGAGCTTTTTTAATAATTTTTCTATTATATATGGTTCGAAAATATTTTCTCCTTGATATTCATCCCCAGATTTGAGGCTCGCTTGTTTATTTTTTCTATCTCCACTAACTATTTCGTCAAAAATTTCTCTAAATTTATTTGCTTTGTCTGTGTCAGATGTTATTGGGTCACTTTCTTCAGATTCCTTAAGTATAGGTATACTAGAGAAGTTAAAACGATTTTTCTTTATTAGTTTATGTATTTCCCTTATATGCCCAGATCCTATCTTCTTAGACAGATAATTGTTTTTATGTTTCTCTATTTGTAATTTACATTTGATTTCAAGGCTTTTATAGGTATCTTTACTAATTGCACCTAATTTCAGCTTTTTCCATGCAACAGCCTTTTGTTGGATGATTTCTCTAATTTCCTTAGGGTATTTCATGGGTATTTTTTCGCTAAATTTTTTAGATGGGATAAATTTTTGGATTGTTTGGGTTATTATGGAATTTAATATGTCAGCTATTTCCGAGGGATTTTTGTTATTGAATATATTGTACCAATCATATTGAGCTAAATACCAATTTATTATTTTATATTTTCCTTTCTTAAATAATAATACTTTTCTTTTCTCTTTAGATTTTACTTTTTCGATAGGAAAATTTACTTCAAATACTATAGGTTTATGGTCACTCACAACTAAGTCATCTATAATTTTATATTTTTCGATTAATTGCCTATTTTGAAGAATTAAGTCTAGAGTATGGGAAGTATTGTACATTGTTGATTCCCTTATAACCTGATTTAAATTTAGTTTATTTATTGTATTATAAAAATATAAGCTCTGTTTATCTTTTGGAAGTGTAAAATCATGCCAATTTATTTTTGGAAGGTTTAAATCCCCTAATATAATATTTGAAAGTTCATTTTTGTACTTTTTCTTTATTATTCCCCAAAATTTTTTATCGTCTGTTAATTTTGTATTTGGCGGTCTATATATTAAGTGGAATCTAATCCTTTTAAATTCAGAATATATATCAAGGGTAAGAAGCTCATGACTAAATTCGGAGATTGAAAGAGTTGGAACATATGTAATTTTTAATTCCTTTTTATAAACTACGCCTACGCCGCCTCCTCTTGATTTTGCTCTATCTACTCTTAATAAATTATAATTTTCAGAAATAATGAGGGATTCGGTAGATATTTTATCAGTTAACCATGTTTCAGCTAGAAACGCTACATGAATATCGTTTTTAATTAAATAATTTTCTAGTTCAACTAATTTATATGCGACTTTTTCAGAATTAATGGAGCGTATATTTAAGAGTAAACAATTTAAATTTTTTATTTTTCTGTTATTTTCTTGAGTATTTTTCTGTGAGGTCCTTAAATCCTAGTCCAAGTTCACTTGCTTTTTATAATAAATTTTAAGATTACGGTAACAAGCTGTGCCATTTCCATGTTTTGCATTAATTTCTTTAACCTGTTGTTTGAGGTAATTTTGTAGTTGTAGTTCAGGTGGGGTTAAGTCCCTTCTTGCGAAAGGACTATGCCCACCTAAGGTAGGTTTGTGTATTGTTCTATATTGATTAATAAATGAATGTGCGGCAGCTGGAGTCGAAAATTTAACTTTGATGATTCGATGATAATTGTTTTGCTTCTTGATCCCGTGTCGTTTAACTTCGAAATTTTTTGCTTCCTTAAAGTTTTTGTTGTTTATTACTATTTGAACATTTCTTTCTATGTTCTTTAAGTCTTCTTCCTCATTTTCCAATTCTGGAAATCTTTCAATGACTGCGTAAAAACTCTTCTTTTTATAAAGTTCTTTCAAATTTTCATCAAATACGGGCTGTTGAAGATGTTCAATTGTCATTGCAGCTTGTTTAATTTTTGGTGGCATTAAGTTTGGGGGGCAACCCCATCGAGAAGTTGATTGTTGTGTTTGGGAAGGGAGTTGGTTGTTGTTGTATTTCTGATGTAATTGTTCAAATAATGTTTTAATTGTTGTTTCAATAATGGGTGTCAGAAGTTGGACAACATTTTGGGTGATTTGCTCAAGTTGTGTTTGTGTTAAAATAGGTGTTTTATCAACTTCGATATCAGAACTAATCGATTCATCGCGAAGTCTTTTATGATTTCCCATGAGGATTATTTTATTTGAAAATATTTATTGAGGAATTTTTTCGTATTCCTTTCTTCGGAATACGGAAAATTGTTTCCTGAAAATCCGGAAAATTCAGGAAAATCTGTACTATTCCGGAATCATTTTCCTGAAAATAATTTCCGTAATTCGGAAAATATTTTTCCGGAAAATAATTATTTTCGGAACTCGGAAAAATTCAAACGGAGCCGGTCCGGCACGAGCATGGAATTCAAAGTCCGGTTTTCGGATCAAGAAACTGATTTTGCCGGACATTACTAAATAGTTAGTTTTGCGTAGTTATGGGCGTGCGTAGTTTCGGTCGCGTAGTTTTGGTCGCGTAGTTTTGGCCCGCGTTGTTTTGGGCGTGTCCCTTTTCATGGAAATAATGAAAAGATATAAAAGCTCTTGGCCCCTCTTAAATTAAATTTTTTTATTGAAAAAGGGGATGGTAAGGGGTCCAGCGTTGATTTACGGTCTCCTAATACAACACTTTTTCGATTTTCGGGATAAAATCCGCGGATTAGAACCATAAAACTTTATTACAAATTAGTGAAATACACAGATTTTGTAAATTCACAATTTTGCTTGGTACTAGATCAAAATTTTGCTTCTTAAAGGATGTCAACCCAGAGGTGTTTCGAACAAAAAAATTCAAAATCTGTAAAATTGGTCGAGAAACAGCTCCCGTCACAACTGAATAGAGATCGGCCCGGGTCTGGACCAAGGCCTGGGTTTTTCCTGTAACCAGAGTCCAGGCCTAGGCATTTTTTGATCTTCCTGGGTTTTCCTAGGCCTGGATTTTTCCTGGACTACAGGCCCGGAACCTGGCCCAATCTCGATCTATAAGATAGAGGTCGGTAAAATCGCCTTCCCGGGATCCCGGAACGGGATTGAGTTTAAAAATTTTGAACGGGAAGGGATCCCGCGGGACCCATAAAATCCCGTACCGTGCCGAATTCTACTATAAGACACTAACATTTTCAAAATAAAAAGAAACCTTGTCTCCCTTCAATTCAGCTTTAATAATACTTGCACTCAAATTATTTCTTTCATCGTGAGTCATTTGTCTATATTCCTTCTCAGTTCCTCCTCCAGAAGTACTCGCCTCCATAACTTTTTGATTGCCATAAAATTCATTTTGAGATTTTTGACTAGCCCGAACAAAATCTTTCCCAGCAGCAAAGGTAGGGCCTAAATTTCGGGCTAAATGGGGGTCTATTGGTTTGGCTTTGACTGCTTCTTGTGAATAAAAATCTTCTTCTTCGTCATCGTCTTTAGGTCTACGAAGTAAATATGTACGCTTCATACTGAAAAATATAAAAATTAAAATTAAAGCAAAATGTCTCCAAAAAATCGAAAAGTAGGGAAAATAATAGAAGTCGGTGCGGGACGGGATCCCGCGCGGAATTTTGGGGGAAAAATTTTTAGAAAAAATCCTGCATGCGAGAAATAAGAAAAAAAAGTCTAGAAAATAAAGAAAAAATAAAAATATTTTTTATTTTTAGCCCAATTGACTGTTACCACTTTGATATTTGAAAGAAAATTTCAAAGTGTCAAAAATTAATTTTTACAAAATCCCAAAATTAAAAATGGTAACCGTCAAAATCTATCGGGAATCTTGTTCGGCAAGACAGATTTGCGAGAAAAAAAGATTTGCGAGCAAATCAAAAAAAGTGGGTACTTATTTAGTATCCCTCCCCCCGTCAGTTTTTTCGAAAAATATGTAAAAATGGTCAGTAAAATGGCATCAATGACGATTGGGCAGCCGTACAGTTCACCAAAAGACGATTCACCATACGGACGACTCACCGAAAAATATAGAGCTCTTTTTACCTTATGTTGTTGTTTTTCGTATTTTTGAAAAACTGCTCGCAAATTGCTCGCAAATCTTTTTTTTGATTTGCTCGCAAATCTTTTTTTCTTTAATTTGCGCCAATAAATTTTATTGGCGCCATTTAATTTGCGCCAATAAAAATTAATTGTTTTTCGATAAAAAATAGGTTGTATATTTACACAAATGAAAATTAAATTTAAAAAAAATAACGAAAGAAAAAAAATAAATTTAAAAACAATTTTCGTATTTAAACAATGCTCTGTTTTGAGGCTAAAGGGGTTTTATCGTCCCTTTTCTTTCTATCATTAAAATTATTTCCTGTTGTTGGAATGCGTAATGGACGGCCCAATCCTAGACCTGATCTTTGCCTTATTTCAAATCTCCGTTTAGGAGGGCTACCTTCTGGACTTGTTGTTGAAGAATCCCCACAATAATTTTCAATTTCCTTAAAAATAAAATTTTTTTTTGTTAATTTTCTAATCTACTGGCCATAGAAAAAAAGAACAGATATTTTGTATCTGTCAGTAGGTAATTTACTGAGTGTGTATGAGTCCCAATATTAGCTCAGAATTTAGAGATCGGCCTGGATCTGGATCCAAATTAGAGTCTCACCGGAAGTTCCGGTTCCGGGAACCGGAACTCAAATTGGATCCGGTTCCGATCAAAATTTCGGTTCCGCTGAAACACTAATCCAAACCTTAATCTTTATTAGGGTTGCCGTTTTCGAGTCGGGCCGACGTTCGAGTCATTTTTTCGGACCTCATTTTTATCGAGTCGAGCATCGAGTACTTTTTCGGGCCAAAATTCGACGCTCGACCGGACCAGGCTCGGACCGGGCTGGCAACCCTAATCTTTATATAGAGTCAAGCTCAAGGCATTTTCCAGTGTTCCTTGATTCCCCCTTAACTCAAAGTCAATAATCTGGTCACGATCCTCAACCAAAACCCACGAATCAAGGTTTTTTTCAATCAATCACCTATCTCTATTAAAATTTGGTCCAAATTTCGAAATGAACAAATTCTGGGCTAATCATCGGAATTATGTCACCACACTCGATTACCTATCTAAAAACCTCAAAAATATCGAAAGGACTCTTGTGGATTTTTCTAAGGACCAGTAAACTAAAAGATAACAAAAATTTTTTTTTACTTGTTCTCTTTTATGCCTTCCTGGTGAAAGTGAAGAAATTTTATATTTGGAATGGCCAAATTCCTTTAAAAATTGAATAAAATTTTCAAAATTCCTTTAAACAAAACAACATACAGGACTACTTTCCGATGTTGTTTGTGGTGGACTACTTCCATATCCCCCTCTACCCCCACCATCACCAAAACCAGGGGGCATAGTTCCACGTCCACTTGTTGTTGAACCACCTTCATCACCACCCCCACTTATTCTCGTTAATAAATGAGGGGAACGATAATAATCACTATAATATTGTTGTTGATCTAATGTTGGTTGGTCATATCTTTGAAAAAAAATTCGAAAAATTCCATCATAAGTCCCATACACCAAGTCCCAACAAACAATGTGTCATTCAAAAAAGCTCGCCAAGCAGAGCTGAATGACACTAAAATTAGGCTGGGAACTCAACTATGACCCTAGTTATGGTCTCATAATTAGTGCCCGGCGCCGGACCGGATTTTTCCGGAGTCCGGATCCCAAATCCGGGGTTTTCCGTGGTCTCCGTATTTTTCCTGACCGAATTAATCCGGAAAAATCCGGCCGTATCCGGTCCGGTTCAAGTTACAAATCCGGAATCCGAGTCCGGCAAAATCGACTTTGCCGGGCACTACTCACAATGGTCAAAAAATGTTAGAGGGGGACTAAGCTGATTTTTGGGGTGGAAAAATCTTTTTTCCCTTACATTTTAGGGACTTGTTCAAATGCCGACGCAAATTGTTGTTTTCTTCTTTTCTGTATAGCTGTCAAATTTGGATGAGGTATTTTAGAGGAAATTCCAGCCTTAGAAGAAGTTGATGCAGAGGAATCATGCCCAGAAGATGAAAAAGAAGAGGAAGAATGTTGAGGGGGTGGAGGGGGAGTATAATGAAATATTTTAGCCATTTCTTTTTGTTGGGCAAAATCGTGTTCAAATTTTGGGGAAAATATTGCTGGGGGTGTTGGTTGACGAGAATTACGACGTTGTAAAAATTGTAAGGAAGATGAGGGGGGAGGAGGTAAATGAGAGTGACTAGGAGTGCTGTAATATTGTTGTTGGTGTGGAGGTGTTGATGATTTTGTTGAAAAACTTTTCTTTCGTTGATTTAGTATTGTCTCATCAGGTATTATTGGAGAACACATTGCTGCAGCATAACTTTAGTTGAAAAAAATTTTTAATGATAAATTTGATTAGTATTAGTAAAGCAGCTGGGCTATACGCTATTTCTCTTCTTTAGCTAGTGCAAAAGGTTATTCGGCGGCTGGGAGCGAACCAGCATCTTCAGTAGACCGGGCTGATATGTTAACCATTACACCACGCCGCCTACTGCACAGCCTTAGGAATTAAATAGCTATATGCTTTACATAATATGTATAAGCAGGCAAATTCGAAAATTAAGGTCGATATCGGTGGATTCAATCACTTGATCTCTCTCAATCCCTTTATCCCCCCTAATCCCCTGATAACTTGAATCCTCTCAATCAATTCAGAACCCCTTCTATAGCGTGATATTTATCTTCTTAATCCTCAACAAATATAACTGAAGAATTTGGTAAAAACGGCAACCCAATCAAGAGAAATTTGAAGAAAAATGAACCCCAAATAAAAATAAAAGGATTATGGGATCAAATGTCATCTACAACCGAAAACCAAAGAATACCTATTATAGGGTAACAATCTTCATAAAAAATTTAAAAACACCTGCTATAAGGATTGGCATATTGTAATCTAGGATCTGAACGTTCACTAATTGAAGTAGTATTTGTAGTAATTGAAGAAGCCGTTTCTGGCGTCTTATTATTTTCAAATGACCCTTCTTCTTCAAACATTTCAGATGCTTGTATGGGTCTAAAATTGCCAATTGGAGTGCTTGGTTGTTCAAGTAACAGAGACAAATCACCATTTAAAATTAAATTTTCCCCCTGGGATCTAATGTCATCCTGGGATCTAATGTCATCATGGGATCTAATGTCACCTCCTCTTCCTCCCTCACCCCCATTTCTTTGTTGAATAAACAAAGGTGCTTGGTGTCCATAAGTTAAAGTTGTTGGCTTCCGTCTAGGAATTAATGGAGGCAGACTTTCAGGGTTCTGTTGTCCTTCATATTCTCTAGTAATAGGTAAAGGATGTCTTTTGTCAATTGAAAGACGTGCCAATTCTTCAGAAGGGAATAGAGTAACATGTCTACCGCCATTTGGAGAGAGAGGGGAACTTTCAGAAACATGCTCTCTTTCAAGTGAAATCCTTTAAAAAAATTTTCAAATTTTCCAAAAAACTTGAAATCACCTTTTTTCTTGTCCATTTAATGAGCCTTGTCGTTCTTTTTCAACCTCTTTTTGTTCTTCGTCTATTTGGTTATATTGAGGTAGAGCAAAATTTATTAAATTTGTTGTTTGTTGCTGTGGTTGTTGACGAACCCAACTTCTTTGAGAACCCGTCCCTATTGAGGAACTGCTACTACTACAAGAAACATTTGGAGGGTGTTCTTCATACAAATCAGCCAATCTAAAATTGAATAGGAGGAAATGAACGTTCTTGTGGGTAATATAGAGGTTGGAAACTTGACTTGAAGGATACTTAGTGGCGATAAGTACAAGGCTCTGTATTTCTTGCTTACCATAATTCTGAGTGAGTAGAGCTTTCTAGAGATCGAGATTTTTGAAAAGCCTGAGCCTGTAGTCCAGGAAAAACCCAGGCCCAGGAAAAACCCAGGAAGGTCAAAAAATGCCTGGGCCTGTCCTCTGGGTACAGGAAAAACCCAGGCCTTGGTCCAGACCCAGCTCGATCTCTAGAGCTTTCTATCTCCATAAAGGGCTTTTTTGGAATACAATGAACCTATCCCAAGGGAATAGAAAGCTTTAATCATCTAGATTTATAGAAGATGCACAATACCAGGTCATAGGTTGAAATATAAGAGCCTGTACCTATCGCCATAGAATATCTGCTCATGACTTTCTCCTTTTAAGAAAAAGGGGAAAAGAAAATGTGGGGAGACAAGAACTGTGCGCCAAAATTTTCGCTCGGCTCGCAACGCCAATTTTTTTAAAATTCTTAAAACACGCCAAAATCGGGGCGCACAGCCAAAAATGGACGCCAAAACGCCATGGCGCACAGCCCTTGATAAGTACCCCAAAAACAACTAAATTTCCCTACTTATTAACAATAATGTTAGGTGTTTGTTGTTGTTGATTACTAATTCGACTACAACTACTATTACTTCCTTGACTTAAAGCTGAAGGTAATCTACTTGTATCTTCAAAACTGTCATTTTCCCCACCAATTAAAATTCCATTTAAATATTTTTTTCGAATATCAATTTTGTTGTTGTTTGTATTTTCTTGTAATATTTTTGGTGGTAAAATTGTTTCATCTTCAACATCACCCACAGGCTGTTCTTCCTCTTCTTCACCAGAAGGAACTGAATATTCCGCCTTAAATTTAATAAGGATTTTTGAGGAGAGGGATTAAGAGGATGAGGGATTAAGAGGACCAGAGGAGAGGGATTAAGAGGATTTTCTATATTTCATCTAGTTTCAATCCGCACGGTTCAGTCCCCCCTCCCGTATATGCCTCGGTTCATCCCAACGGAAGAAAATAGAGGGATTAGAAGTAGTTAAGAGTGTATTTAGGGAATAAAGGGATCTCTAGATCCTCAAATCCCCTGAATAGATCAGGGGATTCATGCTGGTAGAAACAATGCTAAGGATTTTAATCCGTAGCGACATAGCTGCAGATAGGGTAGCTGCAGATAAAAAAATCTGCAGATAAAATCCGTAGTAACAATGCTAAGAATATGTAGCTGCAGCTACGGATTTTTTTATCTGCAGATACATAGCTGCAGATAGGCAAAATATGAGTATATTTTAAAATTTAAATTCGCGCCAAAAATTGATTTTTTTAATTATAAAAAATATGAGCCATTTATAAAATAATTTTTACTTTTTATTACTTTTTTTCTTTTTTTTATAAATCTTTTCTTTTTATTTTTTATATGTGATTAAAATATTAAATTCAGGAAGATAATTTTTCATCTATCTTTATTAAAATGGTATTCACACCAGAAATGACTAATAGGCTTCTCGAATTAATCCAAGCTAATAAAGAAAATCTTTTTCCTGGATCAAGAAATGCCGATGCTAGTAAAATTCAAAAAGAAGCCTGGGCCGAAATCACAAATATTTTAAACAACGAGTTTATTAACGATGTCCCTGTGGGTGGTATGAAAATAATACAAGTGCAGACAAGGTGGAAAAATTTACGTCAAAATGGAAAGGAAGAGGCTCAAAAAAATAAAAAGTTTGATTTTATTTCACTAGTCTTTTATTTTAATAAATTTTAGGCATAAAATGGCAACTGGGGGAGGGCCTTCTTCAAGTATTTCTGGGACTGCACAAAAAGTAATAGAGATGTTTGGAACATCTGCTGCTTTCTCTGGTGTACCTAGAGGTTTTGAATCTGGAATTTCTCGTGGTGAAGTACTCCAGATGATGGAAGATTTAGGGGACGATGATTTAGAAAATGAAGAAGCAGATTTGTTTGAGCTGGAACAGATGGAGACTCCAAATAGTGGTAATATTAAAAAGGCAGGTTTTTTTGAATTTTGAATTGTTAAGACCAAAAAATGTCAAAATTAATTTTAAATTTAAATCATTAAATTTTAATTTATTTAATTTTTAAGCGCCGACATTCATGTGACACCCCAACAACTTCTAGAATTCCAATTCGTCCAAAAGCATTGGAAATCGAAGATCTCAAATTAAAGGTCCTTAAAGGCGAGATGGAAAGAATCGAAATGCAAAAAGAATATTTAACAAAAGCAAACAAATTTATGGAAGAAGGAATTGAATTTTTTAAATCAGGCCGAAAATTTTATGAATCGTAACATGTTTGACTAATTTTATGAAATTTATTTTTGAATAAATGATTAAATGTATATTTAATTTTTAATTTACGTTTAATAAAATGTTTGAATATTTTAAATTTTTTAAATATTTGTATTATTTTCAGAATGGCTTTTGTATGTTTTATGCCTTTTGAAGAAAAGGATGATGACAGAATCAACGAAATGAAAAAATTTATTTGAGAAGAAATGATTTATTAAATACATTTTCGGATGAGGATTTACTAAAAAGATTCAGATTTAATAGACGAGGAATTAAGGTTTTATTTTATTTAATCAAATTTTGATATTAAATTTAGTATATTTGTGATATTGTCCGGCCTGAAGTGGAACCGAGAACCGGTAAATCTGGAGCTTTATCAACTGAAATGCAAGTTTTGGCAACCTTAGGATACTTAGCTTCGTCTACTTTTCAAATATGGTGCAGTGACATTCTAGGAATTTCACAAAAGTCAGTTTCAAACTCGATTCGTCGCGTGACGAGAGCACTCTGTTTAAAGGCTGGAGATTTTATCTTCTTTGAGGAGTATGAACAAGTAAAAACTTTTAAAAATTTTTTCAAATCATTTAAATTCAGGCGAGGAATAATACTATTCCTGCCTTTAATGCTATTGCCGGTATGCCTAATATTGTTGGATTGATTGATTGCACACATATCCCAATCCTTACCCCTTCAGAAAAGCAGCATGGAAGAGATTACTACAATAGAAAGGGTTGGTCAAGCATCAATGTGCAAGGTCAGTTTATTTTTATCTATGATTCATTAAACAAGTATTTTAGCAGTTGTTGATAATAAAGGACGTTTTCTAAACATCAATTGCCGTTGGCCTGGCAGCTCTCATGACTCGTTTATTTTAAGGCACTCGGAGGTGTGGAACAGTTTTGAGCGTAGACAATTACGAGGAATTTTGTTAGGTATTTATTCTTATTCGTTTTTTTGAAAAATTATTAAGGTGATAGCGGTTATCCATGCCGTAAGTGGTTGCTGACACCTTTTCTCAATCCTACAACAGCTGCCCAACAACGATTTAATGCTCGCATGTCAGGACGCGTGTCATTATTGAACAGACTTTTGGAAGATGGAAGAAGCGTTTCCATGCCCTACAAACACCTATACGAATTAAACTGGAAAATATTGGAATGTTTATAATGGCCGCGGCAGTTTTACATAATATTGCTGTAGCAGAAATTATACCAAATTTTGATGATGAAAATTTAAACGATGATCAGCCAGAAATTCAAAACGATTTAAATGAGAATAACATTGATGGATTTGGGATTAGGTCAAATATAGCACAGAATTATTTTAATTAAATTTTCAAAATTTTTGAAATTTATGAAATTTATTTTTTTAATGAAAAAATGTTTAGAAATGAAAATTAATTTATTTTGAACTAAATTCGTTTTATTTTGAATTTTTAATAATTTTTTAAAATTTATCATAATTTTTTAAAAATTTAAAATAATGCAACTATCCACCTAAATAGGAGGCTAGCGATTTTATCTGTAGCTACCCTAGCCGATACCCTATCCGCTACCCTATCCTTAGCATTGTTACTATGGATAGGTATCTGCAGCTAAAGCTACCGATTTTTTTGTTCTTTAGCTGCGGATAGTACTACGGATTTTAATCTTTAGCATTGTTACTACGGATTTATCTGCAGCTAGCGATTTATCTGCAGATAGTTAGCATTGTTTCTACCAGCATCAGAGGATTAAGCAGGATTTTGAGGATTTCGAGGAGAGGGATCGAGGGAGGGGATCCAAAGGATTAAGAGGGACTAAGGATTTTTAGGAGATATCGAGATTTTGGAGGACTAAATGGTATACTGTGATTTATGAGGATTAAGAGGATATATGTAGATTGATATCTGGGGATTAAGAGGGATATAAAAGGACCTCTTCAAGCACAACAGATTGTTGTTTAGTTTCCAATTTTTCTCTTCCTTTAGTTTTTCTTCTCCCATTTAACAAAAGTGGTTGTTGTTCTCTTTCTTCTTCTCTTCCCTCCTCCTCCTCTTCAATTTTTCTTCTTCCTTTTTCCATTTCATTTTCTTTCATTTGTTCACGCAATCTTGCTTCCAATTTTGCCGGATCTGTCCACCCAATACACAAAAGAAACCGATCTTTCCACGTTAATTGCAATGAAGGTCTCTTCATTATTTCTTTTAAATTTTGTTTTTGTGAATGTTTTGTTGAACTTTTTGTTGCTGATGAACTTTTTCGACGTCGTTGTTGTTGTGCTGCTGCACTTGAACGACGACTTGCCTTGAATAATGTATTTTTAAATTGAAAGAAATTATTATCGCAAGGCTGGGATCAGCCTTGAATGAAAGGTGAAGAGCAATAGTAACTCTAGTTAACAGACGAACGCCACAAACGGATCAAGCTATAAGCCGTCCATATCTAATCTTAACATCGCCAAAAAGTTATCATTGGGAAGCGATTAGGAAGTAAGCTGGTACATAATGGGATCTAATGGATATATCCTATCCTCTAATGGGATAGGCCAAGGCAGATTCACTTCTTCATTCATTCAGCTTAGGGTTGCCGAGCGGCCTATCCATCGTGTCTTATAGGGAAATCGACTCACTATACTCTTCATTTGCGTGCAACTCCCGTATTTCCTATACTCCGTGGAGTTTACTCCTGATTGCAACATGCGCGACGCTGTTCAAAACATCAACTCCACAACAAGGCACTGGAAAACTTTATTAAAATATCTCAAACCCCTTGTTGTGTACTTGCATTACTCCTCTTTCTTCTAAATATCATTGCCTCAGCATGGCCATGTACGATTTCGTCGTCATCTTCTTCATCCTCATCATCTTCTTCATTTTCTTCATCTTCATTTTCATCTACCGATGCCAATGAAGGAAGAAATCCGGCATGACGAAGTGGAGACTTTGATGGGGAACTTCCAGAAGAATCGTCCTAAAAATGGAACAAATGTCTCAAATCTTATCGCCCCCTCCCCTTCCACGTCAATTTTTTGTTTAAGATGTACAAAATGGTCAGTAAGTCCATAAATCAATATAACTCATCGAGCTGAGTCGAATGGAACCTGTACAGTGCACGGAAATATCATTGAGTTATATGGGTTCAAAAATGTGGATAAGCATATGCTAGGGGCTCAAAATGGTCAAACTTTTGAGGTAAAAGAAAAATAACCGAATATTGTCGAAGAATAGGAGATCGTCGTTTTGGTGTCAAAAAAGGTGTTAACAAAAAATCCTTGTCTGTCCCAACAACTTGATCACCACCCCCACTTCCTCCTCCTCCCGTTCCCCCATGCCAACTTTTTCTTACTCCATTTGTTTTTGCTGTTCCATTGGAAAAGAATAAAGGACCACCTCCATTTTTAGATTCTTCTTTTTTACCCTCCCCTCCCTCTTCTTCCTCATCATCATCTACTACTCTTCCCCCATTTATTTTCCCTCCATTTGTCCCCCCTCCATTTGTACTTTTTCGGCTTTCCCCACTAGGCCTGTGTTTATGAGAAATTGCCAAATGTTTGCCTTTCGCCAATTCAAAAATTCGACGTTTTTCTTCTGTTCTTTCCAGGGTTAATTGTTTATTTAAATCTGAATTTGCTGCTCTTAAACCTTTAAAAATAATTTTTAATGGTTTTTGTAAATAAAATAACCGCTAACGAGAAGAACCAAAAAATATATAACAAGCACCAGGATGAGGAAAACCTAATGGAAAATTTTTTTCAAAATAGAAAAAATAATTAAAAATTAAGAAGGATTAAGAAGGACAAGAAGGACAAGCCTTTGGAAAATTAAGAAGGACAAGCCTTTGGTCAAATAAGCTCAAAAATTATGTTCCGAGGACTTTACAACTCAGTTTTTAATGCATTCATATCTCGGCCCTCTCGTGCTTATTTGCATATTTGTGCATATTCTGGGAAATTTTGCAAATTTTGAAGCAGATTTTTGGCTTTTCGGTGCTTTAGGGCTCGGTTTTATGCGCATATTTGGCGATTTTCAGTGCATATTTTGGACAACCCTATTTATAATATACATATATTGAAGGCTTTTATAAATTGAAAGATTGTTTAGAAAAGCTGTCAACAGGTTTTGGTCAAGAAAGAAATTTTTTAAAAGCCAGTGGTTAGTCATTTGTTAATTTTTTTAGTAAAGAGTAAATGAGTAAGAAATGGAGACTTATGTTAACAGATCAAATGGCTTTTTTATTGCCAAAAAAACAAAAAAAAATTTCTTTCGTTTTTTGAAAAAATTTTAAAAATAAATAAAAATTATGGTACTTTAGCATACCGGAGTTTTAGTTTCGACCCCAGAAGTGTGCTTACTCCCCCCTATGGTAAGCACACTTTTTATCTCTTTTTTATCTCGACCTACAGGCATCTCCAGAAAAAAGATAGGTAACAGCTACTCAGCTCGTCGAGGCGAATCGAATGGTATGGGTTTTGTATCGAAGTTAAAAACCGGTATACTATATCCAAAATTATTTATATAATACTTACAGGAAAAATAATTCCTGGTGACATAAAATAAGAGATAACTTCAACCAAACTTTTAGGCAAATGTTGTCTCAATACTTGCCCAATAATTGAATAAAACCGTTCTTGGCCAGAAAATGGGCCACAATTTTTGGAAGGCCTTTTATATGCAATAACATATCCAACAGGTAAAGTACTCATACAAACAAAAGCAAGTAGGAGCCAAAAATAAAAATTGCTTGACCTGAAAATATAGTATCGTATATGCTTTAATATAAGCCCCGGATTCTATTTTTCAATAGGTCTCTTTAACTGACCTTATATTAGAATGGGTTTCTATTAGAGAGTAGTCTTCTGCATCTCCTCGGGTAGGCTTATATTAGAGATGGGCTTCAGGGCTGTGCGCCAAAATTTTCCCGTGGCGCGCCAAACGCCAATTTTTCAAATTCTTAAAAATCGCCAAACGCCAGAACGCCAAAATCGGGTAAGCAAACGCCATGGCGCACAGCGGCCTTCTTATAGAGCAGGAATTATATTTTCGGGTGAAGCGCACAGTGACTCCAATAGATTTACTTGGATCGTAACCAGACCTGCTCATGGATACGGATTTTGCTATCCGTATCCGGATATATCCATGAGGTCTATACCCGTATCCGTTTGTATCCGTCCAACTTTTTAGGCATATCCATCCGCGGATATCCGCGGATATATCCGTTTTTTCTCAAAATGGTCAGCCTGTCTAGAATTTTCAAAATAGTCAAATTTATTTAAATTCGAGTAATGGTTAGACAATGAGGTAATAATTGGATGCAGCAAAAGTAACCTTGCTTATGAACATTGATGGTTCGAAAATCGGAAGGCAGAGATAGGAATTCCGACCCAACGCTGCTTATTAGAAATTATACCGAGATAAAAAATTTGAAAATCTTTGAGAATTCTTGAAAAGTTAAATTCCCGGTTTCGGGCCGAAATGAAAATTTCGGTTAACTGAGATTTTGATTTTGGCGCCGCAGGCGAAAATTTTGAGAATTTTGGGAAATAACGAAGCAAAAAATTTTTTATTTTCAGCGCCGCAGGCGAAAATTTTGAGAATTCTAGAAGGGCGTAGGCCAAAAAATCCACATTTTTGCCAATCCCCTCGGTAAATTTTTCCCTTTTTCCCAATTCGGGAGTGGGTGGGGGAATTCCCCATACCCCTCTGAAAACCCTCGTTTGCTCAGCTAAAAGAGAACGAGCTAATTTTGCTCGTACTTACCACTGAATTTGGCCTGAACTTGTACTTCGTAACTTAAGTGGGTAAGCACATTGGAGCGTCGTAGATGGAAATTTCTAAGCTAAATTTTTTCTAGCGCCGCAGGCGAATATTTGAGAATTTCAATGATTAAAAAGCCAGATTTCTTTCTTTTTTAGCGCCGCAGGCGAAAATTTTAAAAATTTGAAAGGCCGAAAGCGAAAAAAATTCACTTTCTTTGCACCGCAGGCTGGAATTTTGAGATGGATATCCGCGGATTTGAAGTATCATATCCGTATCCATCCGTATCCGTCCAATTTTTTAAAAAACACTATCCATATCCATCCGTATCCGCGGATATCCTTTGAATCCCTAGTCATTCTCTTTCGAATGAGCTATTATTTGCATAATTGAATTTTTGGACTGCAAAAAATGTGCTTACTCCTCCCTAAAGTTTTTCAATTTTTCGAAGCCTATATCTCGGCCAGAATTATTTCCTAAAAGGGAGTAAGAGACTTTAAATTAAATTAGGGAGAAGGGACTTTAAATTTACGTAAAAAGCACCTAGATGCTCGAAATATTTGTTTGGCAGGAACATTACAAACCATACAGGCCCAAGCACGAATGTACATTACAGCCACAAGTTTTACACAATTAATTAATGGAAGCATAGGAACGAGTATAGTGCCTAGACAAACCATTGCTTGAGAATTGACCAAGTGGAGCTGGAAAAATATTTAAAAATTTTACAATTTACAGACGGTATTATAAAAATGGGGTAGGTTTACCAGGTTCTTTATCCCCCAGAAATCGAAATAATCTAGTAAATTATTGCGCTGATCTGCTACAGCGTAGATACTGGCAAAATTTGTACCCTCATTGGCTAAGGAATGGATAAAGGGCATCAAAGTGAGAAACGAAATTTCTATCAGTCCTGGTTCAGAACCGAACAAAAGGACCGAGGATTTTTCGGTTCGGTTCTTCGATTCGGCTCCGGATGCCCAAAAGATTTTCCAAGAACCAACAACCCTATATACATCATTTAAATAATTCTCTCACCACATTTTCAGCCACTTTAAATTCCCCATATTCCGGAAAAGTTGCCTCGATATCCCAACACCACCAATCAGAACAATAACGAATCCAAAGACCTCGTAAAAAGTCGATTACCAAAATTGCTGCTACAGTCATTACCAAATCCTTAAATTTTTTTAAATTATTGTAAGGGGTTTTTAATCCTGCTAAGTAAGGATGGAAAAAGTGGAGGAGAATGAGCAAATAAGGCCTTTAGCAATGGAAGAAGAGTAGAAAAGCAATTAGTTGTTTTGTTGGTTGTTTAGTCAGCTAGTTCGTTGAAAGCAGAAACTCGCAGAAGATGCTAAGAGCTTAATTATTACTTCCTCACGAATGCCTATTCGGTCTCGTTACCAACCAGCATAATATTTACAAGCATAGAAATGCCTTCCCTACATCTCGCACTTGTGTGCAGAAACAGATTTCAAAATGCGAAAGCGAAACACCAAAAAAAGCGAATGACATATCCATGTTGCCCAGCATCGCCTCTTGGGACCCTTAACATCGCACGAAACCTGTCCAATAACATCTCAATTCCATCCTGACTCAGCGCAATCTTTATTAAAAATCTAACCGTTGTAACAATTTTTGCCACTTCTTGTCCCAATAATGTTTCCCAACACAAATCATCATATTTCTTAGCACGGTAAGGAGCGGTTATTGGTGTTTGAATTTTTGGAGAACTTGTGTAGTTGAGGGGGTGTGGAGAAGGGGTTGGCCAATTCCCCTCGCCTGGACCAATTTTTCTACTTTCCCAAAAAGTTCCCAATTCTGCTGTTTGTTGTTGAACTCGGCCACCAGGCAGAACAAGCGCTTTAGGGTTGGAGACACCAACCTAAGAAAATTTTTTACAAAATATTCGGTGCCTTTTTAAGAGGGCATAATATTCCTATCGTAATTAAATATTCTATATACATTTTGTAGCCCAGGATCTACCCTTTAATCTCACATATGGTCTTTTCATGTCCCATTTTTATACTCGCTTTAAAATCTCCAGAATACCCCTAACCAGAGGTGGGTCGGAATAGTCAGAGGTGTCGGAAATCAGAACTGGCTTAAAAGTAGGAACTCGGAACTCGGAAATCGCAATTCCGACCCACCTCTGCCCCTAACCACGGGAAAGTATTTCTAAGCTCTAGCTGTAAGTAAACAGAAATTATGCATATCTGTTCAGCATGGGGTTTTTTGAGATTTTTTGGTCTGATTTTTGGTAAAATTCGAAACTTTTTAGGTAGGCATTCCAAGAGTTATGGACGAAAAAGTCAAATCTGACATATTTTTCAATAGAAATGCCATATTAAAAAAACTACAAACAAATAAAGGTCCAAAATGAGGTTGAACAGTTGTCCATGGATCTAAACTTGGCTGTGGGGTAGGTGTTGTAGAAGCTAATTCATGGCCAGGAAAAGGATTTGAACCATAAAGAACGCTTAAATCTCTTTCTTTTGGACCACCACCATCGTTAGTTGGATTTTTAGATTTTGGTGGCGGTCGCTTCTTTCGTTTGGGATGAGAAATTCTATTGCTACTTGTACGCACTTTGCTATAAAAATTATTGGAAAATAAAAAATATTTAATGTAAATGTTCCAATAGAAGTCCATGAAAGTCCGACTATAATAAAAGCTCAGACCCCATTAGAACCAGTCAATAACCATTTGTTATGTCCGAGGGTTGTCCGAGGCACAAGAACAACATTTAGTCAGTATAAGAGTACTTGTAGGAGAAGGTGGATTGGGCTGGAACAGAAGGAGGGATCAGGAAATTAGCCCGGTTATTGTGATCAAAAGACTGAAGTTGAGACTGACTTTTAAACTATAGTGACTACATATATGGAAAATAGAAGCCCGGGGCCTCTATTAGAACAATTACGGTATTTAATTTACCTTTTAAATAACAATGGAAAGAAACGCTTATCACGCCGTCGTTCCCCACTTTGTGTTGCAGAAACGCTAGCAAATAAAAGGAATGGTGGCTTTTGGTGTTGTTGAGGGGAATTAAATTGTGATACAATTTCCCTCGAATTAATGTAAGGGGAAGAAACAACCTGAAAGAATTGTAAAATTTTAGCAGATTAGAGTAAACCTTTTGGTGACTATTAAGGGGGATTTCGATGGATTTGTTGTGATTAAGGGGCATAAGATGGAATTTCAACTCGTAGAACTGTCAGATAAGTCAATAGGGAGTAGACAAACTTCACCTTCAGTTAATTTTATCCGCCCAAATATTTAGAGGGTTGACCTGAAAAGTCTGTTGACCTTTCGGGTCATTCTTGGTGACTATTACGGGGGATTGCAACATTGCATCATTTTATCAATAGGGAGCTGAGGTGGGTCGGAATTCCGATTTCCGTCGTTTTTTCCTTCCGATTTCCGAAAAAAATTTTTATTTTGATTTTCGAGTTCAGATTTTGAGACAGTTGCTATTTCCGAGTCTTCCGATTTCCGACACCTCTGACTGTTCTGACCCGCTTCTGATAGGGAGCTGACCTTTTGGGTGTCCTAAAAATCCCAAAATTAATCAAAAACACCTCATAATAGCTTTGGTTATCCCAATCATTATCCGTTGGGGACCTAGCTATATGAAACTGATATTGACTTGCTGCTAAAGAATTTAAAGTCATTGCATCCAATTTTTGTTGTTCTCTTTCATATTTTTCGTTTGCACGCATTTCTTCCTAAAGAGGATTTTTTAATCTTCAAAAAAAAATTCAAAACAACCTCCATAGTGTTTAGCATTATAAAGAGCTTTAATTGAAATTTATTTTTAAATTTTTAATAATTTTTTACCGAATATACAAGAGTGTAATAGTTGAGCAAATAAAAGAAAAGCACTCTAAAATTGAAAAAAAATTTGTTTGACTGAAAGGTGTAGTTTATGTAACACCTTTTTTCATCTCTCCCATAATTCCCCCTTTCTGCTGCTGGGACCGAATTAACCAAGAAAAATTTATGGTGATAAGTACAAGTTCTGCTTTTAAGAACCAATACTAACTAGTCTCCCAATCTATCCAAACCTCCCAATATCCCTCCAAATCTACTTATCTTACCATAACCTCTTCATATCCCCTGAGGTGATGCGACTTTTGCGGCCCGTACACTTGCGGCTCAGACATTTGCGGCCCGTACACTTGCGGCTCAGACATTTGCGGCCCATACACTTGCGGCTCGCCCCTATTTTGACACTTGCGGTCCCGACACTTGCGGCTAAGAAATTTTCGGCGCAGACATTTGCGGCTATCAACTTGAGGCCCATACACTTGCGGTTTTGACATTTGATGTCTGCGCCGCAAATGTTTGCGCCGAAAATTTTTTAGCCGCAAGTGCCGTGACCGCAAGTGTCAAAATAGGGGCCGTAAGTGTCTGGGCCGCAAATGTCTGAGCCGTAAGTGTACGGACCGCAAAAGTCGGCTAATCATCTCCTGATACATATTCTTCTAAACGCACAATACAAAACCATGAGTTCTAAAAAGCAATAATTACATATCTCCATTTATTTTGTTCCCACACAAAAAAAAGGGGGGGTCTGGAAGGGATGAAAAAGCCGTCACATAGACAACAATTCTATCAAAAATTTTTTAGAAACCTAAAAAGATGAACACGCAGAGCTGTTCTAGGTCTATACAGCTCCAGTTTGAGGCTAAATTTTGATTTTTAAATTAATTTAAGAAAATAAAATTAACATTAATTCAAAGATTGGTGGAAAAAGAAATGTAATGACACCAACAGTAATTGAAACAGCATTCTAAATTAATTTTTTTGGTATTTTTACTATACTTTTCCGTTATATGCCCCCACAATTTCGATTTATACCTATATCTTTCGATCGTCTAATCTGTCCTATTCGAAAGATATTATCTATGATAAGAAATCGAGATATAGGTCCACGAGGACACTCACAGGATGCGCGCGGTCAAGTGGTGCAAAGCCATAACCAGCTGGAAAATTTCCGGACCTCAACAAGTTTGGTAAAAAGCTCTTTAGCTCGATAAATGGAATCGTTTAATACTAAATTTTAAAAGATTCGAGAATCTTGAAGCAAGTTATGGCTCTATGTTTACTCTAATATATTTTAAAAACCATAGGGTGGACTATAGAGCTTCGCCGGAAGTTCCGGTTCCTGTAGACCGGAAGTTTTGGGAATTTTTGGTTCTGGTTCGCGTTTCGGCAAATTTGCGGTACCGGCGAAGCACTAGTGGACTAAGGCCATTTTTTGAGGTTAGAAATTCGGTACTGCAAATATAGCTCTTTCAAATGACAATAAAAAATTTTTTAATGATTCTGAACAAAACTACGATTAACAGGAAAGAATTTGTGGATACATATAACGGAAAGGCTTATTCTAAAGCCTGTTAAAAACACACACCTGTTTAAGAAAAGTATCTTTTTCTGTAGTTTGCGAAACTTTATAAATAGCCAACATAGAGAGTAGCATCATTGATGTAATTATTAAATTAACAACAACACGAACAAAAACTTTTTGGAAAGTTAATTTTTGTTTAAATTTTTTCTTGTATTCCGTAGAGGCTTCCTTGAAAAAAGTTTTTTTGAGTCGAACCCAAAAGGTTCACTCCCTATAGGTCAATTCCGCTAGTGGTCAACTGACCCAGAAGGCAAACTACAAATATTTGGACGATAAAATAGGAATAGAGTTGTCGGTTCTGGACCGAACCGTACCGAAGAACCGATGATTTTTCGGTTCGGATAACGGTTCGGTTCCGGATATCCGAAGATTTTCCAAGAACCGACAACCCTAAATAGAAATTGTGAGGATTGAGAAGACTGTGCGGATTAAGAAGGATATCGATGGATTTGGTAGGATTAAGATGGATTTATTGGAGGGGGATTAAGGAGGCTTAAATGACAGAAGAGGAAATTCTCTTGTGCAACTGTCGGATAAGGCAAAGGGAGCAAGCCCCTAATCATGAATCCACTACAGGGTGACCTCTTTCCAAACCACTAGAATAGGGGCAGCCACTCAAAAATGTGGCATATATAGGGCAAAATATGGCAAATGTTCAAGATCGGGAAAAACTAAAGCGAAAAGGTCAAAAGTAGGGACAATGCCCTATAGATAGGGTAAAAGGGTCACCCTGGTCCCCTATATCCGTTCACCTATTTTTAACTGATATCCAGTGCCGATTGACCTTTAGTCTCTCTAGAAATAATTGACCATTAGGAAGTTGACCTTCTGGATTGATCCAACTTTTAAATTAAATTTTTTCAAACCTACCTTCAATTTAATAGCATTAGCCATAGCTAACGAAGCCGCAGTTTCGGGTTCTCCAATATTGTAATCCCACCCATTTATTGCTTTCCAAGTAAAAACATATTGTTCTTGCTTTCCACTACTTAATTTACTTTTTCGAGTATTTGAAGTCATTTTCTGAAGAAAAAAAATTTTCAAAAAAATTTTTTCCTTTCCAAACCTTCAAAATAATAAAAATACAAAATACAAGCAAAAATAAATTTAAAAAAACATAGGCTACAGGAACGTGATAACCAATGATGAAACCTTTAAGGACTGTTTCGTGACTGTAATAGCCGTAGAAGAGATAGGAATATTGGAGGTAACCCTTAAAAAGGAAAAATGTTTTGTAATTTAGAAATTGTGCTTTAGTCAACTCTCGTTATTAAGGTTGGGGTTTTCGGGCCGACGTTCGAGTCATTCTTTCGGGCCTCATTTTTATCGGGCCGGGTCTTTTTCGGGCCAAAATTGGAAACCCGACTCGATCTTTCGGATCGGACCCCCAACCCTACTAGTTATAAACAGAGATCGAGATTCTTAAATAGAGACCACCCAAGGTCAAGAACCTGTGACCTTAATTTTAAGTGAAGAGGAAAAGGTTCTTGACCTTGGGTCAAGAAAGAATTAAAGGAATACTGAAAAATGGCTTGATCTCGACTCTATATCCAGTTTATAGTCTAAAATACCCCTTTTGGGATGAAATATTGTATTTTATAATGAGGAATAGGGGTATCGTCTAAATGCGGAGTTTCTTTATCCAACACTCTAATCCTTTAAAAATTTTGGAAAATTTTCCTTTTTTAATTCAATGACCAACTAAATCACGGTTGAGAATAATGTCGGATTGTGTTTCGGGTTGGGTCTTCAAAATATTTTTGTTTGGGTTTCAGGCTGAAAAAAATCTTCGGTAAGGGTCAGTTAGGGGCATTAAAAAGTTAAAGGTCGGGTAGGGTCTTAGAAAATTTTCCGGACCCGGCTTTAGTTAACTCGTGACATCCCTGCTAGGGATATCTGTCCAAACGGCACATGATTCTTAAAATTTAAAGAATTTTAAACCTACCCCAAAATCCAGGACAGTATTTAATTCATCAGCATGTACAGCAACTTTAGTAGGCATTGCTTTTATATGCCTAGTCCGGTTAAAACGTCCAATATCATTTTTTGAATCTGCCAACCATTCGGGCACAACAACAAAAGCCATAACCAATAAAGAATTTGCAACATTCATTCCAAGTACCCAACGAAGAAAAATAAAAAAAGAAGAAACGACAGAACCAAAATTGGATTCGATTTGTTTAATTTTTGATTCCCAAGGAATTAAGTAAATACTGAGATTTTTTGCCCAGCGCCAAGCCTTTGGGAAGAAAAAATTTTTGAAATTTTTTTGAAAACTTTTTGGCTCTTGTCCAGATTAGCGTCCAATGAAAAGTTTATGCGTCCATTCACATTTTTAAGTACCCGGTTCTTCATTTTAGACCAATGGTCCGGACTTGGATTTGCGTGGGTTTTTTAACAATCGAACTGCGGAGCGAAAAATTTTTTTCAGTTGCGTGCACCCCTGATCATGTGGGTGTAACATAACTCTGAGTGGGAAGATCCCATTATTCCCTTAGATTTTATGGTACTAAAACGAAGAACTGGGTACTGGACAAAAGCCATATTCTTCTCAAAAAATCTCTACCTGATTCCCTCGTCTACTTGCTTCAACTTTATACAGATGCCATTTACTAACTTGAGCTTCCTGTTTTTGTAAATATTGCCTAGCTACTTTTAACGCTCTCCTTTTCCTTCTCATAGGCCATGGTTGTAGCCTTACTTTTCCAATAATTTCCTTGTGATGCCTTATTCTTTGAAGGATTTTCTCTCTCGGCATATTTCCAATATCTTCCTCTTCTTCATCCTCCCCATTGTAATCATTTCGTCTTAATCGTCTTTCTTCTTCCCTTGAATCAACGCTTCTTTCCTTTTGGTCCTGCGAAGAAAGCTCTTCTCGTTGATCTCCTCCACCGCCACTACTACTCCCCCCTCCACCACCACCTCCTCCTTTTTGTTGACCAGAACCTCTGTGTCCCATGCTACTCGATCTGCGCACCATTAGAGCAACCAAATCGGACTGTAAATTAAAAAAAATTTTTTGCGGACAATCCGCAAATTTTTTTGCGGATTGTCCGCAAAATTTTCGAAAATTTTTTTGAAAAAAACTCCAAATCTTACAATAATTGACGATCTTCTAGAAAGTCTAGAAGTTAAATTTTCTGCTGCTGAAGGTGCGTCCCCTCCCTCTGAACGTGGTGTTGCGGAGAACGGTCTTTTCTGTTGTTGCTTTTTTGCAGCTTTAGAAACACCAACACTTCCAAAACTACCGCCACCTCCACTTGTACTAGATCTGGGGGCTGTTTCTGACCTTTTGAAAAATTTTCCTTTTGGTGGTTGTTGACCTGAATGAGAAAAAATTTTTGTAAAAAAATTTCGCGAAATTTCGCGAAATTTCGCGAAATTTTTCCTTGTTCGAAATTTCATTAAACGACCGCGAAGTTTCGCGAATAGTTCCTTCTACGAAATTTCGTAAAGTTTCGCAGAATCTCGTGAAGTTTTGCGAAATTTCGCGAAATGTATTCCTTCTTCGGAATTTTGCGAAATTTCGTTAAGTTTCGCGAACAACTTTTTTTCTGTAAAATCCACCTGAAACATTAGAAGCTGTTCTATGATGAGTTTTAGGTTCATTTCTTCTAAAAGATGAACGTGTAGAAGAAAAATTAGCACCCCCGCTTTCTTCATCCTCATCACTCAATAACCCTGGGGTTGCATCAAAACTTGTTTCTTCTCTTCTTTCATCATCCTCCTCCTCTTCATTTTCAATTTTTTTATTTTTTTCCTCTGCTTTTTGACCAACTGAAATACTGAAAGGGAGATATTGACGAAAACGTTGCCACATTTTTTAATGGAATTTTTGTAGAATAATATTTAGATAGTTGAGGTTTTTACTTATTGCCTTAAAAAATAGAAAAGGTAGTACTTTTCCGTTATTCCTAAAGGAAACACTCAGAAATATAAACAAAACAAATACCGTATTTAAGCTAATAGAATGGTATTCTATTTTTCAATACCCCTAAAGAAGGGTCATTCTATTGTAGAGGCCATTCTATTAGAATAAATATGGTATAAACCATTCGAAAGGGCCCGTCGATCTGAGTCGAATGACACCAAAATTATGGGAGGCTTGCAAATCTGGGCTGAGATATAAGGCTATAAACGATCAAAGAATATAGGGCTCAAAATGGTCAAAAACTCAGAAATATGGACAAAACAGGTATATGTCACTCAAATATACCGTAAAACCATTATTAACTACTTGAGTAATTATTGTTTCAACCTTCCGTTAGAGGAAGTAATTAATCGAGAGATGGTAATTATACGAGGTTTGAAATCTGAACGTGTTTTAGGTCATTTGATGGGGCTAATTATTTGAGGAAGTCAATTAATACAGGTTTACGGTACGTCATTATTGATTGTAAAATATTTAGTACATTGGTATAGGAAAGGAAATGAGGGAAACTAAATGTATCAGCAACAAAATGAATACAAAAGCCTGTAGGGATAAATGAAAAGTACCAAAGAAAATTTGAAAAAAGATTTTTTAAAATTTTTTAAAAAATAAAAAATAATTAATAAAGGTAAAAATAAAGACAAGGTTTTGAAAAATCAAAAATGGACGACTTAGATTTTTTCTCATTAAAAAATTATTATTTTGTGTCTCTCTCCGTTCTCTCTCTCTCGGTTAAACTAAATCTCAAATGGACAATTAAATCAAAAAAACTTTTTTTTTCTGTCCCCTTTGTTTTTTAATGTTTTCTGAGATATGAAAAAGTACACACTAAACTTATTTTTATATTTTCCCCCTTCCTCCTCCCAAAAATCGACAAAAATCTTCCCCAATTTCTTCCCTTCCCTTCCTTTTCCAAAATATCTGCCTGGCACATTCCTTCACTATTTTATACACCTATAAAATCAGTCTTCCCCCACACCTGCCTTTAGGCTATACTCATTTCTCTCTGAATCACCCTCAAGAAAAAATATGGTGAATGAGGAAAAGCAACAAAACAATAAAAGTGAGAGAGCTAAAGCAACAACGATCACTCCCCCATATTTCACCAATACACATTTTGCCAATAAGGCTAAAAATTTACATTTTGCCAAAAGGCCTTGTTGACAAAATGAGAATTTTTAGCCTGATTGGCAAAATGTGTTGTTGGTGAAATATGGAGAGTAAAGGCAACGGCGGCGCTGCAAGGAAAATAATAATGGAAGTTTAGTGTGGACAATAAACACACAAAATTGGCAGAAATTGGGACACTAAAACAATTGATTTTAAATAAAGGCTTGATGGAATGATAGACAAATAAAAAAATAATAGGAAGTGATTGGAAGATGTGGAATTTATATAAATAAATACACCTTCCCCCCTCCCTTCTATTGTTTTGAAGGACAATAAAAGAAGGCATGAGAGCAGTTGTCCGCAAAAATGCCAAATTTTTCTAGCATAAAAAAGCAAAAGACGAAAGGCGGAAGAAATCGAAACAAAATTAAAAGAAGAAAAGCGGAAGGGTCAAAAGCAAAATTAAGCAGAAGCGGAAGGCAGGCCCATACGTGATATTCAGGTTTTAATTAAAACAGAGAAAAATACCATAAAAAGCGTTCCGGAATATTTAAACACACTTTTTCCATTCAGGAAAACAAGCTTAAAGTAACCTAAATTTATGGACAAAGCAATTTTATCGAAATATGCCGAAAAAAAGTTGACATATTTTCTCGATAAATCCTCTGGGGAATTAATATCTGTGGATGGGGAATTATTAGAGGGAGCTTAAAATAAATAAAATCGTATGATTTGTTATTTAAACTAATGGAAAATTTAAAATGGTGGAAAAAAATTAGCGCGGGTTCGAACTTTCACATATAAATACGAAGGATGTCTTTTATAGTCAAGAAGACTACCACTGAGCTATAACGCCCGCATTCCATTCGAACATAAAATGGGGTATTTGTGGAGAGGGAACAAAAACTTACCGCAGAGCCATAACTTCGTTCAAAATGGTCGAATCCGGAAAGACATGGCATAGTTCAATATAGTTCGATTCAGCTCCTCGAGACGCATCGAACCACGCCAGGGCGTCCCGGATTCGACTATTCTGAACAAAGTTATGGTTCTGCTGTAAGTTGGGCTCGCGGTAAGTTGGCCTGCTCCCTCCCTGGGATGAGGAATTATTCGAAGGGTAGGGAATTAATCGAGAAAAACTAATTATTAAAATATACACAATTGGTCAACGTTAAAAAAAAATTTTTTAATAAAACCTCCTTTCTTCCCCTACTTATTTTATTTACCACTTACAGGGTCAGTTGTCCACTTTTAAAAATATATAAAGGGTCATTTTGATATAATATCGTTCAATGATTTATTGTCACACACACATTTAAACTTGACACAAAAATTCCAAAATTTTCTCAATTTCTCTCTCAACACATTCCTCCAAAATTACACTTTTTGTTTAAATTTAAAAGCTACCAATTTAATTAATTATTAAATTTTACACAAACAACAACAAAACTAAACATAAATTCGTCACCTATCCTTAAAAATTAAAAAAATAATTAATCAAATTGAAGGAAAATTTAAAAAGTATAAAATTGTAGCAGATTGAGACTACAATTTAAGAAACGCAAAATTACATAGATTAAAATTCAATCAAAAAATCTGACAATATTTTTATTAAGAAAAAACTTTTTAAATAAAAAATGTAAATGATTTATACATTGTATAATGTCACAGTTATATTTTTAAAGGAAATGTGTAAAACACTGTAAATACAGCTGATTTAACATTTTATATTGCTAGCATGCTACTTAAGAATCCCGTTTTCCTTAGTTTTAAAACGTGACTGTATAATAAATAAATCTAAATAGCTCTTGCCACGTTAAACCCAGATTAAACGACTTTTGTACATGACATGACTTTTACATGATAGTATTCAATAAATACAACAGTTATCGAACAGTGCCTACAATTAAACTGTAATATCACCGTCAGTATACTTTTATTCAGTTAATATAACTTAATATAACAACTTGGTACACAATAACAAAATCAATGAAAAAAATAAATATTCATCCAAAGAAAACACTAGAAATACCAGCATAAAATCACGAAAAAACACGCCCTCACAAAATTGTCTTCTTGTAACATCCGCTTGTCATTATTGCCCTCACTGTTGTTGATTTCTAATATGAAGACGCCACTTTTCGAACCCTGATTTTGAAAAAAAAAATTCTAAAATTAACTTTTTTGAAACCTGATCGAAGAGCGTTTCCTCTGTAGAGCTCCATAGCAATACATAAGTGCGCAGTATGCCGTTTGAGCTGCCCTCGCTCGTTTACGATGTCCTGAGTACGGCCTAATATAATCTATTAATTTTCAATATTTTAATTTCACCTACCACAATAATAGCATGCATTCACATTGTTGTAGCAATTTTGATGTCTCCAACGGCATGTAGAAGCAGCATGACCATAGCGAAAACAGCAAAAGCACACTCCGCCCATTCCACCTGTTCGACCATGCCGTGTTGTCGACCCACCAGTTGGGCAGTTCTTTGCGCGGTGTCCGATCTGTTGGCAATGGAGACAGTGCGAGTCACCATCCCAATTGCCCTCACGTCGTTCATCTTCTCTATACAAAAGTCTCGAATTTGGCATTTTTTGGTTAAAAGATAAAATTGCTAATTTCTAAAAAACTACAAGATTAGTAAAGGAGAAAAAATAATGAAAAAGTTAGAAAAATTATTTAAAAATGAATAGTCATAATGTAGATTAGACAAAATGTAATTTTTGTCAAAACGTCAACTAGTAACGAAAAAGACATAATCTCTAATTTAAAATATCTAAATTTCATAAAAGTCAGTTTCTATTATTTTTAAGGATTGCCGAATCTAGTTTTAAAAATTGCTCGATCTAGTTTTAAAAATGCGTAATCGATAAGCGACCTAAACGAAGGCGGAAACGAAAAAGGCAAAAATCCCGAAAAGCCCCCTCAAATAACTCGATTTCTATCATTTCCTCCATACTCTGAACCTTCTACTATGAAACGTCCCTTACCTTGAAATGTTAAAATTTCAAAGTGTCACCAATAATATTTTGTCGAAATCTCTAATTTAGAAATCATTAATTTTACCTGGGACACGCCCAAGTAGGCGCGCGGCCATAACGGCGCAAAGCCATAACTTGCTGAAAAATTCCTGACCTTTAGCAATTTTGTTACCAATCTCTATGGCTCGATGAGTGTAATCCGTAAATACTAAATTTGGTAAGGTTCGAAAAGATTGAAGCAAGTTATAGCTTTGCGCCGTTATGGCCGCGCGCCTACTTGGACTGTACCCTTTTTCCCTTTTCAGCTGATTTTATTTTAAGGCTTTTTTGGTTTGACTGACTAAGTTAAACCAAGATTTCTTTAGACTTCCCTTAAGCTTCCGTTATGTCATAATTTTGTCTAACTTTTTTAAAAATAATTTTATTTATTTTTCAGCATTTTTTATAAATTATGGAGGAAGACTTAAAATCATTTATTAAACTTCCCTGGTTCAAAAAACATTTTTCAAATTCGGCTGACTTGGAAATACTTCCTGCACGTTATACAGTCCAATATGTTATGGAAGAAATGTTTATTTATTTTGAGAAGCGTTTAACGCAAATTGCTGATGAAGAACCTTTGGTATTTTTAAAATTTTTGGGTATTCTTATAGGAGATTTGATTTTTTTCGGTCATTTTTGCTGAAAAATTTTTGCAGACGTTTTTTTAAGGTGTACCGACACTTGCGGAACGACATTTGCGGATCGACAATTGCGGATTGAATGTTGCGGAACGACATATGCGGACCCAACATTTGCGGATTAACATATGCGGACCGACATTTGCGGACCGACAGATGCTGATTAACATTTGCGGACTCGACATTTGCGGATCAGTTAATGATTTAAACCAAAAAAGGATTTCCAAATTTTTTTTGCCTTACAAATATTTCTTTGGATCGGGTTGCGTGTCGAAAATGTCAGGGTATCGGGTCTGGCCGGTGAAAATGTTGAATCAGCCTACAATTTTTGGAATAGAACCTTTTTCTTGTTCAAATTCGAAAATCTTCGAAGACACAAGCCCAAGGCGATCTCAATATTCAGGACGAAACTTTTCAAGAGTAAAGGATTTTTATTTTCTTGAAAAATTACCAGGTCCGCAAATGTCAAATCCGCTAATGTTAATCCGCATCTGTCGGTCCGCAAAAGTCGATCCGCTTCTGTCGGTCTGCAAATGTCGGGTCCGCTTATGTCGTTCCGCAAAATTCAATCCGCAATTGTCGATCCGCAAATGTCGTTCCGCAAGTGTCGGGTAACCTTTTTTAAATATGAAATGAATCCGCTTCATTATAAAATGCCCGAGAAATTATTAGCAAGAAAAGTCATTGCTGAAGATTCAGATTTTTAAGTTTTTGTCAGGCCTCGACTATGGGTTAGATTTATTGACCTGCTTTGGGTATAACTGGTCTAGGAGTTTAGAAAAACTTCTGGCAGCTCAGAAATACATGACCCTAGGTTCTGGGTACATAAAAAACAAGCTTACCCTCCTCCCCATCTGGAATGGTCTTTCCTCATTTTAAAAGGAAGATGAGTCAAGAATGGAACTCTTGTGGACAGAAGCAGAAATAACCTAATTCCTGATTCATTGTCAGACCTAACTCTTTTCCTCGATTTTGTACCTTTTTAATTTCTAAATTAAATTTATTTTTAGGACAAACTTATAAACAAATCATTCAAAAGAGGAGAAGATTCTTATCTAAATAGTCTGTTAAGAACACTTTTTGGACTATGCGAGACTTGCCTACCTTCAGTTCTAAATGTTTTGATTAAATGGTATGAGCATCAACAGAGAGTTTCTATCAGCCAAGTCGGGTAAATTTTTAAATTGTTTTTCCTTGGTTTTTCTTAAGTATCTGGGTTTTTGCTGATGTCTTTGTGGAACTTCTTTATTCCAACTGGGGTTGCCGGTTCGGCTTCGAAAAATCGGACTTCGATTTTTAGCCCGAAAAAGACTTGAGCGGCCAGGTTTGATAAAATTCAGGCCCGAAACAAATGACTCGAACGCCGGTCCAGTTCGAAAACGGCAACCCTCTAATTCCAATTTTTGGGGAGATTTGCTTAAAAATGATGCCTCATTTTTGTTTTTTGACATTAAAGTAAAATTGCACCCCGACCCAGGGCTGCACGCAATTGAAAAAAAAGATTCCGCATCCCCAATCTGCAATTGCGTGCAGCCCTAACCTCGACCCTTTCTATTCTTCGATTTCAACATTTTTGAAAATCCATACCTTTCTTTGATTCCACCTCATAAACCCAACACCCTCAACCTTTCCGAACTACTTAAATTTTCTTTTTTATTTTCAGAGAAGTCAGAGACCGCGCCATAAAGAAAACACTTGTTGCTAGCTATTTATTTTGTGTTGTTCTAATCGAAATTTTACTTCAAGTCCACTTCCACCCAGCAGAATGTCAATCACAAATTAATTTTATTGTTGGGACTTCTTTCAATCAAATATCCTACAAGGACCAATCCGTTTTTGGAATTAATTATAATAATAGTTTGATAGGTTCGTTTGGAATTTTTTTTTTATTGCGGACAAGATTTTCGATTTGCGGACAAGAAAATTTTTTGCTGACAAAAATTTATTTTGCGGATTTTCTGCTGTCAAATTTTATTTTTTTCTAGTCTCTGAGATCTTCGCAGAAGTAATTGGTGTCTTGTCACAAACCCATTGCAAATTAATCCAAAAATATTGTATTGACAATTTAAACGAATTACGCAAAGAAATACCGGTTAATACGCATAGTGTTATTTGTCTGTTAATGGGAATGAAATATTTTAGAATTAAGGTATTTTTTATTTTTAAATTATCAGAGTTATTTTGTGCTTTTATTATGACCAGAATGTTTTATCAAAATTTTCTTGGTCAAAATATTCAAAAAAAACTCGTAATTTTTCTTTATAATCCCCGTTTACCCTTACTATCCTACTGATTTTTAAGCCATTTTCGATCGCTGACACTTCCATTCTCCTAAATGTTCTCCCCTACCTCATCTTTGGCCCACAAGGAAACATTTTTGAAAATTTTGTAGTCTTTTTGCACCATTGATTAGAGCAGGGTATTGCCAATTTTTGGATTTTCTTCCTCTGACCCTCATTTCGAAAAGTTATAGAGCTTTAATTCGATCGCTCCAGAATTCGAAAACTTTAAAGCCCTACAACTTTTCGAAATGTGGGTCAGGGGAAGACAAATCAAAAATTATCAATAGGTTATCTACCCTGATCTACTCGATGGTGCAAAAAGACTACAAAATTTTCACATAAAGTTTAAAATGTTTCCTTGTCAGAATTTTGTTTTTTGAATTTTTGCTCGTTTAAATCAGAGTAATTTTTTATATTTTACTCGTCCGGCTTTGTTTTTATATAATTTTGTATTTTTTTAATTTTTTATAATTTTTTTTTAAAAACAGACAAACGAAATATCTTCATTGGAAGAAGGTATCGCTTTTTTAGAAGAAATTGGTTCGTATTACCTTGAAGTTGATTTGAAACAAAAAGATTTGAAGCATGCTTTGGCTGGATTGTTGGTTGAAATACTTATACCTATGGCTGCGGTTTGAATTAATTTTTTTGTAAATTTTTTAAGAATTTTGTTTTTAGCAAATCAAAACAGAAGCAAACGTTCCTGCTTTAATTGCTTTTGTGGATAAACTTTACAATCCAACATATGATTTAATTAATAAAAAGCAGCATAAATTGGTTTATATTTTTTGAATAATTTTTAAAATTGTTTTTTTTGGGGATTTTGAATAATATTGTTTCGAGGCATGGGTTGGCGATTCCTTGAAAATCTATGTGTGTCTGGAACTGGAATCGATAACCGAACTGAAAATTTCCGAATACCCGGAACCAGCCACTTTTCCAAGCACGGATTTTGGGAACATAACTGAAAAAACCTTTTCTACAGAAATTTTTCGGAGGGTTTTAAATGTATTTTTGGAAGAATCGAACTCAAATTTATTTTTTTGTCTTGTATTTAGGCCAAAAACGTTCCACCGATTTTAGAGTTTTTCTGTCTAACATTATGTAGTCTATCTTAAAAAATTTCTTTTAAATTTCATTCAGGCAGCTTATCCACTTCTTACCTGCCTATTATGCATCAGTCAAAATAAATTTTTCCTTTCTACTTGGGTTCAATTTCTGAATCTTACACTAGGTAATTTTTGTTATTTTAACAATATAAAATCTATTTTTCAGCAAACCTCAAAAATAAAGATTCAAGAATTTCACGTATGGCGTTGGAATCACTTTATCGTTTAATTTGGTTAATATTTTTTATACTCCCTTCTTACTTTTCAAATTTGAAATTTTTGACATAATTTAATTATTTTTATCAGTGTTGGGGACGGTTATTAACCAGTTACCCCTTGTTTTCGGTTTTCCCGATTTTATCTTCTCGGAATTTGTCTCGGCCCGCCGGCTTTTCCACACCCAGGGACTCGGCGGCGAGACTTGTATCGAATGATCTATAAAGCAGACTTCCGAACCGGTTACATGAAGCAGGGATGGGCCGAGTTACCCGATACTCGGTTTTTTTCGACCCGAAACCCGAACTTGACATTTTCTCAGCCCGGCCTATCCCTGGTATGAAGCGAAGGCTTCCGAACCGGCTAACGACTAAAACATTTTTCCAAGAAATATTTTTGAACAGAATTTTGTTCCAGCCTTCCCAATTTTCTCTCTTTTTTAAAAATTTCCCCCGAATTAAATTTAATTTTTTCAGGGTTTACACTGTTCGTATAAGCTGTGAAAGTAATAGCGTTACTCGAAGCCGTTTGGAAGGAATTTGTGCAAGTCTTTTCCCTAGAGGTTCAAGAAATGTAGTTCCAAGAGATGCTCCTCTCAACATTTTTGTTAAAATAATTCATTTTATTTCTCAATATAGAATTGATTTTGCGTTTAGAGTTTTTGGCTTTATTAAAGGTTTTTTGTAATTTTTTTAATTTTTAGGAAATAATTTATGATTTGTTGGGATGTTCTAGAGCTTCATCGAGAACTCTTTCAATTTATCCTGAACGTATGAATATTGGAATACGTGCGCTAATGGTTATTTTTGATGGACTTCAACAAAATGAAAGTCCTCCAGGAATGCCGAGATCTATAGGTTAAAGAATTTAATTGTTAAAATTTTCATTGAGGGGGTTGAGGTTTCATTAGCTATGCCCTATCGAGAATACAAACGTTTGTTTGTCTATATTAATATTATAGTATTAATAGGGTTGGATTCGTATCCGAAAGAAGGTTGGTTATTTAGACTTTTCGGTTTTGCTATCGGATACGGATATCCGGGGATTTCACAGGATCCGCAAACTTCGTTGGTTACGAGATTATATAAGGGGCATTTACCGAACGTAATTTAGGGGTTTTATTATAGCTTTGAGCCGCGATTTGATAATCACGCAAATGGTTATTTTATGATTTCTGATGTTGTTCTATTCCACCCAGGGTGGCCTTTTCTAAAATCACTAAAAGGGGCATGGACTTTCAAAAAGGTGTTAAAAAGGAGACGAAATCGGTCAAAAAAGAGGCAAAATTAAGGGCCACCCTGGTTCCACCAAAAAAATTTTTTTTTAATTTTTCTCCATTCTAAATTTTAAAATCCAACAATTTAAAAAGGTTTTGTACCTTTTGGAACAATTCAACGCCAAAAAAGAAGTTATTTGACTCAACCACTATCAATCGAAACAGCAATTTCCCTCGGTCTAGAACAATACTATCCAGCTTGTAGAAAAGCTTTTGACTCAATTTTGCGTACTTTGGATGCCCAAATTGGGCGTTCATTTATGTTAACAGCTTCACATGTTCGTGGAAAAGAATATAATGAAGTTATTAATTCTGAAATGAGAGCAAAATTAGATCTTTTTCGGACTTGTATTGCTGCTATTCCTCGTTTTCTTCCTGATCCAATGTCTCATCAGGTTTGATTTAAAAATTAAAAAAAGTTTTTTGGGTATTTTTGGGGAAGATCATAGGTTTTTTCTATGCACTCATCCTAAATCTGTCCACTCTTATTTTTGTGACTCTTACCCTAAACTAAAATATTCCAAATTTAGAATCAAATAATGTAATACAAGGAAAATTATTTTAATTTTACTGTTAACAATAGGGTTGCCAAAACGGACCGATTCGGATCGAAAGATTTAGTCGGGCCTAACATACATATTTGGCCCGAAAGTGACTTTTACCGGCCCGACCTGATAAAAACAAATCCGAAAAAATGCTTTGACCGTCGGCCCGACTCGAAAACGGCAACCCTAGTTAACAATTATTTCTTGGAATAAAAATTAGAATATCATTTACGTATCCAGTGGCGTATTCCAGTGGGATATACTGCAGTAAACGCTAATCTTTTTTCGTTTACTTTGGCTATTCCTCCTATGCGCTTTTGGAATTTGGGCTAATTTAAAAAAATAAAATTTCAAAATTAACTCTAATTTCACATTTTTTAAAGGATTTGATTGAATTTGTTATTCGAATGTGTGTTCATGTAGATGAAGAAATTCGTTTAACAGCTTATCAATCACTTCAAAATTTGGTTGCTGAATGTCCAGATTGGAGAGAAGATTTATTCCACATTTTTCTTCGTTTTTTAATTAATCAAATACAGGTTTTTAAATGAAATTTTGTTAATTATGGTAGGATGCCGAAATACCAAACCCTCCGTTAGGCACGCCAAAAATAACAAAATATGGATTGTTAACAACCTTCAAAGTTATTCAAACATATCGAGTACACCCCAACGTACCGCAAAGCTATAACTTCTTTCAAATTTGTCGAATCCGGGACGCCCTGGTATGATTCGATGCGCCTTGACGACTGAATTGAACTATATCAGGGCGTCCCGGATTCGACAATTTTGAAAGAAGTTAAATCTCTGCGGTACGTTGGCATGCTCCTGAACATATTTATATGTTTTTTTTTATTTTTTCAGTTTGTTATTTTGATGCTTTAGAGGGTTGCGTATTTCGGCACTTGGTATTTTGGCGAGCTCCACAAAATTTTAAAAAAATTTTTAAGGACACATTCCCAACATTATTAGAATCAATGGTTCGTTTATTACTTCAATTACTTTCAGTTTGGAAATTAAATTTTATTGAACATCAAAAGAATGAATCGATTATGTTAAAGCTTTCAACAAATAAAGTTGGTATTAGTTCTCAGTCTTCAATTTCGGAAAGTTGTTAGTTTTGCTTTTTTTTAATAATATATTCGGAACCTATTGTACTATAAAAAAGTCCTCGCGATTCTTTATTTCGGTTCTAACCTGATTTCCTTAATAAGACTAAAAATTCCTTTATTCTCGGTTCTTCGGTTCGTTTCCGAACTGACTACCTTAATATTGACATTATAATTTTTTAATAGTTGGGGGACGGAAAAGGCTTTTTTTCTTTATTTTGCCCAAATTTTTCAAGTTTTATCCGAAATTTGTCAATCTTCAATTTAGTAACCTGCATATGAATTGAAGTTTGTAAATTGAATTAATTTAATAAATTCAATTTTTTTTCTTAAATCGCGGCTAAAATTGGGGACTTTTGGACCAATAAAGGGTAATAACTCGGAAAGGATTTATTTTGCTATTTCTTTAGAAATAGCAAAAAAATTGTCTGATCAGAATTATCTATACGACTGACTAAAGAAATTTGGAGTTTCTATTTTTAAAGAATTTTCTTTTAGGGCAAAAAACCAAAATAAATCTTTTAAATAAGTTTATTTTGGTTTTTTGACCTAAAAGAAAATTCTTTAAAAATAGAAACTCCAAATTTCTTTAGTCAGTCGTATAGATAATTCTGATCAGACAAACTCTTTAAATTCATCTTCTAAATTTTTTTTAATTTAAGGCGAATTAACCACCTCCCATGCATCCTTTGAACGTTATATTAGTGCTACTGCTTTTGCTCTTCATTGTATAGAAGGTTTAGCATTAACACTTTTATGTCAATTGAGGCCACAAATTAAAAGAATGGCAATTTCTTTATTATACGAAGTTAAAGGATTTTTGGATTGTTTTCCACAAAAACATGTACGGTTTTTTTGAAATTTTTTTTAATTAAAAAAATTTTTTGATTTAAGCATTATGAAACGCCAGTAATTGAAGTTTTGGATGAGGCAACACCTTATGTAATGGAAAAATATATTCAACATGTTTCTGAGAATGAAAAGGTTTTTTTGGGTTTTTAATATATGAAAACGGAACGAGTCGTTAATATAAGAATATCGAAATAGCAAAACCCCAAAAAGCCGTTGAAATCCCAAGCTGTGGAAATGACGTTATGCTGTCAAGTTTTTGTGGAGACATATCGGGAGCAGGGCTGTCCGCAAGTGGAAAAGATTTTCCGCAATTGCAGTCCGCAATTTTTGTTTTAAAATCCGCAAGTCCAAAAAACCACGCAATCTGCAATTGAGGACAGCCCTGATCGGGATTCCCCCCAAAACTCTTTAAAACAAATAAAAAAAAGTCCACATATTTGCATTTTAAGTATGTAAAAACATGTTTCCTTTTATTTAAAAATAATTTCTGTCAACCGGATTCGAACCCTTGACCCCCTTTTGGTCGAAACCAAAACCTATCCAACTACACTAAAAGTATACTTTTCCAGAAAACTTGGCATAAAGACTTTGCTTCATTTTGTGAGATTGTATCAAATATTGGAACTGATCCGCTTTTGGTAAATGAAGACCATGGAAATGAATATTTGCGTTGGGATGTTTGGGCTAGCGCTCTTTCTGGATTTTCTGAGCATCGTTTTCTTCCGTCAAAATGCACAGTGGCAATATCTGTAAGAATCTTTCTTTGGATTAATTAAATTGGCAGATAAGATAAAGCCCCCATTAACCCAATTTACTAACAAGGGAACAAAATACCCTGAGACTAAGGTTGTCGGTTCTGGATCGAACCGAAGAACCGATGATTTTTCGGTTCGGTTTTGGATATCCGAAGAATTTCCAGGAACCGACAGCCTTACTTAAGACCCTTGACTTTTTATTGCGAAATGGTATCCGCTCAAAATGACATTTGACCGAGTTATGGCCAGTCAATGTTGGACTGTTAGATTCTGTGAAGTAAAAGGGAAATGAGCAACTTCTCTCTTCTTTTTCTTCACCAAAAATCCCACAAAGTGGATTCTACGGGATCTTTAAAAAAATACAAGGGTCTTTATTTTCTGCTTACACCAGGGATGGGATGAGTTGAGAAAAAAGTCGAGTCGGGTTTTAAAATTTTTCTTCGGATCGGGTTTCACGTCGAAAAAAAGTCCGTGTTTCGTTAGCCCGTCCCATCCCTGGTTTACACCATTTAAGAAAATTTTTAAAAAATTTAAATTTTAGTTTGCTTGGCCAGCGTTGCTTACTCGTTTCAATTATTGTCATCAAATAATTGATCCAAAGTATTTTTTCTAAAAATTCTTTAAAAAAATCTTTCTTTCAGTAATCCGCAAAATGAAAATCGAAGTTCTCTTCTAAAAAGCAGCAAAAGTAGATATACAAATTGGCCATTATGTGGAGATATACTCAGCCATGAAAATTATTTAAGTTTGTGGCAAAAATATATTGTAATGGTTTTTGGTCTTTTCCAATCAAAAACTACATTTTTGTCAAATCCATCATTAATTAGAAGCTTTTCTCCGTTTGTTTATTTTTTTTATTTTTTTTGCTTTTATTTTTAACCAAATTTCTTTTCATAGGGTAAGCAAAAAATTAATCTTAAAAAATTATAGGACAATGTAGGTGGGGGAGGCGGTCGAATTTTGATCGGGGGTTTCAAAATTTTCTTAGGATCCGGTTTTGATTTCGGGTCGAAAAAAGTCAGGAGGAGCGCTAGTGTAACCCGATCCATCGTTGTTGCAGGGGTTTTACGGTGTTTCAAATTTTTGGGAATTATAGTTGGAGCTTGAGATAGTTGGAGCTTGAGATTTTTTGTGTTTGGGGTTTAGGTTTTCCAAAACGAATTTCCTCTAAAAGCAACTTTTTTTTCTTTTTTTTTTCTTGGGCTTTAAAATAATGTTTTTGTAGAAGCTGTGATCATTCTGAAGTAAACAAATCAATGATAAGTTCAGTCAAAATGACAAGAACAGGATTGTTGAATTGTTCTCAACTTTTACAAAAAGCTTCGATAATGTAAATTAAATTTAATAAAAATACTTCTAAATGGGCAGACTTCTATGTGATGTTTGGAAAATCGTACTTTGTAACGAGGTTAAATTTGGAGTATCGTTCTCCTTTTTTCGAAATCCTTTTTTCGAATTTTTTTCGAAATTTTTTCCTGATTTCTGCACGATTTCCGACATCTTCGTCAGTTCTTATCCAAACCAAAATTTTTAAAAATGTATACTAACTCGAGGCGTTACCTAATTCTAGTGTGTTTCTTTTTGTTGATTCCGACCGTTCGTTTAAAATAATTTTTCCATTAATTTTTTTAAAGGATTCGTTGGGAAGCTACAGACATTAAAGACGCTGTTGTTTTAGGAATGGGTTCAATGAATTCTGAATGTTTTGAGTTTGTTTTCGGTTGTTTTTATTTAAAAAATATTTTTTATAGGCTTTTATTTGAAGAATTTAATCTAAAAGGAATTTTACGAGAAGTTGGAGAACGCAAAAACGAGACAAATTTAAGAAGAAAAAAGAGGAAGGACGCTTTGAGATTGCAATTGCGTATGTTTTTTGTAAAAATTAAATTTCGGAGGAAGTTTGGGGAATTTATTTTTGAATCTAGTTATCGGGGGATGTTTTAAAATTATTAGGGATTTTCGGGTCTATTACGTTGGGGGCCTGATCCGAAAGATCTGCTTTCTGTCAAGGGTGAAGCCAAGTGGGCTTCTTTGGCTAAAGCTTCCCCCGAAATGGGGAGAAGGGAGAAATTTGAGGAGAGGACCACTCCCTGAAATTGACTCCCTGGCTACGCCCTTTCTGTTTTTGGTTTCAATCCTTAACCTAAAAATAAATAAGACCAGGATTGATTCAAAATTTCAATCCAACTGAAACTTGTTAGTTAATTTTTGACACAACAGACGGCAAAAATCCGCAAATAGTTTCCCGCATGTTTTATTTTTTTAAATTTTAACATAATTTCCTTCATTTTCAGTTCGAATTCTTGAACTTGCTCTAACTCGTAGACTATTTGACCATTCATTTTTTGATCGTCATTCTGGTTCTTTGTCGCCACTTTTGCTTGAATTTATTGAATCTGTTCGGTTTCATGTTGAATCTGAAACGGTTTATTTTTTTAATTATGTGGGGATTTTGCAGTTTTTATTGTCCTAAAAACGTAAATTTATTTCTTATGTCGGTAGGATTTCGGAATCGCCCGTGTCCACGGGTATCTCCCTTGAGCGGGAGCAGGCCCGCCGAGCTATAACTTCATTCAAAATGGTCTTATCCGAGACGCCCTGGTATGTATCGATTTATCTCGTCGAGACTCATCGAACCATACCAAGGCGTCCCAGATTTTAAACAAAGTTATAGCTCGGCGGTAGGTTGGCCTCGCGGTACACTGGCCTGCTTCCTTTATTTTTGTCGGCAGGATTTCGGAACCGCCCGTCTCCACGGGTATCTCCGTATCCTTGAGCATGCCTGTCAGTCTGGGTATTTTTGACTTTGGGATTTTCAAATTCTTGGCTTTCGCTCTATGATGGCTCTGGGCTCCGGGGACGAATCGAGGAATTTTGGCAAATTCTAGCTTAAAAGGGTTATTATTAGAGACACAACACGTTTTAAAATATTTTACTTTTCTAAATTTTTCACAGATTCGTGATGTTAAAACAATGAGAATACATTTTGCTAAAGTTGTTACTGAAATTGTTTGCAGTGTTCCACGTATTTTTTTAAATTTTTTGTTTAATTTTTATTCAAAATTTTAGTTGATTTACGAGAAAATTTGTTACCAATGGATTTGCGTCGTTCATTATTTTTCCTCTTCTTTTCTTGGTGCAGTCGAATTTTGGCAAATTCTAATGATAATAGAAGGTTTTTTAAAATTAATATTCGAGGATTTATATGTGAAATAAAATGAAGAAATTCGGGGTAAGGGTGTTGAATTTAGTTGAATCCTTTCTTTCAAGTAGATATCCACCTTGATTTTGATTTAGACATTGATTAGTCCAGAGTCAATGTTGAAGTCTTTTATGAGTTTTTTTTGGGATTTTTTTATTTTTTTAGGCTCAAGTCAAAAAATTGGTCAAGTGTCATGATCAAGCCTTTCTCTCTCTCTCTCTCGCTCTCTCTCTCTATTTCACACTTTTTATAAGACTTCCATTGGTAGAGCAATATTTGCGCGGATATCTACTAAAGTTTTTTGTGTTTAGGAATTGAATTAACAACTGAAATTAGCAATTGAAATTCCTTTAAGATTCCTAGTTGTTTCAATTCTGCCATTTTTTCCTCAATTTATTCCACCCTTCTTAATTTCCCTTCAAATTTCTTAATGTATTCGTAGATTTTTGGTTACTTTTTAAGTTATTAGGAATGACAAAATCCCATAAAGTCTATGAAAAATGAGAATTTAAATTTTCTCTTTATTTCGAGGTTACCCCTTCAAAGCCAATTAAAAATAATTATTTTTAAGAAAAGAAAATGATATTGGTATTCATGTTGAACAAAAAGCAATTCAAGCAATGTGTGCACTTTTTTGTGTAGGAAGTGTTTTTGAATGTCAAGGACAATTTGGGGATGAAGATTATATTTTGAGATGGGTAGAAGCTTTGTTGTCTTCTAATAATTCTACGGTTTTTTTTTAATTTTTAAAAAATATTTTTTGGGTTTAATTGATAGATTCTGCCGTTTTCTAATTCTGATTTTTTGTTTCCAATTTATTGCTACCCTCTTAATTTCTTATCAAATTAATTCTTAATATCCCTTCTCTTAATTTCTCTTCAATTTAGGTTTTAAAAATTATTTGGGGGGTTGTCAGGTTATACGCCCCACAAAGTTTATTTGTTGTTTAAGTAATATCTGTCAAAATATGTTTAAAGGATCTTTTGGAATAGTCTTATAGTATTGTCTTTTAAGACGCTACAATTGGAGTTTACATTAGATGCTAGTTTAAAAATTCAAAGTTAGAAGATAAATAATCCAATGATCTGACTGGCATCTTTGGGTTGACAAACAAAACCCTGGACTAGGTACAAAAAACCCTATACCGGCCTCTAAATAAGTACAATGTTTGAACAAGTCTAAGGAGAAATTAGGAGTGTCTCCTACGCCCTTCTAAAATTCTAATATTTTCTTCATATTAAAAATTCATTTTTTTTAAAGATTAATGGAATTTGTGAAGAATTGCTTTGTACAATGCTCCATTTAAACGAAAATTATCCTCAATTATTTGAAAAAGTTTTACAAATGTGTTACATAAAAGACGAACTTGTTGGTTCACGTTGTTTTCGTTCTTTGGCTTTGCTTTTTTCTCAAAGGTTTTTTTGTAATTTCTATAGATTAGATTTTATTTGGTTTTTATGTTGGGTTTTGGGTTTCCTAAAATATTTTTGTTTTTGAATTTTTATTGTTTTGTGTGGGATCTGGGCCTTTATATTTGGATTGATAAACATTTTGGATAAGTTTTCCTTGTGGCTATGATTTTAATGCCGTCCTTCTGATATCCGCCTTTATATCCGTAGCTTTTAGATGGTTACAATTAAATCCTATAATGATAAGGGTCTTGAATAGAAATGGACATCATATATGGATCTGGGGGATCTCGGTTGACTTTGAATCGCGGTTGAATGGGTAAATATACGGGAATATTCATTACAAATATTCATTACAAATTCATCTTTAGGGAAAAAATAGGGACGAAAATCTTAAAAAATATGGGCCGGTGGGTGGTGGCTTGATCGGTCATTATTTACTCCATGGCCAGTCATTGTTATAGACTAAATTTATTGTGTAACTTAAAAATTCATTTTCGGGACTTATAAACATTGCCAAACTCTCAAATTTATTTAAAAAAAATTTCTTTTTTAAAGAGAATATCCATGTGAATTTATTTCACTTTTATGCTTATGTGGAACATTTGCTTCAGATGCAGAAGATTCTTCAATTCGTCAAACAACCTATTTATTTATTTCTCTTTTAAAAAGACAATTTTTGGATATTAATTTATCTCCATTAAATTTATCTTCAATTGTGGAAGAACATAATAAAAATGTTAGGGCAATTAATAATTTGGATGTGAAACCAAAGTAGGAGAATTAGAAAAAAATTTTTTTAAATTTTAATTTCAAGTTATTTTTCAATAAGCCAAACATGTATTAGTCAACAATTAGCTAAACAATATTCACAACTTACTATGCCTATTTTTTCTGGTAGATTTTTTTTAAATATTGTCTGTACTAGAGATCGGTCTGGATACGATCTGGATTTTACTGGATCCAGAATCCTGTCCAGGTCAATACCCCAAATTCTCAGATCCAGGATTTTTGAAAATATCGATCTCTAGTTTGTACCTATTGATAGAGTTGTCCAAGAGTTTTTTTTTTTGATTTTTAACTCGAAACTTTTCTGGACGAGTGAAGGGAGTTTCCGGTTTGGATGAAATCTTGGGGGTTTTTGTGCCTGACTTTTTGTAATTATTAGGAAACTAAAGAGGGGTCGAAAGCGAGGAAATAATTTCATTTTTATTAAAAACTGGAATTCTTTTCACCCCAAAATCTTAGCTAATTTTTTTAGAATTAATCCTAAATACCGTAAATATTATAATAGAAGCCCTAGGCTTGTATTTTTTAATACCCTTCATCGTTGGGCTTTTTTTAGGCGTGGGCTTCTATTAGAATATTTACGTTAAATTAAATTTAAAAAATTTTTATTTTTTAATTTTAGAAATTTGTTCAAGAATAGAAACTGCGCGTCCAAATAGACAAGTTTCAATGTTAATATTTTTGCATGAATGGATAAAAAATATTGTTTTGGTTGATAATTATTGTGATATTTATTTACCTTTAAAAGAAGGAGAAAACAGAGAAGAAAATGGTTGGGGATCAGAAGAAGCAACACAATTACTTTTAAATAATTTGTTGTTTTTGACTGCTAAATTAAGTTGTGAACATGATAAAGAAATTAGAGAATTGTGGAAATGTTTGGCAACAAATTATAAAACAACAAACTTGCCTATTATTGTTCATTTTCTTTTTATGATGATTTCTCTGTCGTTGGAAAACATGCTTCCGTTGGTAAGTTAGAGAAAAAGACAATTGTTTAGTTATGTTTTGAAGAATATTCGGATAAAATTCTGATTTTATAATGTTTTTAAAGAAAGTATCAGAATTTTTGTTTCAATTTATAAATCAGAATTTTACACTTCAGAATTTAAACAAAACATGTTTTAAAAACCAGAATTTGTTCTTAAAATTTTGCAACTAAAATCAGAATTTTATATGAACATGTTTGTTCTAAGGTACTCTACATGTTTTGTGTTTTTTGTTTGGATAAAATTCTGATTTTATACATGTTTTAAAAATATCAGGATTTTGATTGATTTTGTCTTTCCCAAAACAATAGTTTTTATTTTAATTCAGAAAACAGAATTTAATCAAAACATTATTTATAAAAATCAGAATTTAAAATCAGAATTTGTAAAAATTTTACAAATTTAAAATCAGAATTTTATATAAACTTGTAGCAAACATACATACGAGTTGTTTAGCTTATTATTAATTTAACAAATTAAAAATCAGAATTTTTTTAAATTTAAAGGCAAAGAAAATATCCTCTTATATTCTTGAAGCTTGTGGTGAAGAATTTGTTTCATTACTTGTAAATAATTTAGAAAACGTTGGAAAACCATTTAAACATTTTTTGTGTCGATCAGAAATGCCCCCATTTTATCGTTGGGAAAATGAAACAAAAAAAGAAGAAAATTTTGAAAATAAAATTGAGGAAATTAATAATAATGAAGAAATAATTGAGGAAGAATTTTGTGAAGAAAAAAATATAAATAATCAAGATTTAACAACTCCAACATTAAATTCTTTATTAAAAATTATTCCAAAACAATTACCAATGCCTCCTTATGGTGGAAATTATTCAAGACTTTCTTTACTTTTTCAACCACAAAATAATAATAATGGATGTTTACTTTCAAGGTGAAAAATTTTTTTTGAATTTCTACATGGAAATGAATAATTTCTGGATTCCAAGTCTAAGCGATCACCTAAATCTATTCTTTTCTTGTATAAATATTCACTATGGTTGTTCTTTAGCGTTCAAACAAACCCAAAAAATGGGGGGAAACAGTTAATTTTTTTTGAACAACCCTAATATTTAACTATTTATTAGAGATAGGACTGAGATTCCGATCGTGTTAGATTTTTTCCGAGATATTGATTTCGATTCCTATACGACATTTCCAGTTCGATCTCTACAATTTATATATTTCTACCAGTGATGTAGCTCGTGCCTCAAAATACGAGACACTAGATTCATGAGATACGAGATCTCTCAAAAATACGAGATTTCATAAGATACGAGACGAGCTCCACCCCTGATGTCTACCTTTAACTCCTTTTTTTGCCATTTTTCTTTTTGAAATATTTTTTAAATTTTAGAAGCCATATGTCACTCTTTTTACTTTGCGATTTAATTGGATTAAAAACTTCAATTGGTTGGAATGATTATATTCCAAAATTGTTACATATTGCCGTTATTAATTTGGATTCTAATGATAAAATTATCTGCTTCCATTCACGCCAAATAATTATTAATATTTGTTTAATGTTTATAGCCGATGATGTTTCGCTTGTCCAAGTTGCTACAACTCTACTTAAAAATCAGGCAATATTAAAATAACCTTTCTAAATAAGGCTTTACTTGTTTATTTTTTAATTCCAAATTAAAAAAATTAGGGTCCAGTTTACAGTTACGATTTTCAATGTGGTAATGATTCCTTGTATGCTGGTTCTAAATTAATAACAATAAAGTCCACAAGGGGTTCGAATAGAATTAAGTCATATATGGACCATTGGTTCTCGGCTTCGGATATTTGGTAATTAAAGATTAGCTCGTAAATGTGAGGATGTGAGGACCTTCGTGAGGACATGTTTCTAAGCCTTGGAAGGAAGTTTTTTAAATTTTTCTTCCAAGCCTTCCAAACCTTGGAATTTTCAACCTCCGAGATCCCCGCGATCCATATATAAAGATTATTTCTTTTCGAACCCCATTTCACCATAGGACTTCGATATAATTATATAATGAAATCCGTTAAGTATTTATTATTCCTCCTATTTCTAACAGATTATTTAAATAAGGATTTAATCTTATAAAAGAGAAAAATAATTTTTTCTAAAATAATTTTTTTGAAAAATAAGAATTTCGAATTCGAAATAAATTCGAATTTTAAAATCTAATATCGTATTTTATGGTTATTTAGTCTCTTTTTTCTAAAATATTTTTTTATAAATGTAGACTTGTCCAATATTAGCTAAAGTTTAAATCTGAAATCTAAAATTTTCTGGTATCTATCTTTAGGGACACTTAATTTTTATTATGTCTGATTATTTTTATAAATTTTTATCAAGTATTTTGTTGTAAATTATAATGAGGTCTTATAATGATAAAAGTCTCTAATTTGATTAAATGTCATATATGGATCTCGGGGATCTCGACTTCGGATATTTGGAAATTTTTGAAAATTTAAAATTTGCCCGTATGGTACAAACTTTTTTTCAATGTACTCACCTTTTTAACATATGCAAGTATGAGTATCTTGATACGTGCTTTCAAGCATTGGTTTTCAATTTTTTCAATTTACCAATCCATACTTTCAAGATGGATTGAGATCCTCGTTTGAGATCCCGAGATCCCCGCGATCCATATATGATGATTATTTCTATTCGAGACCCTTATCTCCATAGGACTTTGGTATAATTATATAATGAAGTCCTTTAATAGCGTCCTATGGTGTGTTTTGATATGACGAAGTGTTTCGATGTAATTAATTTAGTCAAGTCTATAGTGATAAAAGTCTCGAATAGAATTAAATGTCATATATGGATCTCTGGGATTTCGGCTTCGGATTTGAAAATTTTTGGAAATTTAAAAATAGCTCGTATGGTACAAGCTTTTTTCCAGCGTACTCATACCTTTCTAATTTTTTTGGCATTTTGGTACCAAATTCGCTCTCATACTTCCAAGTATTGGTTTTTAATTTTTTCAATTTACCAATCCACATTTCCAAGTACTGTCCGAGATCCCCGTGATCCATATATGACGATTATTTCTATTCGAGACCCTTATCGCCATAGGACTTCGGTATAATTATATAATGAAGTCCTTTAATAAAGCCCTATAGTCTCGATGTAATTAATTTAGTCAAGTCTATAGTGATAAAAGTCTCGAATAGAATTAAATGTCATATATGGATCACGGGGATCTCGATTGACGATTAATTCTATTTGAGACCGTATCCTTTTAATTTTGTTTGTCTTAACTAATTTCAATATTGTCCGTTCCTTCGGGGTTTTTGAATCTACTACCGTATTTCTTCTAATAGTGCGACCGGTCGGTTTATTTTTTAACCATCCTCTAGAGGGTCGGTTTATTAGAAGGGGTCGGTCTAATAGAGAGAGTCGCTCTATTAGAAGAAATCCGGTACTTTTTAAACGATTTTTAAGACTTTATTTTTAGCTAAGAAATCAAGAAAATATAAAAGAATCAAATCTGGATGAAGTTGGATTAAATTTAAATAATTCAACAACAACAACAACAAACAATAATGGACGTATTAATCGAATATCAACAATAACAACATCAGCAACAACAAATAATGCTGAAAATTCAAGTTTAGCAAGTGAAAGTATTGGAAATTCCCCTTACAATAATTTAAATAATAATAAAGAAAAATATTTAAATAATTTAAATTTAATTCCAAATTATTATAAAGAACAATTATTTGCTGTAGATGCTCTATTTTGTTCTAAAACTGAATTATTAAAATGTTTATTGTTTTGCCTTTCTCAAAAGTGAGTTTTTGATTCTTTTTTTAAATGATTTTTATGGGGGGGGGGGTGTGGAAAGGCCCTCACGCTGTGAGCTAAAATATATTGTAAAGCTATAGTTTTCTCAATTTTTTGAATTCCAATGCTTTAGACACTTGTTCTGTATTTTTTTTTATTAAAAAAGTTGAAATCCTTGTGACATGAAGGGGTCGCGATAAAAAGAAAACCTAATTTTTGTATTATTTGTTTCTATTAAATTCAAAGCTGTATGTGGGAGCTGTGTGGTTAAGTGGCTTGATTTTTCCCTTTCTTGGTGAACGCGGGATGTTCGATTCCGCTTAGGGTTTCTGCTTCTGAAAGATTCGTGGATATATTTGGGCGATGATGAAAATATTTGGAAGCGTTCGCGGTTTCCACCCTAGACGCCACAATGAGGGATCTCCCATATCTGAGCCCAAATTTTTTTTAAGAATACCCTCTTTATTAAATGCAAATTTGAAACCTGTAGGTTTGCAATGACTTTTTTTGTAGATTATGGCTGGGAATATTTGAACATTTTAGGACTGATTTTTTCAAAATTTATAAATTTACTCATTTCCTAATATTTATTTTCTTCTCCCGGGTAGGGAGTTCCATAATTCACCTGATCAGTTCCAAGATCAGAAAAACATTTCTCTCAAAAACCTTTCTAATTATTAATTTTTTCCCCTATATTTTTTAAGAAAAAATACAAGTTTATGGACTTTTGAAGATACAACCCAAAGGTGTTGGATTACTGAAAGTTCTAAATATGTTGGACGTTTTGTTCAACGTTTAGTTGATTTTCTTCAAACAAAATTACCAGAATTAGCTAATAATTGGACTCAATTTGCTATTCATTTTGCTTTTAATATTTCGAATAGACATTATTTTGGTATGTTTTTGTTGTAAGAAGCAATGTTTAAATTAATTTCTGAAATTTTACAAACATGAAACTAAAATGTTTTTTTGTTTTTAAAACTTGAACAACATGTTTAAACATGAGGGAAAAAATTTGAAACATGAAACATTTTAAAAACATGTTTTAAAGTTTTAGAACAACAATAAACTAAACATGAAATTCTGATGTTTTAAAACATGTTTTATTTAAATTCTGATTTTTTTAAACATGTTATTGAAATTCTGATTTTTTAAAAACATGTTTTATTTAAATTCTGGTTTTCTAAAAACATGTTTTATTTAAATTCTGATTTTTTAAAAACATTTTTCTGATTTTTTAAAACATGTTTTATTGAAATTCTGATTTTTTAAAACATGTTTTAATTAAATTCTGATTTTTTAAAATATGTTTTATTTAAATTCTGATTTTTTAAAACGTGTTTTATTGAAATTCTGATTGATAAAAACATGTTTTATGTAAATTCTGATTTTTTTAAAAACATGTTTTATTTAAATTCTGATTTTTCTGAACATGTTCTATTCAAATTCTGAAAAAATTTTAGGTCGTTCATTTCAAATTGCTGGATCATTAGGCACTAGCCCTGTACCTTTTATTCCATTATTAATTTCTCGTCTAGTTGATATATTTTCTGAAAATAATGATGAAACACAAAGCTTTATTATTGGTAAATTTTTTAAAATTTTGAAAAAAATTATTATTTTTCTCAAAAGAATTATTTATTTGCCTTCAACGAATGGTACAATCTGTCGATAATAATTCAAAAACATTTTCTAATGGACATTGTCGTTCGATAAGTTATACTCGGAATTTTTGGGAGCCGTTAGAAGCAAATAAAAAGGATGAGAAGAAAGGTGGTGATATTTTTTAATTTGACTAATACTTGAGGACTTAGGAGCACTGTTTGGAAGTTCGTACCAAAATTAGTACTCATATCTGTGTACGAGAAAATAAAACAGGCCTGTACTACAGGCAATTTTTAAAATTCCAAACACTGCTTGGGAAGTTTCCAGTCTTGTTTATAAAAATTTTACTTCCAGAAAATTTTCCTCGTTCCATTCCCTCCTTTTATCGCTCTGACTCAGGTCAGAGCCTATATAAATTTTGATAGACATAACCTATAGGACGACTTAATGCATCAGCTCATTATTATTGTTTCTAATGTAAGTGAAAATAAAAACGAAAGTTTAGCGTTGGGGAGGTTGCGATCGTTGGAAACCTCCTGGCAGTTGTTGCTACAGGAGCTTCGGATCTCCCCCTCTTCCACCTTACATGAGCTACAGTTTATCAAATATATTTTCAGATATTCGGCACTCTCTCCTACTTTCAAGTAATTTTGATATAAACAACAAAACACCATTAAAAAGAAGTAAAAGTGCATCAATGCCAAAAATAAATAATGAAACAAATTTATATTTAACTGAAGAAAATATATTAGCTTTTTCTCAAATTGCTACAATTTCTCTTTTAATGTTGGAATCTAATGTAGATAATGAATTTTTAATTGGATTACATACTTTTGATAAGGTGGGGAGTGATTAATTTTTGTTAAAAATTAAAAAAAAATTTAAAATTAAAAAAAAATTTTTTTTTAGATTTTACAAGCTAGTGGAAATCAACGTTTTGAATTTCTTGTTCGTTTGGAAGAAATTGTAAATAAAAGTTGGGAGTTGCCTAACAACACTGAAATTGTTGCTTTAGCTTTGAAAGGTATATGTTTCTTCAATTTTTGTTTTTATGTTTATTTTAAATAAACTTGTTGGGAACATGTTGGTTTTGTGGATACTTTGTTTGTTTTGAAGTAAAAGCAAGCAAACTTTCTTTAAAACATGACAAAACATAAAAACACAAACAAATTAAAAACTTAAAACTTGAACAAAAACATGTTTGGAATAAACAAAACATTTAACAACCTAAACATTTTAACAAAACAGTTAAACAGTTAAAAGTTTTGTTTTTGTTAAAATGTTTTGTTTTTTCCCTTTAAAACACACACAAACAAAGATTACATAAACATATGTTTTGTGTTTCTTTGAAACATGTTTCCTATTTTTTCTAAACAAAACATGTTTTGTTTCTGTTGTTTTAAACATTCAATTGTTTCAGGTATTCTCTACCCTTTTCACGGCTATGAATGTTCTATTTCAATATTTTCAAAATGCCTTTTAAATTTAAATCAAAAAATTGTTTGTTCAAATTCAAAAGAATCTTTTGCTTTGATTGTGACTGGTAACTTTTGATTATTAAAAATTTTTTTAATTAATTTTTTTCCAGCTTCATTACCCTATTGTATTCAAAACTTCAATTCCCCAACTTCGCTGTGTTCTAAGCTTGCACAATCTATTGCAACTGTATTTTTTTATTAAAAAATATTTTTTTTTAAATTATTTTTTCAGCATTGTCGAACAGAACTTGATCAACTTTCAAAGGAAAAAGGAGTTAATTTGGATACTTTTTCTGACCATCCTCTTTCTAATTTGATTACTGTGAGTTTTCCTTAATTATAGGAGCTAGATTGAGTAGAGGGTGAATAAATGTGAAGGCTATGGTTGGCGGATTCTGGAAAATTTCGGGTGTTCGGGTCTGATACCTGAACTTAAAGTTTAGGAGATTTGCAGAGATCTGTATCAGCCTACCTAAATGTGGGCACTAAGAATAGGATCCTAGAACTTGTTAATAAATCACCGTTATCTCTACGTTCTTCCCCTTTTGGGAATAATGTAAAGCTAGCTACTAATTTGGGAAGAACGTAAAACTACTCCCTTTTGAGTGGAAGTTCATTCCTTCTTAGTGTGGGCACTAAGAACGGGCGATTGATTAAAGACCAATCGTGAATTAAACTCCTAGAACTTGTTAATAGATGTGAAGGCTAGTGTATGACTGAGGAAATTATTATCTAAGAAAATATAAGAAATTATTATCACCATTACCTCTTACATTCTTCCCCATTTTGTGATTTTATACTACTCCCTTTTGGGTGGAAGCTCGCTTAGTTTCTTCAAAAATTTTGCATTAAAATTAATTTTATTTTTTTTAAATGCATAGATGATGGACCAATATCGAGAACAAAAATTTCCTCGTGACCATCCCCAATGGACTAAATGTGTAATTAATTATTTATTGGATGCTTTTAAACCTGATACTTTTCAATTAATTATTGTTTTGACTGAAATGCTTGAAAGAAGTCCTATAGCTTTACATTCTAGTCTATTGGATATGTTGCTGTTATTATTTAATTATGGAAATTTAAATAATTGCCCTCCAGCTTATTTTAATTCTCAGGTATTTACTTAGTTGGAATTGGATTTTTAAATGGTAGAGTTTGAACTAGAGCTGCGTCGATATAAAAAAATCTGCGAAATTCGGAAATCGAAAGAAAAAACGTCGAAAATCGAAATTTCGACGCAGCTCTGGTTTAAACTTAAATTTCTGGTCGTCGGGTTAGGAAAAATTAAAGTCCAGAAAGGTGAAATGATTGCTTGGACATATAGTACTAGAATCCAGACTTGCACACGGATACGGATATGGATACAAATAATATCAAAATGCCTGCGGATATCCGTCTGTATCCGTCCGTATCCGCCGTAAATATCCGGATACGGATACCAATTAATTTTTCCATTTAATTTTTCCTATCTGATTTTTACCTATCTGATTTTAAAAAAAATGTAGGAATGAAAAGATGGGGGAAGGGTGAAAATGAGAAATCTTTCTGCTTCACAACGTAAGCATCAGGGAATTTGGAATCAGAAAAGCTTGGTTCCTAGTAAACATTAGAGACCGGAATTTAGTGGTCGTTCAATAATATCGGTATCGATATATCGATATTTTCTATCGATATATTGTGTCGATCCCTCCCGCATACAAAAATATTTTTTTGCGTTTATAGATTGTCAAAACAATTTTTAAACACATTCATGGTTCAAGTTCTAGAGAAGCTTCGCGTATTTTTAAAGTTATATTGGAACAATGGAATGCTATTTCTGTTGATAAAATTTCCCAAAATGAGGTAAAAATAAATAAAATTTTTCTTTAAAAAATAAATTTTTAAAGAAAGATTTTTTGGCTAAAAGAAAGCCAGAATTTGAAATTCGATTTGAAAAACCCTTTTTACACGAAATTAGTGTTGATAAATTGTCTTCTTTGGATTCGTTTGGTAGTTCAAGACAAAAGGTGTGATTAAAATTTATTTGAAATTTTTTTCCCTTTTTTAGATCAGAAAAAAGCTTTTAACTTTATTTTCAACTTTTGGACTCCCTATTGGTGCAACTAGACATCTTTCGGTGAGTTTTTTTTTGGTTAAAATTAGTTTGTGTAAAATAACAAAACGTGGAAGGGCATAAAGCAGACGGCATAATTCGGATATCAACTTTGTTAATTTAGTAAAGCAGCTGGGCTATAGCTATTAAGAGACCTAGTAAGATTACTCTACGATGAATAGAGTAATCTTGCTAGGAATATTATTTGCTACATGAGAGCAGAGAACCTACCGTCGTGAATTTCTAAATTAGGAGTTTATTTTTTTCTTATCGACATGATTCTCGATCCATAGCTTTTATTTGGTGTAATAATTATTCAAATATAGCTAAGAATTGATTCGAGTTAGGGTTTTTGGAATTGAATTTGTTGGGTCTAAAAAATCCTAAAAAGGTGTTTTATTTTTCGCCAAAAATTACAATGAAATAATATTTTAATTTTTTTCCAGCTTTTATCAAAATCCTTTACTGACATTCAACAAGATCAATTAATTAATATAAATATTGAAGAGAAAGAAGGGGGAAATATTCAAAAACAACATCAGCAACAATCAAATTTAAAGCCAGAATCAAAAGATGATTACTCAACAAAAACAAATCAACAACCAAATATAGATAGAATGTCAAGTCCAAAAAGTTTTGGTGGTGGAGGACCATCATTAGGAGGAGGAGGAGGAGGTGGAAATTTATTACAACAAGACCACCATTCTAGTGCAAATAGTTGTGAATTAATATCTTTACGAACAACAGACTCTTTCCCTAGAGTTTTTAAAGAATTTGATTTTCTTGAAGCTGAACATGATTCTGTGTCTGAATCGGCTGAAAGTTGTTTTAATTGGTTATCTACAATGAGAACTCCTAGGTCGGAATGAAGCTTTTTATTTTTCTAGATGTTTAATTTAGCAATAATTATGTTGTTGTGCTGGTCTTATAGTCTCAATAGTTTTAAATATTAATAGATTAGGATCTCTCATAATTTAGATATTGGTTGTTCTGGGTCCTGAAAATTCTGAGACTTTTAAAAATTCTTGGTCCGGATTCTGGACTTGACCTTAGCTGAATGACTGGACATTCTGGGCTGGTATTTGAGCTTTTATTTTGCAAATTAAAAATGCGAGGGTGCTCTGGGTACAAAACCAAGGCCTTGGCCAGTTCGGTTTCTAGTTTGTATATAACTGGGCTTGTTCTCTAATCTAAACATAAACTTCTTAATCCAACAAACAACAATTCTATACTTATTTATGTACTTCTTTCAGGGGGAAAATGTCCATATTTTTAACTAGGTTTAAGCACTACATCCCCATTTGTCATAGACGTGAACTACGTCTCTGAACTTTGAAATAATGTTTCTTCAATTAAAATACAGGGTCTGCTCTGAAATTAACGACATAAACACACAAAATGATCAAGACGAACTTGGTGACGATGAAGAAGAGTTTTATGAAGATAATGATTTGGATAGTAATAATTCAAATAATAATACTCGTTGTGATGATCCTTATTCTCCAAAATCGTTTAGAAGTGGAGGGACTAATAGTAGTTGTTGTAATAGACATTCTTCTTTGGAAAGTGTTGGAGGAGGAAGTGGAGGAGGTGGTGGAGGGGGGTTACACAAAAATATAGCTACAAATATAAGAAGGAGAAGAAGAAAAGGAGGAGGGGGAAGAGAAGGAGGGGGAGAAAGAGAATCTTCCTTCACATTAATTCGAAGACCTTTAAGCGGTGCTAGTGATTCTAATGATGTTTCTTCTGATCGTACACCAATACAATCAACACATCATAGTGATGAAAGTAGTTCGGAATTTGCTTCGGAAGGAGAGCAACAACAGCAACAACGAGAAAATATTGAGGAAGAGGATGAAGGAGGGGAAGATGTCGAGGAAGATGAAGAAATGGGTGGGGGAAGAAGAGAAATTGTGGGGGGAAGAAAAGAAGAGAGCGAGTTGAGACGTGAATCAAATTTAATGAGAATATGTGGGGGTGATAATCAAGAGAATAATCAATTAATGGAAGAACACAAAATGGTTGTAATGAGAAGAAAAGAAAATAAAAAATTTTCAAAAATTTTGTTGTCTTCAATATCCCCAAGAAAACAACAACAAAATCAACAACAATTCCCTTCTTCTTCTACAACATCCACAATATCACCTTCAATAAATACAACAAGACAACACAAACTTATTGGAAGAAGAAATTCTAGCGCAGAATCTTCTTCCCAACATTCAAATTCATTACATACAACAACAACACATTCTATTATTCCTTTATTTTCTGAAATACAACAACAACAACAAATATTTAAACAACAACAAAATACAAAATGTTTTGATGAAGAACAGCAACAACAACAAAATAATTATTTGCGTTTGGAATGTTCACATCATATTTCTGGAATGGTTTGTGTTTTAATAATTTATTAATAGAAAATTGTGTTTTTATATGTTTGTTTTAAATTCTGATTTTTAATATGTTTGTGTTTTGTTGTTTGTTTTGTTTATTATTCTGATTTATATGTATTTTTGTGTTTTGTTATATTATAATTCCGGTTTCTGCTTTTGTATTTTTTATTTATTCTGATTTAAATTAGGTAGATTCTGATGTTTTTGTTTTTTCTTTGTTCGTTTTGTATTCTGATTTTTGTGTTTCTGGTGTTTGTTTTAAATTCTGGTTTTCGTGTTTTTCTGTTTCTGGTTTGTTTGTTTTAATTGTTGTTTTAAATGAATTCTGGTTTTTGTGTTTTCTTTTGTATTTCTTTTTTAATATAATATTATAATTCTGATTTGTGTATTCTCTTTAATTTGTATTTTATTTCTGATATTAATTTTAAAACATTTTCAGGTTGAACATTTATGGAATAATTTAATTTCTCACTTAGACAACGATCAAAATGGAATAATAATTTCAAATTCAATTATTTTATTAACACAACTTTTTCGAGTAAATTAAAAAATATTTTTTAATTATTTAAAAAAATTTTTTAAGGAGAAAAGTATTTTTCTTGTTCGTATTTTGAGGGATTCTTTGGATATTTTTAATTATTCTCAACAACAAAAAATGTCTACAGATATTTCCCAATTATTTTTACGTTCTCTAAATTTTCTTTTAAAATTTGTTGAATGTCCTTTCCTGTTTGTATCTTCCCAATTTGTGAGTTTTTTCTTTAAAAATTAATTCATTAATTTTTTTAGATTAATTCTTCTAATTTACTCGATTCAATAAAAATTGCTTTATTTGAACTTCGTGAACATTTTGATGTTTGTTTTATTTTTAGTGTTAGAATTAATCTTAAAAAGTGTATTTTAATTTTAAGGCATTTAATGAACATTATGAACAATCATTAAGGGTATGTTTGTATTTTGTTTTAATTAAATTCTGAAAAAAATTAATTAAAATTCTGAAAAAATTATTTATCCTGATTTTTTAATTTTCTCTTTACCCAGTCTTTAATTCTTAAACTGATTTACAACATTAAAAACTTGTGTTTTTTCTCGTTGTTGTGTTTTTAAAAATTCTGATTTTTGTGTTTTCTTTTTAAGATTTCTGATTTTTGTATTTTCTTTGTGTTTCTGTATTTTATTTTCCAAAATTCTGGTTTTTGTATTTTCTTTTTTTATTAATTTAATATTCTGATTTTTAAATTCTCTTTTTCTTTTGTGTTTTCTTTTATTTCTTCTGTTAATCATATAAAAAACACACCTTTGTGTTTTATTTTAAATTTTAATCCTTTTTTCTTTAATAATTTACTCTCTATTTATGATTTTTGTATTTTCTTTGTGTTTCTGTATTTTATTTTCCAAAATTCTGGTTTTTGTATTTTTCTTTTTAATTTTTCTATTTTAATATTCTGATTTTTAAATTGTTTCTTTTGTGTTTTCTTTTATTTACTTTTTCTGATAATTATTTAAAAACACACCTTGTGTGTTTTTATTTTAAATTTTAATCCTTTTTTCTTTAATAATTTATTCTCATTATTTCTTTATTATTTCATTTTTAACCGGTCATCATCATTTTTTTACTCTTGAGATTTTTCTTTTCTTGTCGGTATTTTTATTTATTTTTCTTGTTGTCACTTGGCAATTTTCAGAAAGAGTCATTTTATACTTTTATTGCTTTAAAATAAAAAGAAAAATCCTTACATTTTTGGAAAATAAAAGGGAGAGGAGGGAAAATGTGTCCATTTTTAACCTATATTTTATTTTTAATCTCTCAAATTTCAAAAATTAAAAAAAAATATACAAAATAGGAGACACATGGAAAGCGTTAAAAATAAAATAAAGAAAAAATGAAAAATTATGGGAAAAATTTATTTTAATTTAAAGGCTCTTAATATGGTCAAAACATCACAAAAATTATTATTAATTAGTGGAGCCGAAAATAAAAGTAATTTTGGAGATACAACAACAACAACTTCTAGTTTAACAACAACATCAACAATTAATAATTCTTTTAATCAACAATTCCAAATTATTAAAAATCAGGTTTGTTTGTTTGTTTGTTGTTTTAATTTTGTTTTGTTTGTTGACCTTGTTTTGTAGTTGGATGTTTTGTTTGTTTATTGTTTAGTTTTGATTTGTTTGTTGACCTTGTTTTGTTGTTGGATGTTTTGTTTGTGTTCTGATTTTTGTTTTGATAGCCTAAAGATTCTGATATTCTGATTATTTAGATTCCTGATTTGTGTTTTTGCTCTGGTTTTTATTCTGATTTTGTGTGTGTGTGTGTGTTTTACTCTGGTTGTTGTGTGTTTTTTGTGTGTGTTTTTGTTCTGGTTGTTATTTTGATAATTGTTTTGATATTCTGTTGTTATTGTTGTTGTGTTTGTTGTTTTATTCTGATTTTTATTTTGTTTGTTTCTTGTTCTGATATTAATTGCTACTTGTTTTGTTTGTATATTTGTTCTGTTTTTTGTCTAATATCAATAATTAATTTTGTTTATTATTTGTTCTGATTTTTATTCTGTTTTTAGATTGTATTTTACAAGTTTAATATTACTCTTAATTTTTTAACAGGAGTTTCTTTTATACAAATCTTTACACAAACTTTGTTTTCAATTATTGCTAGTTGTTGAAAAATTTATTGAAATGTGTTTGTCTGTTCAGAATTTTAATAATTCTCAGGTAAAATTAAAAATAACCTCAAAAAAATTTTTTTTAATTTTTAGGAGTCAGATTTAACCCCAGCAGTAGCTTCTCTCCAAAAAGAATTGCTTTCACATTTATCAACTTCATCCTCTTTAGATTCTTTTAAAACTTCAAATTTAAGTTTAGAAGGAGGGGGAGGAGGGGGGAATACTTGTTGTAGTAATTCTTCTTCAATTATATCAAAACAACAAAATTTTGATTTAAATCAGTCTAGAGATGTTTTAATGTTACACACAACAAATAAACAATTTAGAAATGCTTTTGGGAAATTGACACAATTGAGGTAATTTTGAAGAGGGGAAGAGGGAAAATTTGGGGTTTAATGTTGAGGGATTATAATAAGAACAAGTTGTTTTTGCTCTTGTTTTTATTCTGATAATTGTTCTAATATTCGGACTATTCAGTTTTGGATGGGGAGGAAACTAGGATGGGGAAAACGTTTTTTGATTTTTCTAACAAAGAAATTGGGGCTAACAAGATTTGGTATAAACAATTTTCGATCTAAATGATTTTCTTTTTGGGAGGTTTCATGTCAGATAGTTGTTTTAAAATTTGTTTCTGATTTTTGAATTTGTGTTCTGGCCTGAACTATTTCTGACTTAAATATTTTTGTATAAATATACCTACCTTTTATTTTAAGAATATACACAAGAATAATTTTTTAAAGTATTTGTATATATGTATGTACTTGTGTCTGTTTATAAAAATAAAGAAAATATTTGTACTTTTTAATGTTTCCTAAAAAATTTTTCGGAATTCTCGACAAAAAATTTTTTTTCTCATAATAAATTTTTTATTCTTTAAAAGTATTAAATTACTTTAAAGGAAAGAGAGAAATCCTTAAAAAAACACTCAATCTTTATTTTTAGATCCCAATACTGTAATACGTTTAATGGGCAATTTGGTTGTTGTGAACAAATAGATGTTGATGTACTTTTACTTAATTTTTGTAGAAGTCATTGTTCTTTGCGTGTTTGGGCAATGATTGGGTCTTTTGAACAGGTAAAGGGGGAAGAGGGGATTTTTAAATAATATTTTTGTGGATATAGTGAAATGGGGTTAAATGTCGAACTAAGTTTGGCTAAATGCCCAGCCTGTTCACAAAGAGAGAATAGTTTTATTCCCTTTGAATTTTAGCTAATACCAAATGAAACAAACATGTATTTGAAAAAAAGTTTATGGACTTCTATTTAACACAATAAAAAAACTTCCGAAAAAAATCTTCACTAATATCTCTTTTCTCAATTTTGGAAAGAAAAGTAGATTTTTCTATGTTTTTAATTTTTCTATTTTTTGAACATTCTTTCATTTTTAGCTTCGTTCTTGGTGCTCACAACTAAAAGAGTCAAATGTACAAATTGGAATACTTTTAAGAAATATTTCTGACAAATAAAATTTTATTTAAATTTTTAAATTACTAAAAAACTTGTATTTTACTTAAATTTTTATTAGAAAAATTTGAATCAAAAAATGATATTTTAGAAAAAATTCTTTGAACAGATTATTTAGAGTTGATCTCTACGGTTGAATTAATAATTTAGTCAATTTAATTAATTTTCTATTAAACAGTCGTTTTGGTGTAATGGATAGTGGTTTAGGTTTGTAGTAAAAAATGGCTATGGTTCGATTCCTCCAGGCTAAAAATCATTTTTTGAGAGTTTTTCCAGATTTTTTTAATAAAAAATATTTTTTTAAAAATTCTTTTATTTTATTCAAAATTTTTTAAAAGTCTTACAAAAATTGAAAATATTAAAATTTGGAATAATAAAAATTAATTTTTCATCGGTGGAATGGTGTTGGGAAAGAATTTTTTTAAATATTTTGGGTGAAGAAAAAAAAAGAAAATGCTATTGAAAATACAAAATATGTAAATAAATATATACAAAATTAAATAAAGAATATATCTAAAGCAACAGAAAAAAAAGAAAAAAATTTCTAAAATTAAAAAGAAAATTGGGGACCACGCCCTAGTTGAACCCGTAAAAATTGAGGATAGAAAGGATGGATGATCAGACAGAATCTTATTATTTGGTGTATGACTAGTGTGATTGGAAAGAAAAAAAATTTTTTTTAATATTGAATTTCATTTTTGAAAATTCAAAAAAATTTTATTTTCAAAAAATAAAAATTTCAAAAAATTATTTCCCATACTCTAGTGTCCCTCAAACATATCAAGATTTGTTTCCAATCACAACATGTCAATTAAACATTGTCTCAACTTTTCTCTAACAAAGAGTTTACATCAAATTGAAATCTTTTAGAAACAAGAGGGGAAGATGTTTCTTGTTGTTGTTTTTGTAAAATAGGAGAAGAGGATGTTTTTGTTTTTGTATTTTCTTTTAAAATGCAGTTTTGTTGTTTTGGTTGTTCCAAACATTGTTGTTCTGGATGTTTTTCTTCTATTAAAATGTTTTGTTGTTCTGGATGTTTTTGTTGGTCTATGTTTTGTTGTTGTTCTTGTTGATGTTTATCTTCTAAAATGTTTTGTTGTTTTTGATGTTGTTCCTGATGTTTTTCTAAATATTTTTGTTCTTCCAAATGTTTTTGTTGTTCCCCATTTTGTATTAATGTTTGTTGTTGTTGTATTCTTTTTAAACAATTTTGTTGTTGCTGATTATTTAAATATTGTTGTTGTTGTTTTGCATAGGCCATTTTATGTTGTAAAGCTACAATGAGTGAAGGGGGCAATTGTTGGTTATTATTAAAATTTTGAAAATTTGTTAAATGTTGTGGATAAGGATTTGGAAATAAGGAAGAAAGGGAAGATGTTGAGGGGGTTAATAAATGCTGAATTAAAGAGGGAGAGATTAATTGTTGTTGGGGAGGTAGAGGAAAATGATGTAAAGGTGGAGGAGGTAGTTGTGGTGGGGGTCTGTTACTGTTTGTAGGTATTTGTAAATGAGGTCGAAATCCTGGCTGAAAAATTAAAAAAAACTTTTTTAGGCAGAAACATGTTTTGATAAATTCATAATTGTTCCTAAAACATCAGAAATATGTTTCAAAAACATTTAAAACCAGAAAATGTGTTTTGTTCATATGTAATTGAAGAAAATACAAATGTTTGTGTTTTTATGTTTCTGGTTTTTAATTTTTGTATTTCTCTATTTCTGATTTTTATTTATCTTGTATTTTTTATTTCTGGTTTTTAATTCAAGTTTTAATTCTGATTCGTATCTCTACTTTGTATTTTTTTAATATTCTGATTTGTGTTTTATATTCTCTAATTTTATGTGTATTTTTCTAAAATCAGAATTGTGTTTTTAAAAATCAGAAATGTGTTTTAAATCAGAATTTGTGTTTTCCACAAATCAGAATTATTTTTCTAAAAACACAAACCAACGAGTGCATTATTCCCCCTCCCCTTCCAATAGAAGTTGTTGTTGTTGTTGTCATCCTCTCTCTATTATTATTGTTTAAATTAAATATTCTTTTTCTTCCATTTTCAATAATTCCTCCTCCCCCTTCATTATTAGAACAATTAGAAGATATGGAAGAATTACTTTTTGCTCTTTTAGCTTTTGTAGGCCCTAAATTATCTTCAAAATCGTCATCACTGTCGTCTTCAGAATTTAAATTGCTTCTATTATTTCCACTCAAAATTCTGGCAATTTGTAAAGCTGAATTGCTAGAGGAGTTTGTCCTGTGTATAGCTAAACGTTTCTTTTCTCGTTTACCAGCACCGCTGACTCTAAAACCTTTGGCGAAGGGGTTGTTGTCGATTTTTAAGTCAGTTATCTGAAAAATAATGTTTTGTATTTTATGTTTTTCTGATTTGTATTTTTGTGTTTTCATTAATTCTGATTTTTGTATTTTATGTTTTTCTGATTTGTATTTTTGTGTTTTCATTAATTCTGATTTTTGTATTTTATGTTTTTCTGATTTGTATTTTTGTGTTTTCATTAATTCTGATTTTTGTATTTTATGTTTTTCTGATTTGTATTTTTGTGTTTTCATTAATTCTGATTTTTGTATTTTATGTTTTTCTGATTTGTATTTTTGTGTTTTCATTAATTCTGATTTTTGTATTTTATGTTTTTCTGATTTTATTTTTGTGTTTTCATTAATTCTGATTTTTAAGTTGTTTTTTCCAAATTCTGGTTTTAGTGTTTTTAAAGTTTAATTTCTGATTTTTATTTTGTATTTTCTTAATTTTACTAAAAATTGTATTTTTTCTAAATTCTGGTTTCTAAGTTGTATTTAATTTCTGATATTTTGTATTTTCTTTTCTAGTTCTGGTTTTTATTCATTTGTTTAATTCTGATTTGTATTTTATCTTTTCTGATTTTATTTTTCTGATCTGTATTTTTAATTTCTGTTTTCAACTGTATTTTCGATTAAGTTTTAAAATTCTGGTTTTTTTAGAATTAAAAACACATTCCCTTATAAACACATTTGTGTTTTTCTCTTACAAAACTCTCCAACTTATTCAAGTTTATTTATTTATTTCGTTTATTTAGCACTAAATTACATTGCGTGTCTACTCAATTAAGTTTTCCCTCCTTTTTCTTTTCTAAAAACAATTTAGACTTAAAATATTCCTTAGAGACCCCAAAATTACTTTTAAATTTTTTTCAATTTTTTTCTTTAATTTTTTCTCAGAAAAATTTCTTTTTCTTCATCAAAAACATATTTTTCTCTCTTAGGATTAATCCATAAAATATTAAATACCGTAAAGCGGTTAAATTGAAAAGAAAATTAGGAAAAAAGAATAAATATATAGTTGACTAATTTTCTTTTCATAATTTTTTAGCTTTTAAAAACCGGAAAAGTGTTTTGTGTTGTTGTTAAACCACCCAAAAATGGCCAAAAGAGACAATAAAAATAGCGGAAAGAAAAAAAGGAAAGGGGAATAAATAATGAAGGGAGATGGGTAAGAAGTAAGGGAAAAAGCTGATAAAACACGCAAAGTGAAAAGAAAAATAACCAATAAAAAGAGACTGGTAGAAAATAAGCGGAAAAATGTTTTTGTGTTTTTAAAGATAAATAAAAAAGAAAATGTTGTTAAAACTACTGTATGGGGAGGAGATAGAGAAAGAGAGGGATAAAAATAAGGGTAGAAAAATAAACTTGAATTAAAATAAGAAAAAGAAAATACAAAATCAGAATTTTGTAAAACAAAAATACAAAGAAAACACACTTAAATTGAAAATCAGAATTATAGAATAAAAACACAAATAATAATTAAATCAGAATTAAACTTGAAAAATCAGAATTAGATATAAACAAACAAAAATACAAATCAGAAACTTAACAAACAGAATTAAAAACAAATGTAAACAGAAATACAAATCAGAACTAAATTTAAACAAAAACACAAAGAACAAAAACAACAAAAATACAAAAGTGTTTTCTTTGTAAAACAAAAACACAAAGAAAACACAACAAATAAAATATGTTGCAAACATCAATAAAAACACAATAATTTATTAATTCTGATATTTAATTCCTTCCTTAAGTCTAAAATTGCACAGCGCTTCCTTTTCTTTGTTTTCCCATGTGGATTTAGGGGCAAAACAATTTGAAAAATCATAAAAAATATTTTTAGTCGGCAAGGTGATGATTGATAGAAGGAAACATGGAAAGGGCGTAAAAATTATTTTTAGAAAAGAAAAAAAAATAATTTTCTCCCTCTAGGGGGAAGGGTTACGACATGCGCCGTGTCAGCACATTCAACCAGTCAATCTACTAATCCCCCTTTCATTTTCCCTCTTTTCTTTTTATTATTTTATGGCAACTATAAGGGGATATAATCCTTAAATTTACTCAAAAAAATATTTTCGGCATAAATTTTGAAAAAGAAAACGATTAAAAATAAGGAAGGATTACGACCTTAAAATATAAATTATGAGAGAAAATAAAATAAATTTTGTGGCATTTTTTGGCAATTTTTAAAGAAAAATATTGAAAAAATATGGTAATTCAACTAGCAACACTTTTTACATTGTTTCTGATAAAAACATGAAAAATACAAAAAATACAAAACAGAAAATACAAATACAACTAAAAAATTCTGGTTTAAAATTCTGATAATTCTAACTTATATGTTTGTGTTTCTTTAAAATTCTGATGTGTTTTTAATGTATTTTATGTATTTCTGATTTGTAAAAGTTTTTGTATTTTTTTTAAATAATTCTGATTTACCTAAATCAGAATTTAATAATTCTGATTTTTACCAATTAAAAATACAAATCAGAAATAAAATTCTGGTTTATTCTTGTGTTTTATTTTCTCATTAATTCTGATTTACCATACTTTTGTATTTTCTATTAGGATATTTATTTTTAGTAATTATGTTTTAATTGTATTTTTTTATCTATCAGAAAATCAGAACAAAAATCAGAAAACCATAAAAATTATTACTTGCCTGGCTGTTTTGGTAGGCAGTGACTGCAATAAATTCCGTTTCAGGAAATACAGTTGTAGACCAATTAGCTACTTTATAGGAATGTACATCGTTTGAACGAACAATGTGTATACGAGGTTGGTATTTGTGCATAGAGTTGAGAACAGTCTGAAAAAGGAAAAATAAATTTTGTTTGTGTTTTTATTCATATCAGAATGAAATAAAAACAAATTCTGGTTTAATTCTGATTTTTTGTATTTCATGTATTTCATAATTCTGATTATTTATTTTGTATTTTTGATTTTAAAAAGATTGTATTTCAAACAATTCTGATTTTTATTCTTCTAATAATTCTGATTGAAACAAATAAAGTATTTCTGTAATTCTGATATTTTTAAAACGTGTATTTTAATTCTGGTTTAATGTATTTTTGTATTTTACTTTGTATTTTATTCTGATTCTTGTATTTTATGTATTTTACTTATGTTTTGTATTTTACAATTCTGATTTTTCAATATCTAAATTCCCTTGCTTCTTATCTAATCCGCCTGGTCAAACACAAAAATACATAAATGCTGTAATAAATCAGAATATTTAAAACGCCTATTTTCTTCCTTTTAATTTCTACAGAGTCCATCAATCTTTCTGACGGCCAATCATTTGTATGTGTTTTTAGGACGAAAACAAGCAGATGAGTAAAACAATACAAGGAGGGAAATATTAAAAATAAAAATGAAAAATGGATTGAACAAATGTTTCTTTTCCTTTTTCTTTTCTTCTTTTAATCCTTCCCCTTCCTTCCAACTTTCTTTTATTCGGGGTATTAAAATAGAAAAATACCCGAGAGACGCTTTAAGGTGATCAATCAGTTACTAACTATTAAATATTGGCAAATTCTTAAATATTAAAAAAAGAGGGGGGAGGGGAAACTTGACCGGGCCACCAGAGGTGATATTTAAAGAATCTCCTCTTAAAAGTTGGAGGGGAAAATGTGTCCCTAATGGTGACATTTTTATGGGGGAGAAAAGAAGGACAATAAGTACATAATCCGACAACAAATCACAGTATGTAAACTAGAAGGATGGAGATTTTTAGTTTAGAAAAATTCTGGGTTGTCAGAAATCCTTCCAGATTTTTCGAGATATCTACCAAGTATTTAGACAAACAAGTCCGATATCTAGTCAAAATTAAAGACATTTGCCATATTTTAACCTCCCCCCTTCCCCCCCTTTTGATTGAGATTTAAAAATATATTTTTTGTTTCAAAATGACAATTTTTGAATCATTATTTGATTAAAAAATCCCTCAGAGTCGCAAATGCCTGTTTCGAATAGGGCAACATTTTTCCCGTTTTTTAGGCCTCACAGGTCTTCTATGAGAGTTCCTTTCGGGTTAAATATCACATACCAAACCAGAGGTAGGTCGGAACAGTCAGAGGTGTCGGAAATCGGAAGAGCCAGAAATGGGAACTGGCTCAAAAGTCGGAACTCTCAAATCGGAAATCAAAATTTTTTTTCGGAAATCGGAATTCCGACCCACTTATGATATCTACCAAAACATAAAAAATATTTTTAATTTCCCCTTACTTTCATTTTTGAGGATACGGTGTTGGACTTTTCTTTCTTCTCCCCTTTCCCTCAACGCCTCTCCCCTTTCTATCAAAAAGCTATAAAGGTGTATAAAATAAATATTTAGTAGGCCACAGCACTCCATCAAAAAAATATTTTTTTTTGTTTTCTCCCTTTTCAAAGCGCAAATAAACAGAAAAAAATTCCCCACTCAATATCGGTTAAATGACGAGAAAAATATGTTTTTAGGGAAGGTAAGAAAATTAAGTAGTTAAATAATATTTAGAAGAGCAACAGAGAATTACGGGAGTGGAGAGGTAAATACTTAAGTAAATAAATATTTTTGGGCCAATAAAAAGGGAAGAAGAGGGGAATACTTTTTTAATAAAAAAGATAAGTAAATTGAGAGGAAGAAGTGTTTGGTTGGTGGTTGGTCGCGCGACGTTGGCACCCCCCTCTCCCTTCCTCCCCCAACCTCCCTTCCCAACCCCTCTTCCCTCTCTCCTTCTTCCCTCTGTTTATTCACTCCCGGTTTTCTGTTATCACGAAAAAAGGGAAAGAAAAGTGTAAAAGCGTGGGGGGACTTGTTATCGTTGTCGCTCTCGGGTGGTCAAATTTAAGGAGACTGCCACTGTTTGTTGTTGAAGTGTGTCAGTTTTAGAGGAGAACTTGTTGGTAGTTGTTGATAGGACACCTCCCTTACAAAATTAATAAAAAAAATAATTTTCCTCTCAAAATTTTGTAGATTAGAAGGGAGGGGGAGAGGAGGGAAGAGAGGGAGGGAAGAGGAGGGGAAGACTTTTACTTCAAAAATATATATTCTCGACCCCAAAAATTGAAGGCGATAAAGTAACTAGAAAAAAGAGGAAAAAAAGGGGATTAGCTATTTTATAGCAATAAGTGGTTAAGTAAGTGGAAAATGTAAAAAAAGAAGAGAGGTAAGAAAATAAAGAGGTAGGTAACAGGGATGGGCGATTTCGCATTTCGCATCTTTCGCATTTTTCGCATTTTTTGGCGCGAAAAGTTTCGCATTCCGCATTTCGCATTTTATTTTTTTAAAAAAAGTTTCGCATTTCGCATTTCGCTTTTTATTTTTTGATTTCGCCCATCCCTGGTAGGTAAGCTAATATAAATGCGCGAAGAAAAGTAAATAGAAGTTGAAGAGAGAAGTTAGAGAAAAAAAGTAAAATTTAAATAATATCAGAATTAATTAAACTTTTTATTTAAAATCAGAATTAGTAAAAATACAAAAACACAATTAAACTTGAATCAGAATTAAATACGTAAATAAACCAGAATTACCTACAAACATTGTATTTTTAAGGTAAATCAGAATTAACTAAAACACAATATTATTAAATCAGAATATAGGGAAAATACATTTAATGGGTATAAATCAGAAACACATTAAAACACGAAATACAATGAAAAATCAGAATTATTTGTATTTTACCCCTAAAACCAAAACACATTTTAATTAGAAACTCACAAATTCTGCCTTGTTTGTAGCATTGTTTGTCACCTTTACTCGATGAAAACTTGCTCCTTTAGCCATCCAATGTTCCCCCGTAGCAGGCGAATCTGGGTGGATATGTAGAGGTTTTTGAAGTTCAGGATCTGCTTTCCCCGCCACAGTCCAACGAGAATTGTGGAATTTCCAACGATTGGCGTCACAAGGAACTATGTCCTTTAAATAATTTTGTTTTATTTTTGAAAATTCTAAAAAATTACCATTATGACATAATAATTGGCCTTTTTGTCCAGTCCAGACAGTTTCACTTTTAAGGCAGGGAAGATTCGCCTATTAAAATCAGAATTAAAAATGAAGCAAAAATACAAATAATAAACTTGAATCAGAATTAGAAGTGTAATTAAATCAGAATTACATGAAACACTTAATAAACACAAAATAAAATCAGCATTTTTAGTAAAAACAAAACCAGAATTAAACTTTCCCCAAAACATTAAATTAAAATCAGAATATTATTACAACTTGAATTAAAACAAAAAATACAAAACTTTAACAAAAAATACAATTTTCATAAAACACAGTAAATCAGAATTAAAGTTGTATTTTATTTTACTGTGTTTTCTGTAATTCTAATAAAAACACAAACTTTTCTTACAACTTTAAATACAATAATTTTCTCTAATTAAAACTTGGACAAGTTTATTTTTCTTTCTCTATCAGATAAAATCTTTCTCTCTATTTATTACTATATTTTCCCAAGTTTTATTTTTCCATAAAAATAAGAGAAAAGGTTTTAGGGGACTAATTATTTTTGTATTTTCTTTTTATTATTTTTAAGACGCGTGTCTATCCCCTCAAAACATTTTAAATATTTCCCACACTTTTTAACTTTTTTTTTCTCTCTATAATCTTTATTTAATCGTTCACGCCATTTAATTGTCACTTCTTTCAAATAAGTAAATAACCAAATCCATGGCGCAATGAATTGGAAAATAAATTTCTTTCTGATCAAAACAATTTATTTTTAATTGTTTTCCCCTTATAAAAATTTAAAAAGAAAGTTTTCTTTTAATTTTAAAAACACAGGCCTAAATATTAAATGGAGAGACTGCTAGGGTGAGAGAGAGACCGCCTGTTTGCTAGAGAAATTAAAGTCTTCAACTTTTTCTGAAACTTGGAAATAAATTCTGAAAAATTAAAAACACAAACTGAACCAGAAAATACATTCAGAATAAAATACAATGTTTTGGGAAGGTTTAATTCTGATTTAATTTTATTAAATATTCTGATGTATTTTTTGTTTATTTAATGTTCTGATTTCAAACAAAATACAAAAACACATATATCAGAACACTAAATAAACATGAAACACAAATCAGAATATTTAATAAAAACAAAACCAGAATTAAACTTTCCAAAACACATTAAATTAAAATCAGAATATCAATAAAACTTGAATTCAAACATAAAATACAAAACTTGACCAGAAAAACATTTTTAATTAAACTTTTTCTGAAACACATTTCCCCCAAAACAAACCAATTAAGAACTTGTTTTTACCTTCCACTCTTTGTAATAATCATTTCATTAACCAAAGGATTAAATTTTTCCCATAAATCTTTATCTTCTAATTGAACAACAGGGTTATCTTTAATTCCATCATCTATTTTGGTTATTGGAAAGGGTGGGTGATTTATTGAAGGTATTGCTGTTGTTCCAAATATTTCTCTAGAAGCAAAATCAAAAGGAGAAAAACGGAGAGGGGTGTGGAGAGGCCATAGAGGAGGATGAGGAGGTCTTCCTTAAAAATTGAAAAAAAAATTAAATTTTAATTAAATTAAATTAAAATGAGAAGAAAGCACCCAAAAAACCTATTTTAATAAAAGAAACACAAAACAAGTAAAACACAAACTTAAATCAAAATTTAATTAAAACACCCAACAAAAACCAGAACTGATTAAAATAAACTTGGGAAAAACTTGAATAAAAATCAGAAAAACACAAAAAATACAAAAATCAGAATTAAATAAAAACCAGAATTATTTGGGGGAAATAAATGTATTTTTCTTTAAATAATTCTGATTTTTATTTAATTCTGATTCTTGTATTTTTTTGTGTTTTATTAAAAATACCTCCATTAAATGAAGGAAAGTTTCCAGAAGTTGTCGACCCCAACAATTGTGCGAATATTTCAGGCCTATTAATTGCCATTTGGAGAATATTTGGGGGACCAAAATTTTGGACATCCCCCATTGGTTTTGGGGGGTTTATTGAATTATTTAGAGTGGAAATGTGGGCATTTTGAGGATTTGACATTCCGACATTGACATTTTGAAAATTCGACATTTTGACATTTTCTGAAGAATTGGACAAATCCCCATCGATTTTGACGGGATTTGAGTCTTTAGAGTTGTTATTTAAAGGAGGTGATGATTGTTGGTGGTAGTGATTGTTGGCCATATGGTAAGCCTGTGAAAGAACAAAATTATGAAATGAAAGAGTTGAAAAAAACAAAAGGAATTTTTTGAAGAGGGGGGAATAAATGTGAAAATTGACACCTTAAAAATGTATAAAAAATAAAAAAATGAAGTGAAAAATGTAGAGAACCCAAAAAATCGAAATTGAGGGATTTTAAAGGTTGTCTCGGATGGAGGGTGAGGGCAAATTTAGTTGTATTTTTAAGTCTCTTGCCTAGGTAACCCTCAATTTTAAGCGTTTTCCATGTTTGGGGAGTGGAAGAAGAGCGAAACTGGTAGAAGTTTTCTTGTCTTTTTTAAACTAAATTCCTCGCCCGGGGGAGACAAACAAATTAGAATATTAAAGAAAATGACAGAAATGGGAGCAGGCCAGGGTACCGCAAGCCCAAGGTACCGCAAAGCTATAACGTCGTTCAAAATTGTCGAATCCTGGTTTAGTTCGACTCAGCTCATTGGGGGGACGTCCCGGATTCGATCACTTTGAACGAAGTTATAGCTCTGCGGTACCTTGGGGTATACCCAACAGAAGGTCGATGAATGGCGGATGTGGAGGGCTTAATAGAAAATGTTGTGGGTAATCGTGAGACAATTGATCCCCTATTTAAAAAATAATTTTTTTATCAAGTGTTGCTGCTTAACAAAAAAAAGACATCTCTCAACAATTTATCCATCAACACCCAAAAAATTTTCAAAAAAATAAATTGTGTGTAGGCAAATATTGAGACGATTGGGCCGTTTGTCAGTCATTTACACACACACACAAAGACGGGGCTGTTTCGTTTTTCACAATCCAATCCGCTTATGTGTCGGGCTAGGCGCGAATAACGACACGCCCAGGACAGACTAGAAAAGAGAAGAAAAAAGCGTTAAGAGAAAATAGGGAAAGAGGAGAAGGTGACAAAGAGGAGTGAAAAAATAGCGACACATAATTAGAGAGAATCGTAAAAATAAGAGAGACAAGTTGGGGACACTTTTCGGCTCCGACACATTTTGCCAATAAGGCTAAAAACCTACGTTTTGTCATAAAGTCTGTTGACAAAATGTCGAATTTTAGCCTTATTGACAAAATGTGTCTTGGCAAAATGTCTAAGAAAGTCTCTCTTGTTTTATTTTTATTCACACTATTTTAAGAGTTAAAAGAAAAACTAAACACAACACTCTCTTATTTTTACACACTATTTCCTCATAATTTTTTCTCTGCCAAGTTTTACACTAAACAAGCGTAATTTTCAGGGAGGAGTTTTGACGCCTAGTAGGCGGAATATTTTGTCTGACTTTTTAAAGCATTTTTAGGGCAGACAGTCATAAGCAGGGAAAGAGAAAAAGACTTGCGCATTTACCATAATAGAGACTTGCCTTTCCCTTATAAAAATGACGTTATTAAAAAGCGTGTTGTTGGGTGAAATAAAAAGAAACTGCCGCGCCCTTTCATCAAGCCGACTATACAAGATTTATGTTTGTTAATTTTTATTACAAAAAAGTGGGAGAAAAAAAGAGAGAATGATCAGTTAAGTGAACACAAAAGAAACAAAAATCTGTCAGAAAAAATTCTTTTGGGTGACAACTTCCAACGCTTTTTTAGAAAGAGGTGATTAGGTTAGTTAGATAATAGAAGAAGTCCTCTGTTTTACGTACGATTTTTTAGAAGAGACTTTCTTTTTTAAAGATTAGAAGAGACTCTCGTTATAAGAGACTCTTTGTGTACGAAAATAAAGGAACCCCTCTGTTTTATGTACAATTTTTAGAAGAGACTCTCTATTTTAGGGACTAGAAGGAACCCTCTATATAAGAGACGCTCTATAACGAAAATAGAAGAGACCCTTGTTTTATGGACGATTGTTATAAGAGACTCTATTATAAGGAAAAAATAGGCCCTCTATATAAGAGACTCTCTCCTTAAGCAATAGAAGAAACCCTCTATCTTATGGACGATTGGAGTTACTAAAAGGGTCCATAAAATAGAGTACTTGCAACAAAAACTCTGCCATGTCACGCAGCTAAATTTTAACGTTTACGACTTGAAACAAAAAAATGTCAAGGCGAGAAATACAAAACAACAAAACAAATTCAGGACAGAGTCATAAAAACTATTGGAGAGAGAGAAAATAAAAACATAAAAACAGAATATTTATTTTTAATGTTTTTATCTAAAATCTGTTGTTGTTGACGAAAAACAATTAAAAAATGTAAACAGTGACTGACTTGTTTTGTGTTGATTTTACAGGCTGACAGAGACTGCGCAAGCACACACATTTTAAAGGGAAGGGAAAGGATAGGCATAGGAGGGAATATAAAAAATATTAAAGAAAATTAAGTAGCTATTGTAGTGATGAGAGTAATGAGAGACATTTACTCTCTATTTTGTGGACTCTCTTTAGGGTAGAGAATTGGGCCGAGACTAGAGCTCGTTTAAGAAGCTAGACAAGAACAAATGATCTTCCTGGATATCTCGATCAATCGTCGAGTCTGCTCTCTACGGGTTGAATCAGTCAGACGTCTTGAAGGTCAGAAAATAATTGGCCCAGGTATCTTAATTCGGAAATAAATCGAATGTCCTGAAGGAACAACTGTAGACTTAACGTGTATACGGTAACTCACAAGAGATCCCCGTGGATGTCGTTATAGTGAGAGTTTATATTAAATAGTGTGAACCCTATATTATATCAACTCGAAGGTAAACTTAATGGCGATTAATATAAAATACCCTCTATGTAATGGACACCTCCTAAATAGCCCACTCCGAATCATAAAATACCCTCTATACAATAAACACCTCCAAATAATGCACTCCTTATAGGTATATTAGAGTCCCATAAGAGTACAAACACTAAAAAGAAAGTCCAAAATATATTTATTAATTTAATGCACTTCCATATTTACGGAAGGCAAAAGAGGATTAAAAGACAAGAGAAAATTAACAAAAAAAAAGTGATCGGCAAAACACTGAAAAATTGGGTAAAGAAAGCCGACTAAATAAAAAATATTTAAGTCTCTTAAAAGCGGCCCAGAAGCCCTCAAAAACAAAGTCGAGAAGAGAAAAAATTTTTCTGATCGCCTTATTTGGTGGCCGACACATTTTTTGTTGCTCCACCCATATATATTTTCATTACACTACTTTTCTCTTATCTGTTGAGCAAACAATAGGGGTAAGTAAATGAAGGGAGGATTGGGGACTAGACGAGAAAAATAATAAAAAAAAAAAGGGGGGGGGGGGGGGAAGTAGGATAGAAGTAAAAAAATTCGAAATGTAAGACTGTAAGGGTAACTGTGAGATTAATTTTAAGTCAAGCATTCTTGAGAGTCTTTTGAGAATTCTAACCCCTATGACTGTCAAAAAAAATTTTTTTAAGGCCCAAGCTTAATTTTTAAAACATAGGGTATAGACGTTTCGGCGCGGGACAGTTACGGTAAATCTAAATTTAATTAAAATTCAGATAAAAGTTAAAGAAATTGGGACAGAAAAAATAAAAGAATTTATTTGCAAGTTTTAAATATCATTTGTAAAAAATTTCAGAATGTTGAGTAAATTATTTTAAAAGTTATGGAAGGAAAATCAACAAATATAGGCACTTTCTTCTTCAAAAAACAACTTTTTCGTCAATAATTTCAGAATTACAAAACCAGAAATTCTGAAATTTTTGGATGGGTTAGCTACACTTATTGAGGATATCTACACAAAATTTCAGGTTTCTAGGTGATCATAAGACAAAGTTATCAATATCAAGACTAATGCCTATGCGCCGAAACGTCCCTTCCAGCTGGGGAAAGTTTCTAACAAAATCTACTTTTAAAAAAATTTCAAAAAAAAGAAAACAGTCAATTTTCTCAAATAAAAATTAGTATATTAAATAGATGAGGGAGTGTTTTATATTCTAATAAGATGAAGAAAAGTTAGCGGCGAAAATGGAATGAAAAGTAGTTGTTGAAGTGGGGAGGGGGAGGGGGGAAGGGGAGGGCCCGAGAAGGAAGAAGATTTTTTATATATATTTATCTTAATTTTTAAACTTTTTTTTCATCTTTTTGCGCACTCCCGCCCTTAACTCTCTTTCCTTCTTTTAACTATTAATGATCAACAACTGTGATTTTTTTCTTATATAAAAATTTCAACCGCAAAGTAATATATCCCCCCTTTAGGTAAGTACATAAAGTATTAATTTTCTTTCAAAAAAAAATTTTTTTTTGATTATAAATGTTCTTAGGTATTTAAGAGAACATTTGTTGGACTAAAATTGAGAGAGAAAATGTGTCTTTTTTCTTGTAAAGCATAAAAAGAACAGAAAAAAAATCATAGTTTTTAACCAGTGCCCTGTCAAAAGGAATTATTACAACAATTTTACTCTAGGTAGAAGAGCACTCCTTTTAATGCTTCCGTTGTCGGCGAGAATGCAAAACAATATAATAAATATTCTTGTACTATCTAAAAATTTGATTGACGATTAGGAAAATGTTTAAAAAGAAGAGGGGAGAAGAAAGGGGAGAAGAAAGAGTGGTCATTTAAGGGGAAATCCTTAAAAAGGGTTTAATAAATAGTCCAAAAATTATAAGAAAAATATAAACAAAAAATAAATTTCAATCCAAAACTATCAAAAAATATTTAAAATAATTTTTAAAAATATTTTTATATTCAAAAAATGAAGAATAACGATAGGTGGAGTCGAACCCACAACCTATTTTAAATAGCTTAAGAAGCAGACAAGAACCTAACCCATTACACCACGAAACTTTTTAACAAACTTTAATTAAAAACAAAGATAAGCATTTAAAAACAATTAAAACTTCAACAATAAAACAACTAAATCCCCAACTCTCTAATAGACTCTAATTTGTCCTCATTTTCTTCTATTCCCATTTCATCTTCTCTTCTAATCAAAATACTTATTAAAGCCCTCAATATATCCAAATTCTTTCCATTTTCTTCCAAAATAATTCCATTTTTGAGATTATCTTCACCTTGCTTCAAAATCCGTGCATTGTCCATTTCACGAAGTAATGGATAAATATTTGCATTTCGAAGAAAGGAACGGCCCAGACGAGTGGCGCAAAACTGGAAAAAAATTAAATTTATAGAAATTAAAAATCCCCCCAGTTTTAATTCAATTTCAGCTTAAAATTATCTCATTTTTGGCCAAATTTAGTCAATTTTATGGCCATAACTTGTTCTATTTTGGAGATTAAAATTTATTATTTAAAGCTTTTGTAGCCCTAAATGTCCTCTATCGAATGATATCAAAATTATTTCAAAAGGTTTATCCAATCAAAAGTTATGGGGGTTGGCGCTCACCAAGTCTTCAACTCCCCAACCTCTCCCCCTATTTTAAACAAATCCAAAAATTTTTTTTATTTTGCCTGATAAACAGTACAAAGCGTCAATTCCCACAATTTCAAATCCCAATTTCGTTTTTTCTCCCAATATTGAAGATCAACAGGAAGATTTTCAATCTCTTCTTCAGACAGTTTATCCTCAGAGTCAACCAATGGAGACAAAAGGGCAACCAAAAGTTTGTTTGCTTGCAAATCTTTGGAAAGCATTAGAGCATGGAATTCTGTTTTTAATAAAAATATTTTTAGAATAAATATACTGTTTATAAAAAAATAAATCGGTGGCATGTTTACCCACTTTATCCCCTTCCATGTTCCCTACACACTACCCCATTTCCCTTCCAACTACCCCCCCCCCCCCACCACTCCTTTTTAGCCACACAATTTTTAGCAAAGCTCTAAATTCTCTCGCCAAATTTGTCGCTCCCGGAAAATTAATCCAAAAACGAAATCGAGCACTAAAAACCTTTTTTTTCTTAGCTCTTAATAGAAGCCACTCAAATAAACATCTTCTCGAATTTCTTCCCCACACCCTTCCCCCCCAAAACATTTTCTTGGCAAACACTTTTTCTCTTTTTTTCTAATTTTTTTTTCGTCTTTCTCACAATGCCGGCCCATCAAATTTTGCGTGGTTATATCCCTCAAATTTGGACTAAAAACAAAAAAAAGTGTTTGGACAAAATTGTTTTGGAGTTGCTTAAAATTAAAGGAAACCCAAAAGATCACCACTGGGAAGGAGTGGTGATCTTTTGGGTAGTTACCAATTTGACCCCAAAACAGTTGGCAACTGTAATTTGCTTGAAAAACAGTCAAGTGCCTAATAGCAAAACTCAATGGCTACTTTAAAAAATAGAAAAAAAAATTTTTCTATGCCAAGAGCAAAAAACTTGAGGAAATTAGAAAATCTAATTAGCCTAACAATTAATTAGCCGCTTTAAATAAATTATATAGCCTGAGGGCAAATATAAAAAATGGCAAAATAGTGGTAAAAAGGAAAAGGCAACAAATATAGAGAATAAAAAAGCTTATCTGTAAAATGCAATCTTTAATTAAACATGAGGGAAAATTGTAAAAGAAAAGAGGGGGGAATGAGGAAGAAAAAATAGGTGGAAGAGAATAGATTTTTTTAGTTGAAGCAAAAAAAACACTGTAGGTTTTAAAATTGGTTATAATTAGTAGAGCGTGTTTTTTTAGGTCCAATAAATTGTGAAATAGGATCCTATTTAGGTCCAAAAAATTTCCAAAATAGGTCCGAAATAGGTTGAAAAAGGCCAAAATAGGTCCAAATTTTGACAAAATAGGTTCTAATTTTGGTGAAATTAAAACATTTATGATATCACATTTACTAAATTTGAAATTTTTTATGATATTTTATAATTTTAAATAGAAATTTATCGAAATTTGAGTGATTTAACAATGTCTAACCCTAAATACCGTAGCATTTGAAGGGATTTCGTGATATAAGGGGAGTTGACGAGATAGAATGGGATATCGGTGGACTTGAATCGAATAGGGATTTATTGGATTAGAGGGATTTGAATAGGCGGGGGGAGTTGTAGCATTTAATTTGGATAAAGAATGATTAAAGAAAATCATTGATTAAAGAACCCAAATCAATTATTTCACTCATGCATTAATATCTTCTTTCATCCGTCAAACTTTCCAAATAACCAAATAAAAATTTACAAATATAAATGTTAACTTGACAATTTTCGGGGGCAATTCCTAGCACATGGAAGTCTCTAGTTTCTACTAAATGTAGATATATCAGAATATTAGCGCCGCAGGCGAAAATTTTTGTGTTTTTGGGTCTAGATTTGGTGGAAATTGACTAAAAATAATCAAATTTTAAGAAAAATTTGCAAAAAACCTAGAATAGGTCCAAAAATGGTCGAAATAGGCTCAAAATAGGTCTTAGGTCCGAAAAGGCCGAAATAGGTTTTTTAGGTTTTAATAACTTGAAAAGTACGTTACACTATACGGTAAAACAGTGTTTTTTCGACTTATTTCATCAGGGGCTGTTCGCAAAAAAAATAGGTAAAAACCTAAAAAAACACGCTCTAATAATTAGTGTAAAAGAGAAAATGTTGGAGGGGTCAAACAATAAATTAAATTATTTTTAATTTTCAAAAAAAAATCAAGAAATGATTTAAAAGGTTTTGTGAAATGTAGAGGGAACATGGAGGGGGTAGTCGTCCGTAAGGGGAAAACTATTAAGAAAAGAATAGAGCGTTTAAATCAAAAATTCTAATTTGTAGCAGCCAACGATTTTTAATATTTTAAATATGGCATTTTTAAAGTTTGTACTTTAGATAATATCCTTACCTATATTATTCTTACCTATATTCTACCAAAATTTGAAACAGATCCATTTAAAGGATATTGATAAAAACTAGGTGGCGCTATCATTTTGTTACAGAGTATAGATGCAGAACTATTAAAAAATATATGATTTTTATAAAACCAAAGAGAGATTCAACAACTACAAAATTCTTTAGATACGAGTAGCAAGAAGGATGTTTAGTCTACCGCAGTCATAACTAAGCATACAATTGGCAGAATAAGACTATTTCTAGTACCAGACAACACACTAGGTCCAGATTAGTCAGACTATGTCAAAACTGAACTGATCCGACATACACAAGATCGGTATAAAGTATCGGAGGTATACTGTAAAAAAATTGATTTTTATCTTATTTATAATTCAATCAGGTAATTTAATCGACTAATTCCAAACAATTATTTCATTTAAAAATAACATCAATTGTGACGTTAAACATAAAAAAATTTCCAAAAATTTTTTTCTTAGCTCTCCTTACATACAAAACAATTCCCCTTCGAAGAACAAAAATTAGCACACAAGTCCATCACTTTTTTTTATTTATTTTTATCAGTAACGATCTCTTACGCGCTATTTTTAAAGCAATCAGGCGTGAATAAATTGACCGTGTCTTTTTCCTTTTTCTTTTCTTTCTCGCCTTTTAAAAGATAAAAATACTTAATTTTCACGCTGTTTTTATGAACACATACTTGATAGAATGAGGATAATTTAACGTGACGAATTGTGTAAAATTAGAAAAGAGAAAAAAAACAAGAGCAATGACCAACAAACGGAAGAACACAGCCCGAGGGTGATGAATAAAAGGAGAACGATCGGGGAGAAAAAGGGTTGTTTGGGCGCGGGGATATTTTGGGCGTTGACTAGAAAATCGACAAATGAGGGCTTGGAAGTTGGAAATTTTCTGAAAACATCTTCAAATGTGTTGGCTAGATAGTCTAAAAATTTCAGAATTTTTGGTTCAATATTTTGGGAATTATAATAGAAAACGCCAAAATCGAAAAATTGCCGGTTTCTCAGTATTTTATGCGTAAAACTTAAAAAATAGTGAATAAAAAATTCTGAAATTTTTAGAAAAGATAAATAAGATCCGAGAGAACATTTTTGCAAAATTCCATGCTTCTAGGTCCTCAATAACTAATTAATAACTTACTCGACGCCATAGCTTAAACGCGCCGAAACGCCCATTAAAAGCGATCGAGGCGTGAAGAAAGCAAATTTACAATTAAAAGAGGATCGAGGCCCTGGTAATTCCAAGGCTGGTCCCCCCCCCTTTTTTTTCTGTTCGCCTGACCATTTTGAGATTTTTTGCTTTAAATATAATTTACAATATATCATTTGAAAGAGCTGTTCGAGCTGAGTAGAATGATACTATGATCGGATAGATTTGTCGATTTTGAACCAAATTATGAAGATAAATCCTTGATGGACATGCTTTTTGTGGTGTTGAAAGGGATTAAAACAAATGGTCATAACTATGTTTATTTAAGTCGGATTTCGATGAATTTAGCACCGTTCTACTCAGCTTGAAGAGCTCTTTCGAATGATATATAATTTGCATAAAAAGTTTAAAAAATCGAAAAAAATTGAAAGGAAAAAAAGGGGGGGGGACCAGCTTTGGAATTACCGAGGCCCTTTCCTTTTTTATTACTTTTTCTTATCTGCGTGAATCACTGCAAAAAATTTTTTTTACACAGAAAATATTCAGAAAACAAGTAACAACAACCACTTGATAGAAGGGAAGGGAAGCAAGCAAGGGAAGCAAGTCAGTCACAAGCAGCAAGTCCATAAAATGCAAATTAATTTTTACGATTGTTTGCCTGAGTAATAAAGTAGCCCCCAAAAACAATCATAAAAATAGTAGAGAGATATAATATTTAGATGCAAACATTAAACTCTATTTTTTTATTGCAAATTATTGGAGAGAATATCACAATCCTTGGGAAGTGGGGCGAGAATGAGAAAAGGGGGAAGGGAGGGGGAAGTAATTTGAGAGGGGCTAACTTTAAATTCAACAATTTTTCGAAAAATAAATATTTTGGGACAATTTTGGTATCATTTGATAGAGCAGAAATTCAGCTACAAAAAACGATATGGATCGAAGTTTTGGGGGATGAGGGGAAATAAGTAAAGGAAGAACAAGAAGTGAAGGAAAGCAAGTAGCATCTCTCAATTTATATCTTCAAAACTTTTTTACAGAATAAATATTTTGGGATAGATAGCATTTAATTAAAGAAGGAAGTTATTAGCTAAAAATAAAATTTAAAAAACGATTTACAATGATGAGATAAAAAAGTTAAGGACAAAGAAACGTGAGTGGATAGGAGAAAGGATATTAAAATCGAGCTAAGTTTAAGCAAAGGTCTGGGGGTTTTACTGTATATATTGATAAAGATCGAGCTTCCTAGATTCTTCCTGAAGGCTGGGTGTCATGGATTCCAGGGCAATTTTAAAAAATCTTGATCTAGTAAAAAGAAGAGGATGGACTAAACGAACGGCCATCAATGAAAAATAACTTTTGATTTATCCAGATATCTCGAGATTATTATTCTGAAAGGTTAATCCAATCAAAAGTATAATAAAATTTAGAGCCCTTCGAAACAGCAATAAATTGCCCTAAAAAATAATAAAAACTAACAACATAAACAAATCGTTAAATCACCTCAACTGCTGTAGAGCAACAAAAGTTTAAAAATAAAAAAAGATAGAGCAAAAACTACCCTGTCAAAAAAAGCCGTAAAATCAGCGAAGGTAAAAGTCGTTAAAAATTAAAATAATTTTTTCGTTCGTTCAGGTAAGAGAGATAAAAAAATTGGGAAAGTTTAGTGATAAATTAAGGGGGAAAATAAACAAAAAAAATTTTAGAATTTGTTAAAAGAGGTATATCACATTTTGTGTTAGAAAAATTAATTTATTTTGAAAAATTTTTTTTGAAAAAGTTAAAAAATTTTAGAAGACAAAAAGAGGGGAAGAAAAGGAGAAAATAAAGTAAAAATAAAATTTTGGTGTAGTGGGATAGTGGTTGGTTTTTCCCTAAAAAGGGATGAAGGTTCGAACCCCTTTAGGGGGAGATAATTTTTATTTTGAAGAAAAGGGGGTAATTAAAGGTTTTAAAACATTTACAAATTATTTTAAGCATTAATAACTTTTATTTTAATTAGAAAAGAAGGGATTTGTAGAGTAAAATTACGAAGAAAGAACAAAGATAAGGGCCTTTAGTCAAAATTTCATGAATTTAAGTCAAACAAAGGTTTTATTTTAGTAAATGGATCCCATGGAAATGTATTTGTCCAAATACTAAAATTTAAAAAAATAAGTCAGCTCGTTGCAGACCAGGGATGGATAATTTTCAAGTTTTCAAAGTGTAAAGTGGAAGCGGAATAAAATAAAAAAGCGGCATACGAAAGGCGGAAGGGTGAAGGATCAAAATAAAAATAATTAAGGAACGCAAGCATACTACCGAGACGCTAATCATGAACAAGAACCCAAATAAATCTCATAAATTTAAAAACAAACCGTCTTGAAGTGACAAATTGTAAACTACTTGAAGAGCTGAAGATTTAACTTGAGAAGTCTCTCCATAAGACAATAAAGAAGAAAAAGAATCTAATTTATTTGTTGCAATTAAAACAGCAAAAGATTTGACTGATGAAAGGTTAACTACCAAAAATCCTTTAAAAAATAAAAAATATACTACAACAATTTTTAAAGAAACCTAAATAAGTTGACAAGTCGCTGTTTTTGTTTTTGGAAGTATTTTGAGTTAAAAAGTGATCTGAAATATATAAATTAAAAAGATATAAACAAAGAGAGGTTTTAAAGACAAAAAAATGATACTGAAACGCCCAACATTGAAAAACTGTCCGCAAATTTTGTCCGCAAAAAATAGTCCGCAAAATTTTATGGAATAAATTTGTCCGCAAAAAATAATTGTCATTTTGCGGACAAAAAACAATCAAAAAACCTCAAAGCTGAATCCAGAAACTAGAGATCGAGCTGGATCTGATCCAAGGCTTGGGTTTTTCCTGTACCCAGAGTCCAGGCCCAGGCATTTTTTGACCCTCCTGTTTTTTCCTGGGCCTGGGCTTTCCTGGACTACAGGCTCAGGATCTAGCCCAGGTCAATAAAACAAACTCCAGAGTCCAGAGAAAGGCCCAGGCTTTTTAATTTTGAGGAAAAAAATTTTGTCAGCAAAAAATAATTATTTTGCGGACAAAAAACAATAAAAAAACCCCAAAATGTTCCGGAAACTACCCCCCCCCCCTTACCCAAAAATTAAATTAAAAAATAAACCAATCAATTTAGAGCCAAATTCATCATCATAACAATTCAATTTATCCACAAATTGTTGAGGAAATTGCCTCGAAATATTAACAAATAATTGTGCAGTAAAAGTAGAATATTCCCCCTCCTCCTCCTCCTCCAAAAATTTGGACAATTTTAAAATAATTTGTTTAGAATTAATTAAAAGAGGGGAAAATTGAGAGGATTTAATAGCCGTTAAATTAATTAAAATTGACAATAATAAAATTAAATTTGAAGAAGAAATTGTTGGGGAAGGGGAGAAGAATTGAGCAATTTTTTGGAAAAATAAAAAAATTTCGTTGTTGGATAAATTTTTAAAATAATTTTCTTCTAGTTCTAACAAAAGTTGTAAGGCTGTGGATAATATGTGGTTAGGTGTTGAAGGGTGGAGAAATTGTAGAATTTCTGAGAAGGACATTCTTCTTTTCTTTTCCTGAAAAAAATTTTTTTTTGAAATTATTTTCTGATTTTTCTCTAATGCTGTGCTTACATGAAAATCGCACGCGTCTTGCGACAGAAAATAACACTCAAAATGAGGAAAGACAAAATTGCGCGCGATTTTGTCTCCTCTTTTTCCATTATCTTTTCTGTCGCAAGACGCGGCGATTTTTATGTAAGCACAGCATAAAATTCTTAAATTTAATTTAAAAAATGAAAATTTTTTATAATTGTCTAGACTCTAATATGTTGAAATGAGAGAGAATAAACATGACAGTTAGAGAAAATAAAATAGAAAATCCATTTTGTCGCAAGGTATTTTGTCGCGTACCTAGTATTCTTGAAGGAATTTAGGCCTGTTTGGATACGGGCATCGACAATTAAAGTTTTGCGACAAAGCTATTTGCACCAAAGTGGCGTTTATATTTTAGGTAATTTGGCAGAGAAAATCTCTCTTTGTTTACTACACTATTTCTTTAACTTTTTAGGCCTCTTTTCTTAAATTTGATGGAAACTTGAGTACAAGAAAAAAGCAATTGGTATTTTTCAATTAGAGGTCGGCGCGGGACGGGGTCCCTGACGGATTTTTTTTTTGATTTTCGGGATCATTCGGGATCCGGGATTTTTCGGGATTTATCTCTCGGGATCCCGTCCCGGCATCGGTTAAGAAAAAAATCACGACTCGTGATCCTGGAAGTTCGATTTTGCCTGCTCTAGTTTTTCAATCTATTTTTTAATTTTTTTGTAAACTTTTTTAACGCCTTTAAATTAATTTAACAACTCTTTTTTTTTCTAGTTTAAGATGGCAGAAGTTGAATATAATTTAAATCATTTTATTGAACAAGTTAGAGAAGAAGTGGATGATAAAGGTTTTCTTTCCCTTTTGATTATTAAAGTTTAATTTTTAAAAAAGATCTTGTTGGAGATTTATTATATGAAGAACCGAGAGAATCTCGTTATGAAGAATGTTGTATTATGGTTTTTAATATTCCGACGGTTGGAGAAGACAGGCTTGAAAAATTGAAGAAAGTTTTGTCTGGAGTGTTTTCTTTGCAGAATATGTACAAATTTAATGATTATTATCCGCTTAATGAGGAGGGAAAGACCAAGGTTTTTTTGACTTAAAAAAATTTTTTTGGTTGACTTTTAGGGCCCTTTATGTATCCCACATCTTCCATTGTTTTACTTTAGGTAATTATATTATTATTTTTGGGAAGATATGGCTCCACGTTTAAAAATTGATAGGTTTCCAGTGGCAGTTCTAATTTAAGCATTCAGAATCTCAGGATGCTCCACCTTTTTGTTATTTAGACAGGTTTTGGACTCATGTTAATCTTCCCTTTTGTTAGACCCGAGATTCCCTTTTCTTCCTCCGCTAACCGGGTAATTCGAGAGATTTTTTGATCGAAATCTGTTACAGCATTACATTTATCCGTCAGACAATTTATCGATTTCCCACTGATTTAATATTCTTTTCTCTTCCCTTATACTTTTTAATCACATTTTCCCATTCCCAGTTATTCTACATCCTTTCAGGTTGCCTTTGACTTTAATAAGCCAAAGGAAATATTTTTTAATAAAATTTCCAAAATTTTTAGGGTTACGTTTTTCTCGAATATGAAAATAAAGAAGCAGCAAATGCTGTTAGATCAATTTGTGAGGGATACAAACTTGACAAGAACCATACTTTTTCGTCTTACCCGTTTTCTGCTTTGAGGGATTTGAAGGAGCCTAGTGCTAATTGGAAAATTCCGGAGAAGCGTTCTTATGTTGATTTGGTTCGGGGTTTTTAAGTACTATTGCATTTTTTTCTCCCCCTAGTGTCCGCAAATGTTTGTCTGGCCTTTTCCTTCCTCCTTTCCCCTCTCATGATGATTAAGAAATGAAGTCCTTCTTATAAAGACTGCCTTATTTAAATTATCTCCTGACTATGTTTCAGTCGTTACGAGAGGAGTTAGAAGGAAGAAAAAGGTCAGACAATCTTGCGGACAAGCATTTGCGGACGTTGAGGGGGATAATGCGATAGTGCAGTTTTTTGTATTTTTTTAATTAAAAAATGTTCTTAAGGGCGATCGTTGGTGGTGGCTTCAAAATACAAAATGCCTCGATCAATTTGCTATACAATATGAAGACGATGGTGGTCTTCAACTTGAAGTTTTTACACACGCTAAAAATGGGGATCCAATACTTGTTCAACAGAGAACGGTTTTTTTCTTTAAAAAATTTTTCTTAAAGATTCTGTCGAATTTAGAATTGGTCAGAAGACAGTATTTTCAAATGGACTCCTCATGGTTCGTATTTGGCATCTCTTCATGCTAGAGGGGTTATTCTTTGGGGAGGAAAGGAATTTAAACAATTTCAACGTTTTGAACATGGAGGGGTTAAACATATTGAATTTTCTCCTAAAGAAGGGTATTTTTTATAAAATTTTGTTAGATTGATACTTCGGTACTTATTGGTTATCCCAAATCAGTTTTTGCGAACATATTTATGCAGACTCATTTTTGCACGGAAGGGGCAAAGGAATGGTTTTGCGGATATAAAATGTCCGCAAAACCTACTTTGAGATAACCAATAAGTATCGATATTTCTCTGAAAAAGGGGGGATTTTCAGAAAATCTCAGATTCTCAAGGGTGGCCAAATGCCCCGCGTCATAGATCCCTACCCCTAACCCATAGGTTAGAAAATTTTTTTATTTCGTTTTGATTCTAAAAAAAATTTTTTTCGTTTTGAGTAGCTCTGTTGGGAGACCTTCTCCCAAATTAATTTAATTTTTTTCAAAGTTATTTGGTCACATATGCTTGTAACACAAATGGCCGTGATAATGAAATGTTTAAAATATTTGATGCATTTACTGGAGAATTAAAAAGAACATTTTCTCCATTTGGAAAAATGTCAACTTCAACAACAAATAAACAATTAAATTTGCCTTTTGTTAAATGGTCTTTTGATGAAAAATATTTTGCTTATTCTAGAGCTTCAAGTGAATGTTTAAATGTTTTTAGTTGTGAAGATTTTAAATTATGTGATGGAAAAACTGTTGAATTGGAAGGATTGGCTAATTTTAGTTTTAATTCTGCAAAGAATATTATTGCTTATTATTGTGAAGAAAAGGTTTGGAATTTTTTTTGAGAAATTTTTTTGGAAATTTTTTTTTGAAAAAAGATTCAACATCCTGTTCATTGTCAGTCAGATTTTTATTTTGTCGGCTGACTAATTTTTTTGGGTCTTATAACAGTTGGGGCTGTCTAATGAAGTCGTAACTAGTAAAGTAGTCAAAGCGACTTTATTGTGGTGTTACTCGTCGCACCCCGCCGAATGTGTAGAATCAACCAAATTAGAGGAAGTATAACTTCCATAAATTTTGATTAAAATCCTGTGGCTTTAGAGTCGCTGTGGAATAGAATGGACGGGTTGAGAAAAAAAGTCGGGTCTTCAAAATTTTCTTCGGATCGGTTATCGGGTCGGAAATGTCTGGATTTCGGGTAACCCGTCCCATCCCTACTGTGAATTGGGAGTAGAGACCAAACCGAGACGAAATTCGAACCTCTAATTAGGAATATTCGTCCTTAGTCTAGGTCACTAAAATTCTGGCTAGCTTTCTCGTACCAATTTTTATTCTCACATCGGTTCTACAAATATAAGTTTACTTATTAGGAATTTATTAACAGAATCCTCAAAAACGCAAAACTATTTTTAAATTTTATAAAAATCTAGGAAAATTTAATTGGGATCAATTGTCTCATCTTCTTAAATGAATTTTTTTCTTTTTTCTTTTCTAGTCAAATGCAAATAGACCGGCAGAAATTGGAATAATGGAAATTCCTTCACGCACAAAACTTCGAGCACAAAGAATTTTTGGAGTTTTTCAAGCAAATATTTTTTGGCAAAAGAGTGGATTATATTTGGCTGCACACACTGAACGTTATCAAAAAATGAACGTAATTAAAAATAAGGAAGATGTTAATAAACCTGCAGAAATAAAATATTTGGTTTGGATTTTTTTGGGGGGAATTATTTAAAAAAAAAGTTGGGTTCTGAGACCGTCTCTAAACTACAACCGTCCCTAAACATTATTCCCGAGTAATTGAGAATAAGTCGACAGTTACACCGAGTCTGTCGAGTAAATATTAGGATGTTAGGATCCTCCCCCCAAGTATTAGGATTCCAAGTTCGAGCCCGAATAAAGACGAAAAACCCGATCGATCGAGTAAATAAAAAATACTCGGACGTACTCTACTTTCAAATCCCTTCACTTTTTACTTAAATTTTGGGGGGACTTTTCTGTTACTTGGCTTTCAGTCCAATTATTTTTCTCTTTCTCCAGAAATATAAGAGTAACATTAATCAAACCTTCGAAGCCTCTACGTATATTTTTTTTGTTAAATTTTATATTTTTAGGGTGTCACATCCCATTTAGAAATTTTTGATTGTACTGAAAAAACAATTTCTGTGTTAACATTACAGCTACCCGAACCTTTTTTAAATTTTGCTTGGGAACCTAAAGGTTTTTTTTGTTTTTTTATTTTATAAATTTGTTAGGAAATAAGTCCTAGATGCTAGAAATATTTTTTTAAGAATAAGTTGAATAGACCCCAAATTAATAGTTTATCCAGTAACTGCAGGATAGGTTCCCTGTGGTGCCACAAAGGAAAAAAGAAGATGGCTTCTTCTTGAACTTACAAAAATGACCAAGAGTATAGAAATATTTTTTGAACTAAAAAATATTTTTTAATAGATGAGAAAGTTGGAAGAGAGTCAACGACCTCCCTCACTTTCACAAACTACCATGGGTTTGTGAAGGTGAGGACACCCCAACCTACCGCCGAGCTATGACCTCGTTTAAAAGTATCGAATCTGGGAAGTATTTGATATGGTTCGATGCGCCTCGACGAGCTGAATCGAACCATACTAGGGTTTTGCGGATTCGACAATTTTGAAATAAGTTATAAGCTTGGCGGTACGTTGGGCTGCTCCCAACTACCAACTAATTTTTTCTTTTAAAAAATTTTTATTTTTTAGATTTTATTTTTAATTTTTCCAAATTTTAAAAAATTATTTAATTTTTTTCAATTTTTTAGGAAATAAATTTTGTGTTCTAGTCGGTTCAAATTCACCAAAAATAACTCCATTAATTTATCGTTATGACAAAGGCAAATCTGCCCCCCAACTTTTATCAAAAATTGAATCTGGAACAAATTTAAATTCAATATCTTGGGCCCCCCAAGGTGGTTGGTTAATTGTTTATGGGGCAAGTACTCCTGGAGGTTTAGTTTATTTTATTGATGCTAGTGGACAAACAGAAGCTAATAGAATTCGGTCTATTGAACATCCTTCGTTAACTAAGGTTTGTTTGCTTTTTGGGGGGAGGAGTGGGGGGATTTTAGTTGGGATATTTTTTTATTTGGTTTTTTTCTATCCATCTTATCCCAAGTCAGAAGAAAAAGCTAGTAAAAAGATTTTATTAATATTTAAAATTAGCGAAAAGGGAGATCCAGCTGGCTTATTGTTAGTATTTAAAACGCTTACTATGTATGAGGGTTTAGGATCTATTAAAACAAAAGTGAAATCACCATGGTACCTCAATTATTAAGTAAAAACGCTTGGTAATAACTGGCAAGGTCAGCCAGGTCACTCTCCTGGCTAATCTTCTAATCCTCTCCTACTATCTTACTATTGCTGAAAATTAGAACATTTTAGGGTTTAATTTGTGGTGTCAATTTTATTTTTGATCTTTTTCTGATTTTTTCTGTTAAATTTAATCTTTTATCATTTTCTGCATTTTTTCCTTGGATTAGTCATTGTTTTATCTTTGTTTTTAATTTTTTTATTCAAACGTTCAAAAAATTTTTTAAATTTTTATTTAACAATTTTTTCTTAGGCATTTTGGGACCCAACAGGACGTTATTTAGCAATTTGTTCATTTGGAGGCAAAAGTCGTTACGAAACTGGTTATCGAATTTATACATTTCTTGGAAGAGAAATTTTGCGAAAAATTGTTGATTCTTTGTTGCAATTTAGATGGAGACCTCGCCCACCAATTCAATTAAGTGAACACAAACTTAAAGAAATTAGAAAGACTTTAAAACAAAAATCACAACAATTTGAGGAGGAAGATAAGAGGGAATTACTTAAAGTGTCTAAGGTAGAAAGAAAAAAATTTTTTTTAGTTGTTTTTGTTAACGGAAAATAGTAAAAACTTCGAGTTTAACTTGAGGCCTTTGAGAGTTGCTGAGAATAGGCAAACCTCTAGGATTTTATTTGAAATTGAATCCTAGTCCATTTTGACTTGATGGGCACATTATCCAGGGGTTTTTTCTTCTAATTTTACCGGAGCCGGGTTTTCCAGATTAGAACCCCGGCCGCTTCGAAAAATAAAGATTTTATTAAAATACCCGGTTTCTGTGCTATTTTGCTGGATAGCCATGAATTTTAGGTTAAAGTTTTGTCTGTCTCACAAATCATAAGTCACATTATTATAGGTGTGTGTCTGTTCAAAGTAATCCTTGAAAAAATACAAAATTCCTTCATTAAAAATTTTTTTTCTTTTTCTAGGAAATTATTGAACTTCGTCAAAGTGCATTGGCTTTATTCAAAGAAATTCGACAACGTAGCCAAAATTATGATATTGAAGAAAGAGAAGAAAAATTAGCTTTGAGAGGTGGAAAAGATTTGAAAAAGATGGAATTGGATTTGGTAGAAGAAACAATTACAATTGCTTTGAATACAGAAATGGAGGAATTGAAAGAAACAAATACTGCTAAGGAGAGTGATGATATGGATTAATTGGAGAAATATTTTTTTTTGTTGAGTTTTTTTTGGTTTAAAAAATCTTTGTTGTGTTTATACAAGTATAAATAAATTTATTTTCGGAAAAAATCCATTCAAGAAATAGATTACTTTTGAATGGATTAGAGTACGAATTTTGCTTGAATCTGTAAAGGTGAACAATGTTTTTTAATGCCCGCATGTCGGAGTACACCTACATCTAGCCGAACATACCGCTGGCGTTCCTCTTTGTCGAACAACTTCACCCGTTGGAAAAACGAACCCCCGAAAAACGAATTTAAGGTTGACGAGACTTGATTGGAATATTTGTTCTTTTTTGTCCGTAGATACTTTAAATTATTGATTGGTAGACACTTTTGAATTTAATTTATTACGAGCGGTTTGGTGCCGCTTCGCGGCACCAAAACGCTCGTTCAAACCTTTCAATGTTACAACCAAAATCTGCCCATTGCCTATAGTTACCTACATTACTCGGCAGACTCTCACACACCAATTAACGGACTCTAACCCCAAAATTTTTTCACTTAATGCCAGTTATCACCCTTGCCCAATATCCTCCGATATCCTATTAACCTTCATTCTCTTGAACACCATACAAAATCCTCTGATAAGTTAATTAATTGCGCACAATCCCAAATAGACCCTTTACTTCCGAAATCAGAGATATCACCCTACAGCCCCCAAATCTTCTGATATCCCTTTTAAACACCCCAAAATCACGGAACCACCTTTGATCCTTGATTTATCTGTTTGTTTCCCAAATCTTATAGCTCTTTATGGTTTTACCCGAATTTCTCTTTACTCCGATATTTTTTTTAATTTCTCAAACAAAAAACATTGTTAAAAACACGAAAGCATATTTTTTATGTTAATATTCCTTTTCTAGATGACATATTTTTTTGTAGTTTTTTGGATAAAATGTCTTTATTTTTCTGCAAAGACCTTCCAAAATTTTCAAAATTTTTGCCTTCGGCGCTTTAAATGGTAGAAATCTCGCTTCTTGCCTTCCAAAATCCTCAAACTTTTAGTAATAAAAAATTGCTCAGTTCAATTGAAAAATATAATACATAAAATGATTCTAATTTTATTTTTGTGTTTGATAATTTTTTGCTGATTTTTGATATAAAATGCGGATTTTTTTGATCAAAATTTCGTATTTTATAAGATTTGAGATTGAAACCCTGCTCTTAATCCCCCGATATCTTACCTAATCTCCCTTACTCCATTATCTTTATATAGCTGATTAAACCTTCAAAACTTCTGTTTTCATTCTTAATCAACCAAATCCCTAGATATCTACGTCGTTATCCTGTTAAACACGCAATTACCGTCTTAATCACTTCTAATCCTTCTATGTTCCTTCATGCAGACTCAACGGAGGATATCCCTTTTTATCCTCATGTGCCCCTTTATATCACTGAAATATAATGAACATTAAACCGCTCTTTAACCCTCAGGATTCACTTCTTGATTCCCTTTCAGTAGAATCAATTTTACTTAAGCATGCCTGAACTAATTCGCGAAGATACAAAACAAAAATATTTAGACCCAACTGAACTCCAATAAATATTGTTTTGTTTTACTTATTTAGGGAAATTGTTTGGAAAAATTCAAAAATTTAAAATCCCACAAAATTTCTTCTAAAAAAATTTATTTTGTTTCGTTCGTTATTTAACCGAAATAAAATAACTGGAAAAAAGGCTAACCCTCTCAATTTCACGAACCCATCCACGCATCCCTATTTTCTAAAAATATCCCGGATGTGTTTTTTATCTATCTTTCCTCGATATCCCACAAATCCTTGAATTTTCACTTGGAAACCTATAAAGCCTCATTTATCAATCTTAATTCACCAAACGCCCGTATCGTTCTTTATTCTGTAAGGCATTTTAATTCTCGATATTTCTTAACGCAAATATCCCCTTTTTTCTCTTAATCCCCTGATATCGCTCAAAATTACTATGTTTTTAATCATTCACACCTCTCAAAAGAGCCAATAATATTCATTCAGTTGACGTTCTGCTACATCCTATTTTTTGCCTCTTTTCAAATCATAGATATCTTTCTTAATCAACAAAATTCCTTTATTTCCTTTTTGTTTAATTGATAATCCTCTTAATCTCTATAAAATCCTTCTAACGAACATTATCCCACTATAAAAACTTAATTCTATCAAATCCGTGATATCCCTATTACTTTAAATCTCTTCATGCTAATTCCTTTATCCTTTTATAACTCTTAAACGCCTAATCGTTAAAATCAATTTTAATCTTCATAATCCTTATATTTATCAGTCTTATCTCCTAGTTTCGGTTTTCTCTCTATATGATTATTTAGTCAAATCATTATTTAGTCAAGTTTCAAACCCCTCTGTTACAGCTTTAACCTCGCTATGCCCCCGTTTTCCTCTTAATCACTTCAAGATCCCGATCAAGGCTTATCGAAATAAAAATATTTTTTTTTCGAATCGAAACGAAATAAAAAATTCCTATTTCGCTTCGGAGCGAAACGAAACGAAATAAGCTTGTTTCGGACTAACGAAACGAAATAAACGATATCACTTTTAATCACTCAAATCCCAATATATCTCTTTAATCTCTTCAAATTTGCCGCTCTCGATATCCCCCAAAATTCAATTATGCAACATAACTTGTCTCTCTACAATTTACCCATTAATCCCTTTAAATTGACATATATCAATTTGGAGTAAAACTCCAGCATATTCGAATCTTTGTTTCAAAATTTTTTAATACTTTTAGATTACAAATATAAAGATTTGGGACTATGGTAGGTTGGGCGGCGGAAGGCTGCTCTGCTCTATCAAAACCCGGAAAATCTTTCTTCCTTTTTGGCGCTGCATGCGAAAATTTTTTTAATTTTGGAGCTCAAAAGGCCAAATTTCTTCCATTTTCTGCGCCGCAGGCGAAATTTTTTCAATTTTAGGCTGCTCATAAGACAGAACTCACTAAAAATTATGATTAGAAAAAGGGGTGCATTTTCTAACTTTTTTTTGATTCGTTTCGTCCGGAATTTTGTCTATTTTGTTTCGAAACAAAACGAAATGAAAAAAGGGCACGAAAGAGCGTAACGAAACGTAATTTCGAACAGCCCTTATCCCGATATTAATTTTTAATCTCTCAAATATCCTAATTTACTCAAATACCAAACCACAATTAAATTTCAAATTTGCACTATTTATTAGCCACCCTAATTACCGACTTTATGATCCTCAATCACTGATATCCCTTACTACCAACAGATCCTCTTATACACTCAAAATTTCCCATCCTTTGTGATTTTCTTGAATTCAACAAATCCTCCATTATTTTAGTCCAACAAATCACTGATATCACTCTTAATCACTAAATTCCTTGTTATTCTTAATTCTCACAAATTCTATTTTTTCTAACATATTCAGCCTTTTCCTTTATTAATCCGAAGATTCCTGTTTACAAAATTTCTTCTGTTTAAATTTTTTGTTAACTGATTAAACTTTTTCAACAAAAAAATTAACTACATATAATTTTTAAAGAAAAAAAGTAAAGTTTTCTTAAGCACATTTCCGCAGTTTAAATAATTATTCTCTTAGCTCGCGGTGGCTTCAATCTTAATAATTTACTAAAACTAAAAGCTTTTGTGTTTTTGGTTGTTTTTTCAAATACCAGAACTAAAAAAGTTTATATCGAACTATGACGATCCTTACCGCTTACTCATTGACGAACCTTGATCTTAAACCATTGCAGTTTTAACCCACATGTTTTACCTGCTTTTTTAATACTTTAGTCTAATCTGATTAGTACATATCTTATTTGCTTTTTCAAGTCTTTAGCTTTCACAAAATATCAGTTCCTAGTTCACAAAATTCGAATATGTTTACCCTTGATTTATTCAAATCCGAAATTACTTTATTAAAACCTAAACCCAACTTGTTGAGCTTTTTGTTTTTTTTGTATAATTGTATCCTTAGCTGTTTGTACTTTTAAGCTGTTTAGGTCTTTTGTACCTTTTTGGCTAGTAAGGCCTTTTGAAAATTTGGACTGTTTCGACCTTTTGAAAATTTGAACTGTTTAGGCCTTTTGAAAATTTGTACTGTTTCGACCTTTTGTAAATTTGGACTGTTTAGGCCTTTTGAAAATTTGGACTGTTTCGACCTTTTGAAAATTTGAACTGTTTAGGCCTTTTGAAAATTTGTACTGTTTCGACCTTTTGAAAATTTGGACTGTTTCGACCTTTTGAAAATTTGAACTGTTTAGGCCTTTTGAAAATTTGTACTGTTTCGACCTTTTGAAAATTTGGACTGTTTCGACCTTTTGAAAATTTGAACTGTTTAGGCCTTTTGAAAATTTGGACTGTTTCGATTTTTGAAAATTGGAACTGTTTAGGCCTTTTGAAAATTTGTACTGTTTCGACCTTTTGAAAATTTGGACTGTTTCGACCTTTTGAAAATTTGAACTGTTTAGGCCTTTTGTACACCGTTGTTTGTGTACCATTTTGTCTGGGCACTCGTTGTTTACATTTAAAGTAAGGTTGATGCGAGGTAAATAAGGTAAGCAGAATTAGAGAAGTATTTTTTTGTTCTTTTTTTTTCTTGGCCAAATTAGAGATAAATTTTTTGTTTACTCTTATCCTTAATTATTCTCATATTTTCGTTTCAAAAATTATTGCCTTTTCTTCTTTAAAAAAGTCCTTTGAAAAATCGATAAACAAAGTCTCCCAAAACTCATTTAATATATAAAGGGATAATCATTGGCATAACATTATTTACTTTAGAGATAGTCTATAAAGCAGAGAAGTAGAGATTTTCCTTGTGTGCTTCTTTTTCTTTAATTTCATAGTTTCTTTCGTTTTCCATTTTTGTCAACAACAAACTGCCCATCTTTCTGTTTTGACTTAGTTAGGGTTTTAAATCAATAATCTTCGTCTTTGATTCGGGGTATCATAGTACCACAACAAATTAATCTTTTATTTTTTTACATTTTTTAGAGTTCAAAATTTTTCAAAATTTTTCAAAATTTCAAAAATTTATTCCTACTCTTCCCTTCAATTTGATGAATGTATTTCGATGTGTCAGATCTTGTCAGGATTTTGATGTGTCAGCACCAGATGTGGGACCTGCTTGATACGATGGATGAAATATTAATAAAACAATCTACAAGGTTTTCAATTTTTTTGATTTTGGGTACAAGTGAAGGATCGGTTCACAAGAAAAAGAGCAAAGTGTGATCTTTCGACGTTTTTGAGATTTGTCAGTAATCGGGTGTACTA